TTTCCACTGAATTTAAAAACCCTCCTTTCTGCCAGGATTACATAAAGTAAAATAGTTTTGTATTCTAGTCTTTTCATTTAGGAACAATGACCAAAAAAAAAAGGCCTTATTCAAACTTCTTTTTGAACTGTAGTCAGTGGCTTTATCATAGTTTAGGATTTCTTAACTTGGTTTAAGATGTGAGAACTGATAAGCACATCTATAAATGGTCCAAACTGGTCCAAAGACTAACTGACAAATGCATCCCTAGTGCTAGTTCTGGACTTGAAGCTGCTGATGTTTTTTTTTTCTTTTTCTTTTATTATTCATATATGCATACAAGGCTTGGTTCATTTCTCCCCCCTGCCCCCACCCCCTCCCTTACCACCCACTCCGCCCCCTCCCTCTCCCCCCCCAATACCCAGCAGAAACTATTTTGCCCTTATTTCTAATTTTGTTGTAGAGAGAGTATAAGCAATAATAGGAAGGAACAAGGGTTTTTGCTGGTTGAGATAAGGATAGCTATACAGGGCATTGACTCACATTGATTTCCTGTGCGTGGGTGTTACCTTCTAGGTTAATTCTTTTTGATCTCACCTTTTCTCTAGTTCCGGGTCCCCTTTTCCTATTGGCCTCAGTTGCTTTTAAGGTATCTGCTTTAATTTCTCTGCGTTAAGGACAACAAATTCTAGCTAGTTTTTTAGGTGTCTTACCTATCCTCACACCTCCCTTGTGTGCTCTCGATTTTATCATGTGCTCATAGTCTAATCCCATTGTTGTGTTTGCCCTTGATCTAATGTCCGCATATGAGGAAGAACATAGGATTTTTGGTCTTTTGGGCCAGGCTAACCTCACTCAGAATGATGTTCTCCAATTCCATCCATTTACCAGCGAATGATAATATTTCGTTCTTCTTCATGGCTGCATAAAATTCCATTGTGTATAGATACCACATTTTCTTAATCCATTCGTCAGTGGTGGGGCATCTTGGCTGTTTCCATAACTTGGCTATTGTGAATAGTGCCGCAATAAACATGGTGTGCAGGTGCCTCTGGAGTAAGTCTTTTGGGTATATCCCCAAGAGTGGTATTGCTGGATCAAATGGTAGATCGATGTCAGCTTTTTAAGTAGCCTCCAAATTTTTTTCCAGAGTGGTTGTACTAGTTACATTCCCACCAACAGTGTAAGAGGGTTCCTTTTTCCCCGCATCCTCGCCAACACCTGTTGTTGGTGGTGTTGCTGATGATGGCTATTCTAACAGGGGTGAGGTGGAATCTTAGTGTGGTTTTAATTTGCATTTCCTTTATTGCTAGAGATGGTGAGCATTTTTTCATGTGTTTTTGGCCATTTGAATTTCTTCTTTTGAGAAAGTTCTGTTTAGTTCACTTGCCCATTTCTTTATTGGTTCATTAGTTTTGGGAGAATTTAGTTTTTTAAGTTCCCTATATATTCTGGTTATCAGTCCTTTGTCTGATGTATAGTTGGCAAATATTTTCTCCCACTCTGTGGGTGTTCTCTTCAGTTTAGAGACCATTTCTTTTGATGAACAGAAGCTTTTTAGTTTTATGAGGTCCCATTTATCTATGCTATCTCTTAGTTGCTGTGCTGCTGGGGTTTCATTGAGAAAGTTCTTACCTATACCTACTAACTCCAGAGTATTTCCTACTCTTTCCTGTATCAACTTAGAGTTTGGGGTCTGATATTAAGATCCTTGATCCATTTTGAGTTAATCTTGGTATAGGGTGATATACATGGATCTAGTTTCAGTTTTTTGCAGACTGCTAACCAGTTTTCCCAGCAGTTTTTGTTGAAGAGGCTGCTATTTCTCCATCGTATATTTTTAGCTCCTTTGTCAAAGATAAGTTGTTATAGTTGTGTGGCTTCATATCTGGGTCCTCTATTCTGTTCCACTGGTCTTCATGTCTGTTTTTGTGCCAGTACCATGCTGTTTTTATTGTTATTGCTTTGTAATATAGTTTGAAGTCAGGTATTGTGATACCTCCTGCATTGTTCTTTTGACTGAGTATTGCCTTGGCTATTCGTGGCCTCTTGTGTTTCCATATAAATTTAACAGTAGATTTTTCAATCTCTTTAATGAATGTCATTGGAATTTTGATGGGAATTGCATTAAACATGTAGATTACTTTTGGGAGTATCGACATTTTTACTATGTTGATTCTACCAATCCATGAGCATGGGAGATCTCTCCACTTTCTATAGTCTTCCTCAATCTCTTTCTTCAGAAGTGTATAGTTTTCCTTGTAGAGGTCTTTCACATCTTTTGTTAGGTTTACACCTAGGTATTTGATTTTTTTTGAGGCTATTGTAAATGGAATTGTTTTCATACATTCTTTTTCAGTTTGCTCATTGTTAGTGTATAGAAATGCTAATGATTTTTCTATGTTGATTTTATATCCTGCTACCTTGCTATAGCTATTGATGATGTCTAGAAGCTTCTGAGTAGAGTTTTTTGGGTCTTTAAGGTATAGGATCATGTCGTCTGCAAATAGGGATATTTTGACAGTTTCTTTACCTATTTGTATTCCTTTTATTCCTTCTTCTTGCCTAATTGCTCTGGCTAGGAATTCCAGTACTATGTTGAATAGGAGTGGAGATAGTGGGCATCCTTGTCTGGTTCCTGATTTTAGAGGGAATGGTTTAATTTTTCTCCGTTAAGTATAATGCTGGCTGTAGGTTTGTCATATATAGCTTTTATAATGTTGAGGAACTTTCCTTCTATTCCTAGTTTTCTTAGAGCTTTTATCATGAAATGATGTTGGATCTTATCAAAGGCTTTTTCTGCATCTATTGAGATGATCAAGTGGTTTTTGTCTTTGCTTCTGTTAATGTGGTTTATTACGTTTATTGATTTTCGTATGTTGAACCACCCCTGCATCCCTGGGATGAAGCCTACTTGGTCGTGGTGAATAATCTTTTTGATGTGTTGCTGAATTCGTTTGCCATTATTTTGTTGAGGATTTTTGCATCAATGTTCATTAAGGAGATTGGCCTATAGTTCTCCTTTTTGGAGGTGTCTTTGCCTGGTTTTGGGATAAGTGTAATACTGGCTTCATAAAATGTGTTTGGCAGTTTTCCTTCCCTTTCTATTTCATGGAACAGTTTAAGGAGGGTTGGTATCAGTTCTTCTTTAAAGGTCTGATAGAATTCAGCAGAGAATCCATCAGGTCCTGGACTTTTCTTTTTGGGGAGACTCTTGATTGCTGCTTCAATTTCATTTTGTGTTATAGGTCTATTCAGGTGATTAATTTCCTCTTGGTTCAGTTTTGGATGATCATATGTATCTAGAAATCTGTCCATTTCTTTTAGATTTTCAAATTTATTTGAATATAGGTTCTCAAAGTAGTCTCTGATGATTTCCTGGACTTCCATGGTGTTTGTTGTTATCTCCCCTTTTGCATTCCTAATTCTACTAATTTGGGTTTTTTCTCTCCTCATTTTAGTCAGGTTTGCCAGGGGTCTGTCGATCTTGTTTATTTTTTCAAAGAACCAACTTTTTGTTTCATTAATTCTTTGTATGGTTTTTTTGGTTTCTATTTCGTTGATTTCAGCTCTTATTTTTATTATTTCTCTCCTTCTATTTGTTTTGGAATTTGCTTGTTCTTGTTTTTCTAGGAGTTTGAGATGTATCATTAGGTCATTGATTTGGGATCTTTCAATCTTTTTAATATATGCACTCATGGCTATAAACTTTCCTCTCAAGACTGCCTTAGTTGTGTCCCGTAGGTTCACCACATTTTCTTAATCCATTCGTCAGTGGTGGGGCATCTTGGCTGTTTCCATAACTTGGCTATTGTGAATAGTGCTGCAATAAACATGGGTGTGCAGGTGCCTCTGGAGTAACCTGTGTCACAGTCTTTTGGGTATATCCCCAAGAGTGGTATTGCTGGATCAAATGGTAGATCGATGTCTAGCTTTTTAAGTAGCCTCCAAATTTTTTTCCAGAGTGGTTGTACTAGTTTACATTCCCACCAGCAGTGTAAGAGGGCTCCTTTTTCCCCTGCATCCTCGCCAACACCTGTTGTTGGTGGTGTTGCTAATGATGGCTATTCTAACAGGGGTGAGGTGGAATCTTAGTGTGGTTTTAATTTGCATTTCCTTTATTGCTAGAGATGGTGAGCATTTTTTCATGTGTTTTTTGGCCATTTGAATTTCTTCTTTTGAGAAAGTTCTCTTTAGTTCACTTGCCCATTTCTTTATTGGTTCATTAGTTTTGGGAGAATTTAGTTTTTTAAGTTCCCTATATATTCTGGTTATCAGTCCTTTGTCTGATGTGTAGCTGGCAAATATTTTCTGCCACTCTGTGGGTGTTCTCTTCAGTTTAGAGACCATTTCTTTTGATGAACAGAAGCTTTTTAGCTTTATGAGGTCCCATTTATCTATGCTATCTCTTAGTTGCTATGCTGCTGGAGTTTCATTGAGAAAGTTCTTATCTATACCTACTAACTCCAGAGTATTTCCTACTCTTTCTTGTATCAACTTAAGAGTTTGGGGTCTGATATTAAGATCCTTGATCCATTTTGGGTTAATCTTGGTATAGGGTGATATACATGGATCTAGTTTCAGTTTTTTGCAGACGGCTAACCAGTTTTCCCAGCAGTTTTTGTTGAAGAGGCTGCTATTTCTCCACCGTATATTTTTAGCTCCTTTGTCAAAGATAAGTTGCTTATAGTTGTGTGGCTTCCTATCTGGGTCCTCTATTCTGTTCCACTGGTCTTCATGTCTGTTTTTGTGCCAGTACCATGCTGTTTTTATTGTTATTGCTTTGTATTATAGTTTGAAGTCAGGTATTGTGATACCTCCTGCATTGTTCTTTTGACTGAGTATTGCCTTGGCTATTCGTGGCTTCCTGTGTTTCCATATAAATTTAACAGTAGATTTTTCAATCTCTTTGATGAATGTCATTGGAATTTTGATGGGAATTGCATTAAATATGTAGATTACTTTTGGAGTATCGACATTTTTACTATGTTGATTCTACCAATCCATGAGCATGGGTGCTGATGGTTTTTATACCATCAGTTAATGGATTTAGGAAAGCACAGGTAAGATCACATGATTAAAATGGGGGAGGGGGAGGACAAGAGGTGTGAAGTGTGTGTTTACTTGGAATGAAAAATATAGGAAGGTTGCAGATGCTGGGAGTGCTTGTTTCTTTTCCTTCACTCTACTCTTTGCCTTGTCATCAGACCTTTGGTTTTACCTAGTTCCTCAATTACTTGGCATGAGAATCCCAAAACAGGAGACAATGGGGTTTTAAGGCACTTCAGAATAACTACTAGGAGGGCTAAGGTGCCAAGATCACTTCCAGGCAAGGGTGTGTTAAGAGAATTTTAATTCAGCTGTGTGCTGGTGACTCATACCTATAATCCTAGCTACTTGTGAGGCTGAGATTGGGAGGATTATGGTTCAAGGCCAACCCTGGTAAACAGTTTGTGAGACATCCCATCTCTAAAATAACAAGAGCAAAATGAACCAGAGGTGTGGCTCAAGCATTACAGTGTCTGCTTTGCAAGCACAAAGCCCTGAGTTCAAACCCTGGTACCCCCTCTCGCCTCCCCCCCCAAAAAAATTTTTAGTTCCAAGTGCAGAAGATGAATAGAGGTTTTCTTACTCTATTCTCTGGACTCTCAGGAATACTATCAGAAGCTGGAGAAGAAGCAGGTAGATGAAGAGTTACTTGGACAAAGGAACAGGTTTGAGTCTCTCAAGCTGGTGACACCTTACATTCAGAAGGCAGAGGCTTATGAGTCAGGTAGGACCAGGCTGCCCTCCTGGCTTGGGCTGGACACAGTAGAAAGGGAGAGGAATGTATTTCTTCTGACTCTTCATGCAGTGGTTCGAATTGAGGGTTCCCTGGGCCAGGTAGCTGTATCAACATGTTTTAGCCCTCGCCGAGCTATTGATGCTGTATCTCACGGAACTCAAGAGCAGGTAAGTGCCTGCTCTTCTCTCCCCTGTTTGGAAGAAAGGTCTAGAACACACTCATGTTTAAGTTCAAATTTTGACCCAAGAATGAGGAAGAAGAGAAGTAAGACTTTGTGTCTAGCCTTTCCAGCTCAATTTCTAGCAAGTCTGAGACCTGAGATGCTACAGTGGTGGTACAGCTGGTGGTCATGGACTCTCTTCTCCCAGGATACAGGAGCTGCAAGCAGTCAGAGGCTTCGAGTATTATCCCGGATTGAGAAGGTGAGACATTAGTTCCTTGGGGATAAGTTCCTGACTTATATTTGAGGAGGGGATGTTGCTAAAACCTAACTTCTTTTCTCCACCCTCAAATTCACAGATGTTCCTTCAGTTACTAGAGATAGAGGAGGACCAGAAGGATGAGATTCCACAGCCCTTCTACTCTGGGCAAAAGAGCAACCAGGTCGAGAAGCTCTTCCAGGCCTTAAAGACTCAGGAGCAGAACAACTTGGAGTGAGTGTGCAAAGGTTTCACCTCAGCCCAGGAAGGGGAAGATCAATAGACTTTGGTCTTGCTGCTGCCCTTGCTTCCTGGCATGTGACACTTTTTCATACAAAATTCTAAAAATGTTCTCCTCTCTCCCCTGAAGGGAGGCAGCAGATAGCTTCCTGCAAGTGCTCTCTGTGAGGAAGGGGAAAACCTTGGTGGCCCGGCTGCTCCCCTTCCTGCCCCATGATCGGGCTGTTAGCCTTCTTCTGGCTATCACTCAACATCTGCCCCTTCTTGTCCGTAGGGACATGGCTGACCAGGTATTGTGGTATTGAGTGGCGAAGAGGATGGTCTCCTGGATGGATTGGGATCTTGCTTCTCCTCCCTTTCCCACCCCCCAGACATGCCCCTCTTGTGAGGAAGTTACTATAGGAAGAGTGGATCATCTTTAGGTGGAATGAGCTAACAAAACAGATGTATGATTGTACATGTGTGAGAAGATAAGGATTCCCCGCCCCCAGTAAGTGTAGAGTCCCACATCTACTTCCTTTAAGGAAGGCATTGTAAAACAGGACTCCATGTTAGGGATGGAGAATTACGTGTGGTACCTCAGGAAGGTACCTGAGGCAGATCAGGAACTAGAGACAAAGTAGGAAGAAGTGAAGTTGTAGAGTTTGGAATAGGTACTTACTGATCATCTTACAGGCCCTACACATGCTATTCAAGCCTCTGGGTAAATGTATCAGTCAGCTGACATTCCGTGAACTCCTCCAAGGACTTCAGGGGCTACTGGTACTACCGCCTGGCTCCTCAGAACGACCAGTTGCTGTGATACTTCAGAACCAGGTAAGGGGAGGCTTTTTCTCTCTCCATAGACGGCTTCTATTTAAGTGGAAAGGAGTGAGGGAATGTTTTCATCTCTATTCAAAATTTTTTTTGGGATTTGAACTCAAGGCCTCAAGCTCACTTAGACAGGCGCTCTACTACTTGAGCCACTCCACCAGCCCTTTACACAAATCTTATCCTTAGCAGTGCTTCTCAAATTCTAGTTAAGCACAGGATCACCTGGAGATGTTAACAGACACCACTCCTTTCGACCTACTCCCAGAGTCAATAATGAGGTGAGGAGAGGACACCTTAGGCATCTGCTTTTCTTTCCCCCTTCCTCTCTCCTCTCCCCTTTCCCCTTTTCCTTCTCAGATTTATTTTGGCTTGCAGTTTAGGAGGTCTAGTTCATGCTGGCTAGCTCTGCTGTTTCTGGACCTCTAGTGACATGCAGTACCATGGTAGAAGGGTATGATGGAGCAGAGCTGCTTACCTCATGGCAGCCAGGGAGCAAAAAAGAATATATGTCTGCTTTTCTAACAAGCTCCCTGATGCTGCTGCTGGTATGAGCCTCTACAACAGAGGTCTCCAAACTTCTGTGTATCACTTTCAGTAAGAAATCAAGTCATAACATGTATGTGTTTTCAAATCATATAACTATAATAGTACTAGGTATCAAAAAATATACAAGGTAGAAAAACTTTTTGTTCTTTTGCTGGATATTGAACCAAGGGCTTTGTGCAGGCTAAGCATTTGTTCTATCACTGAATGACCACTCTAAAGATCTTTGGTTAAAGCACTGCTTTTGTGTGTGTGTGTGTGTGTGTGTGTGTGTGTGTGTGTGTGTGTGAGACTGGGGTTTGAACTCAGGGTTTCATACCTGCAAAGCAGGCCCTCTAGCACTTGAGCCACATCTCTAGTCCATTTCATTCTAGTTATTTTGGAAATGGGGTCTCCTGACCTATTTGCCCGGGCTGGCCTCAAACTATGATCCTCCTGATCTCAGCCTCCCAAGTACATAGGATTATAGGCATAAGCCACTGGTGCCTGGTAAAGTAGTGTTTCTTAGGGTGATGTCATCTATAGAGTAACTGCCTCAGATTCCTGAATTCATTCCTGATATACAGACTGATTCCTGGGGGTGGAGTACATTTAGACAGCTCTCACAGGGAGGCTTATGGAAACTTCAGAGTAGTGATTCCTTTGGAAAGGTCAGTTCTTTGGCTAGCCAGTGTGAAATCTGACATCTGTGTTGGGTATTGCTCTCCCATCTGTAAGTGTGAACCTGTCTTTAAGTTGGGAAAGTAGCAGAGGCAGAGAAGCAGTAAATGTCTAAGGCAAATTCATTTTGCTTTTGACTATATCACTTGTAGTTTGGAATATCTTTGCTGTATGCCCTGTTGAGTCATGGAGAGCAGCTTCTAGCCCTGGATTCTTCCCTGGAGAAACCTAATAGTGATCACACAGCTTGGTAAGATCATTAAAGTCTTGGCAATACTATTTCAGTACCCATGGGATGTATAGGCTGAACCACAGGAGGTATTTCCTAAACAACATATTCAAGTACTAGGGAGGAGGTAGAAGCAGTGTAAAACAGTAATAAAGGGAATAGCCTTTAGAGTCAAAGATTTAGGTTTGGGTTTGTCATTAAGTTATTTCACTTTTTAGTCTGTTTCCTCATCTATAGGGATGCTGGTACTAGTGTTATTAAAATTTAATAGGGAAGAAGAAGATATGTAAGCTTAAGCACTGTAGAGCATATACCAAATGTGCAAATGTTACTTCTTAATTGCTATCTGGAGGTGAGGGCAGTGACGGTAGTGGTGGAACCTGGGCCCTGAGTCTGCTTCCTGCATAAATAAAGGCGTTTTTTTTTTTTTTTTCTGCCCTCCAGGACAGACTTGGTAGTTCTGATTGCCTGGGAGATAGCCCGAATGCCTGCAGCCTCTCTGGCAGAACCCCTAGCCTTCCCCAGGAACCTACTTCCACTGTTCTGTCACCATGTGGATAAACAATTGGTACAGCAACTGGAGGCCAGGATGGAGTAAGTGACTGCAGAAACAAGGTCATAGCCCTTCTTCAAGCCCAATCTAGTTTTTGTCACTTGTGAGCATGGAGAATAATGTGCTTTAGAAACAGTTTTAGACAGTGTATTTACTGTGAGTAACCAGTCTAGCCCAAGTGAGAGTCCTGTTGCTTGTTTCTTCAGCCAAATCTTTTATTTTTTCCCCAAGTGTTTGTCAATTATTCTCAAATAGTATTATAAATTAACTTGAAAAGTTAAATACTTGGGACAATTATTTCAGGATGTAAATATAATAAAAATCATCTGTCCTTAGAATTTACTATTTGCTAGAAAGAACCAGTTATTAAATCACACAAATTCTTGTAAAATAGAATTGTTTGCAGTTAACACCTGTTTTCTTTGTAGGCTTGCCTGGATTTATTGATGTTTGTTCTGGAATACTAATGTGAGAAGTTTAATAATCAGACACTAAGCTATATTTGAGCTGTCTACAGGGATCCAGAGAGTCTGAAGACATCTCTTAGTCCTTGAAAGGACCCTGCCCCCAAATCTTTTCATATCCTTTCCTAAAATCGAAATGATGTGCCTAAAAAATAAGGCATGGTTTAAAGAGGTAGTAAAATGGTATGTTGAAACTTGTTTGTAAGTTAGCTATAATAAAGGCCATCTCATGTGTGATGATCCTGAATGTGTTCAAGACTGTCCTTATAAGGGACAAGGCCTTGTTATAACTAACAAAAGTATAACCTGGGAACTTGCTTCAGCATTGCCAATTTTTTTTTCTTTTGGTACTGGGGTTAGTATCACCACTTTTTATATAAATAAAATAGCTCTAGCTAAGATTTGTATATAAATATCTTCCTTGGGATAGGAAATGTTTGGTTTCATTTTGAAAAATGAGGTTATTATGTATTTATCAACAAACAATAGGGTGCTTTCTATGAACCAACCATGCAGTATTTGAGGCAGGAGCATAACAAGGATGAGCAACACGAAGCCCTGTCCTTTTGAAGTTTACATACTGGTTGGACAGGTACTGACATAAAATATCATATTGATAAATACTATGGGGAAAACAATGACTGGAGTTGAGGGGCCTTTAGACCGAATGGTCCAGGAAGGCCTGTCAAGAGAGGTTACATTTCCGCTGAAATGTTCTGACTGTAGAAAAAAATGTGTTAAGAAGGTACTGCCAGTAGAAGACCTTTCCCAAATACCTTCTCAACCACTCCAGTGTTCTGTCTCGGATTGTACTTCCCTGACTAAGAAGAAGTGAAACAGGGGCGTTATTGTCTCCACCCCTTACTTACCTGGTACCATTTTCATAATGGATCTGAGCTATAAGATTTGGTCCTTGCTACGAAGGAAATGGTACAACCCCAGAACACATAAACAGTAAGAGCAAAAAAAGAAAAGCAGCGAGGGCAGGCGCTGGTGGTTCATGTCTTTTATTACTAGCCACTTGGGAAGGCCCACATCTGGAACATCGTGATTCCAGGCCAACCTGGGCAAATATTTCACAAGATCCTGTCTCCAAAATAACCAGAGCAAAATGGACTGGAGGTGTGGTTCAAGCGCCTGCTTTGCAAGTGTGAAGTCCTGAGCTCAAACCCCGCTCCCCGCCCCGCCCCCAGGAGAAAAAAAAAAAGGCAGAGAGGCAGGAATTGGGTTCCAATGAAGCAGGAAGCAGCTAGACTAAGCAGGCAAGGGGTAATGCCAGAGTAGAAACAGCTGCAACCACCTGTCTTAGGCTGTAAGCGAGGCCTTCATTTATTACCGACTAGTTAAGTAAAGGGCAGGCGCGTATTTGCTAAAGTTTGGGACCGCCTCCGTCCCACTCCCAAGCTAGGAAGGCCACTCACTGGGCACAGACAGCCCGGCAGTTCGCGAGGCAGTCACGAGGTACTACGTGAGCAGCGTGGGGCACTGCGCATGCCCAGGACGCAGTCCGCGTTCAGGAGCGACGGGCGCAGGCGCTGGAAGCTACAGCCAGGCCAAGATGGCTGACAAGCAAGGTGCCGGAAGCGCTGCTTTTAGCAGCCGTACCCTCCATGCTGAGGCCATGGAGCGGGTTCTACCTGTGCTACTGGTGCCGGTCCCTGCAGAGGCGACGGGGCGGCTGGGACCTCGGGCGCAGCTGCACAGAGGGCAGGAAGCTTTGGGGAGCCTGACAGCTGCGGGCAGCCTCCAAGTGCTTTCCTTGGCGCCGGGCAGCCGGGGCCGGGGCTGCTGTCGCTTGGAGGGCCCCTTCAGGCAGTAAGTGGAGCGCGAGGGGAGAGGGGGCGTGAAGGAGGTGGAAACCCTACGTCGGCTTCTCTTTGCCGAGTGGTGGGCTGACAGCCTGTGGAACGCCCGGGTCGCTCTCGGCACCTCTTCCACGCCTGAATTGAGGACTCGTCTCTTGGCATCTCCACACCCCGCTTCCTGGTTCTGGGTGGGCGGAGACGCTATCCTGCTCCTGTTCGGAGAATCCTCGGCGGGACCCAGTTTATGCAACACAGATCAAATGTCCCAGCGCCAAGTACCAAGCCCATTTTCTTCTATCAGTAAAAGATGCTACCCAGGGAGGCTGGCTCAACGCCTGTAATCCTAGCTACTTGGGAGTCTGAGATCGGGAGAATGGCAGTTCCAGGTTTGCCCGGGTGAATACTCCGGGAGACCTCGTCCCAAAATGGACTGTAGGGCCGGAGCGATAAGAGTCCCTCCTTAAACCACAGTCCGACCAAAACAGACAAACAAACAAACCAACCCTACATGGGGATCGTCAATAATTTAAGTCCTCCTAAATATTCTTTTGTCACTGAAACAGCGTTTTCCTGAACAATTGTTTTTTCCCTTAGAATCAAGTTTGACCATTCACTTGCTAATTTATTCAATAGTTACGTGGCTACTGCTTTTGTTTTTGAGACAGGGTACACAATGTAGCCCAAAATTACCTAAACTCCCTATCTTGCTCATCCTCCTCCTGTTTATTACTTGCATGTGATGCTCCCATGACTTGGGAAGACAGCAAGAGACATAATTGCAAAAAATGCATTATTTTCACTTCTGTAATTCTTGATCCAAGATTTAAAGTTCACATCATGAAGCTTAGTCTTGAGTATATGACTGGGCTGTTTTTAACAGCAGTAAATATCGTGGAAACATCTCTTTAAGACCTTGAGTAACCAAGAGCTTTCTCATCTCCTAATCTCCAGGTTCTGTAATAGCACCTGACACTTAATTGAAATCATTTACCCAACAAAAGCTTATTCTATTGTAAATGGCACCTGATGAATAATATATTTCAGTTTTTTAAACGTATCATCAGTCAGGATTTAAGATGAAGGAATAAAAGGAGACGTTTCTCTCTCCATGCCCACTTTTTTTTTTTTTTCTTTTAACCACCTGCTCTTCTATTCTTGTGTTTGTGTGTGTGGAGGACCTGAGGGGAAAGAAGTGAGAAAGGTAAATGGAGGAGTGCAGACCTAAAGCAATTTACATTACTTTCAATTGGAGTGTAGAATTGATGCCACCACGTGAGTGAAACTCTTCTCTGCTCATCCTGCCCTTCCATCCTGACTGCTGTGGGTAAATATGACTGTGGATATAAGATGTAATTAATGTAAACTTTTTCCAGCTTTGTATGGGAGGACTCTCATAAGAGCAGTACACCAACAGACAAGCCCAGACTACTTGCTCTTAGTGAAAACTATGAACTGTGTATATATGAATTTAATTTGAAAGATGGAAAATGTGATGCCACCATACTATACACCTGCAGCGGGAAGACATTGCAAAACCTCATTGAAGATCAGCATATTAGTAAGTACCTACAGGTGATCTCTCAGTGTTCTTAAATTTGTGACCTTACCACGTACTTTTTCAGGGTTATGTAGCCCAGGGTAGCTTTAACCTCACAATCCTCTCTGCCTCCTGAGTGCTGAGATTATAGGCATGTACCAATACATCCAGCTTACTGTATACTTTTATATATCTTGCTAAAAGTTCTTAGGTGAAATCAGGAAAGAGCTACATTGTCCAATATGGTAGCCATTAACCACATGGGACTATCGAACACTTGAAATGTGGTTAATATCAATTATGTTCTTTGTTTTTTTAACTTTACTTTTGCAATGGTGGTTTTGTGAATGGTAGGCAAGCCCTCTGCCTCTGGCTACATACCCAGCCAAAAGATAATACTTTTTTTTTTTTTTTTTTGTGGTACCTGGTATTTTGCATTCAGTTTGTTTTTCAGATAGGATCTCAAGCTAATTTTGCCAGGGATGACCTATGACCTTTAACCTCAATCCAACCTCCACTTTCTGAGTAGCTGTGACCACCAGTGTGTGCTACTACACTGGCTTTCTTTTAGTTTTTAAAGGTAGGATCTTTAGCTCCAGATGGCCTTGAACTTGAGATATTCTACCTTACCCATCTGAGTGTTGGAATTACAGGTGTGCACCACTACCCCCTGCTTCAAAGACACACTTTAAATGTCATATACAGCTAGGTATGGTGGTACATGCCTGTAATCCCACTCTGGTGGCAGAGGCAGGAAGAGCTCAAGTTCAAAGGCCAGCCTGTGCTACATAACGAGACCCTGTCTCAAAAAAAAACAAACAAATGTTATATGCACACCAGCTTTTGAAGACTTAGTACTAGGAAAGTAAAATGTCTCATTCATGATTTTTATATTAATTACATATTGAGTGATTTTGCATATGAACTAATACATATTAATTTCTCCTGTTTTATTTGGCTACTGTTCATAATGAATCTCGTATGTTTCATGCATTTATTACTCAGATATTTCTGTTGGACATTGCTGATCTAGACTGGTAACAGTCGTTGACTATGTCCTGTCTTGATGGCTGCAGGCACCAGTTATCAAAACACTCAAGTTCTTATGGCAGTAGCAGGCTCTCTACCCTTGACTGTGAGGTTCTTTGTTCCTTTTGAATAAAACCAAACTGGCAGCATGGCTCAAGTGGTAGAATGCCTGCCTAGCAAGTGCAAGGCCTCCTGAGTTGAAACTCTCAAAGCACCAAAAAAGTCTGTAGTTGTTCTTGTGGGGTTCCATGGGTAAACTGGCTTTTTGAAATCTTCCCTTTTTAATTTTTTTGTAGTCCTAGAGTCTGAACTCAGGCCTCAATTTACTAGGCAAGTGCTCTGCCACTTCAGCCATATCCTCAACCCTTTCAGTTAATTTTCAGGTAGGGTCTTACGGTTTTTTTTTTCCAGGCTGACCTGAACCTCCTACTTAAGCTTCACACATAGCTGGGATGACAGGTGTGTACCACCATAGCCAGATAAGTTTTTGTCTAGCCTGGTCGTGAACCTCGATCCTCTGTATTTCCACCTTCTAAGTAGCTTGGATTTCAGACATGACACACCTAACCTGTGCTGTCAGACTCTGGCCATACATAGAAGAAACTTGTGGGGTGCAGTACTGGGGTTTGAACTTGGGGCTTCACACTTGCTAGTCAGGTGCTCTACCTCTTGAGCCATGCCTCCATCCCAGTGCAGTTTCTTTATCTGTTTTCTTTTTTTTTTAATGTTTATAAGATCAGATTTACCAATTGTAAAATTATGAGCAAAGAATTGAAATAATATTCTTTTGTTTCATAGGTACTTCTTTACTGTCTTTGAGAATACTGTCATTTCACAGTAACACATCATTATTGTTTATCAACAAATGTATTATCCTACACATTGTATTTCCTGAGAGAGATGCTGAGATAAGAGTACTCAACTGCTTCACACTATCTTTGCCTGCACAGACAGTGGATATGATTATTGACATGCAGCTCTGCAGAGGAATTCTTTTTGTTTTGAGTAGTTCAGGCTGGATCTGTATCCTTGGCAATAAAGATGTTGATTGATGTGTAAGGGAGGGGAATTCCTAAAAAGATGAGCCTTTTAGACTTTTAGTTTGGGGGATGGGAGGCAAGGAGGTTGGTTAGTTTTACAGTTAGACTTTTCAGGGAGAAATTTTCATAAATACTTAACCATATCATTTTATATTTTCCAATGTGTAGGTGTATTTTTATGGTTAGAATCTTATTCATATTTGTGTATTCTTCTAAAATTGTTTATGCTGTGCATTACCTATTTGTTCAAAATACACTGTGTGTGTGTGTATTGAACTCAGGGTCTCACACTTGCTGAGCAAGTACTCTATTACCTGAGTTATGCCCCCCCCCCCCCGTGTGTGTGTGTGTGTGTGTGTGTGTGTGTGTGTGTTTGTGTTTGTGTTTAATTTTGTTTCTGAGATGGGTCTCACTAACTTTGCCCAGGCTAGTCTCAAACTCAGAATCCTCCTGGCTCCATCTCCTGAGTAGTTGAGAGTACAAACGTGTACCTCCACATCTGGTTCAAAATATACTTCTTGAGCACTTACTATGTCCATGTGCCAAGAAGGACTTAGGTGATTGCTTAAGATAGCAATACTGTGAAACTCCCTGTATAGCTATTTTATACAAACAAAAAGGTCTTTTTTCAAAAATGGAAAACAGGTCCTATCTGGGGGTTGGCACCAGTGGGAGGGGGAGGATATAAGGGAAGGGTGTAGGGGAGGGAGTGAATATGGTGGAGATATTATGTACTCATGTATGAAAATGGAAAAATGAGACCTGTTGAAACTATTCCAGGAATGGGGGAGAGAAATAAGAAAGTATGATGAAGGGGGTGAATTCAGCTATGATATATCGTAAGACCTTTGGTAAATGTCACAATGTATCCTCAGCATAACAATAACAATAACAATAATCAACCAACCAAATAACCCCCTGCCAAGAAAAAGATATGTATACCTTTTCATGTATGGCTATAATCCACCTCTTATGTCCAATGATGATTCAGTTATCCTTTTTTATTTTTCTGTAGAGGCAGGGTCTTGCTATGTAGCCCATGCTGGCTTCAAATTGAGATCCTCTTGCCTCAGCCTGCACAGTACTGGGATTATTGGTGTTTACCACCATGCCGACAATTCTTTTCTGTTTTTTTTATTTATATATCTTTTTTGATGGAACTGGGTGAACTCAGGGCTTCACACCTCCAAAGAGGTGCTCCACAGCTTGAGCCAGAACTCTAGTCCATTTTGCTCTGGTTATTTTGGAGATGGCGGTCTCACCAACTGTTTGTCTGGGCTAGCCTTAAACTTTGATCCTCCCGATCTTTTCTCCCAAGTAGCCAGTATTATAGGCATGAGTCACTCTTAATGAAGGATTTGCTTAACCATCATTTACTTGTTTGTTTTTGAAAAACATTAGGGGGTCTTTGTCTCTAGCAGAGCTATAGTTTACCAGCAAAATTATTTTGAAGACTTGAAAAATGACCTCTTACATGATTTTGAGACTCTTATTTCTAAATTAAAGGAATGGATTTTCTATTTTAGGTGTATCATTTTTAGAAAAATGTCATAAAGTACTAGATTTATTTTTTGCCAGGTTACAGAAATATGCTATCTAACCCAGTAGGCATTGTGCATTTGAAATTGCTTTCATGACTTGGGGGTCTTAATTTTATTTACTTTAGATTTAAAAGCTGATGCTTGGTTCAGTTATTGGAGAAGTTTTAAGTATGTTTGGAACAAGTTTAGTTGCTCTAACTTTAACTGAAATTTTATGAGACTGAAATGCAGATCAGGTATTTCTAATAAAAATTTAGCATCTTAATTGAGATGTCCTATAAGTGTAAAGTACCGGATCTTAAACACGTACCAGAAAAAGAATGCCAAACATCTCAATTTTTAATATTTATTACATGTTGAAATGAGAATGTTTTGGGTATGTTGACCTAATCTTTTGGACAGCATTATTTTAGAACCCTAGTGGAAGATACTGGCAGTATTTCAGGGTATGGCACAAAGTAGGTATCCAGTAAGTACTGTTTTTCTACCCTCTGGAGACGGTCTCACTTTGTAGCCCAGGCTGGTCTCATATTTGTGATTCTCTTGCCTCAGTGTCCTTGGTGCTGAGATTAAAGGTGTGTACCACAACACCTGACCTGGTCAGTTGTTGTGCTACCAACTTTGGTCGTTTGTTTACTGTGATGGAGATGGCTTCTGTTTCCAGTCTTCCTTCTGTTGTTATACCTACCATGTTATGTTCCTTATGTTGTTATACCTATAAGCAGTGAAGTCTATAGCTCCCTCCTATCCTGTGTTTTAAATGGTTGGGTATTTTTATAAAACTGACATTTTCTTTAACTCTGACTCAAAGATATTTTTGACATCGTGGATGGTACATATGTAGCTCATGTGGATTTAGCACTTCTCCAGGAAGACATGTGTAGTGAGCAGCAGCAGGAGCCAGACAAATTCTCTTCCTTTACTTCACTGAAGGTGTCTCAGGACCTAGGTATTGTGGTGATTGTCAAGTCCTCCAACTCTGCAGTTGCTCTTAACTTAAATTTGTATTTCAGGTATGTAGATTAAACACTTTTTTTTCTATGCAGTTAGATCACGTTATAGCTACTATGTAGTGAGGTTGTTACTGTATAATAATGAATACAAATGAGTACTGGCCACCTTTGTATTTTTGCATTGTACATCAAAGTTTTGATTTTTGACTTATGTAGTATTACATATGGGTATGTCATAAATAAAAAGCAATCAGGATTAAAAAAAATTTTAAAGCCCTTATACATCCTCCACTTACCTCTTGCCCCACATTAGAGTAGAAGAGAAATGGAATTTGCCTTGCTGTTAGAATTTGTGTTTTTGTGGCTTGGGATCTTGGCTGTCTTGCATTTATTTTCTTCTTAAAGGAGTTTGACAGCTACCTTTTTTCCAGCTGGGGATTTCCTAAGGTGTTTCCCTTTGAGGATCTGAACTTGTGGCTGTCTAAACATACTAGTAAATAACTGAGTATTTGTGTTCATTTTTGATTTAAGTATTCTAGTTAACTCTGGTTTTATACTGTGGGTGTTTATGTGTTAAAATGAATAACTGTGTGTGTAAATTACCTAAAAATAGGCTAGTCAGTATTTATGACTGAAAATATTTAGGGCCATGCAAAATCATTAGCACTTGTGGTTCTACTTTAATATTAATGAGATAAAAGAATCCTTTAGTAATGGAGAATGCTTATTTATTTATTATTATTATTATTTTTGGAAATACCGGGGTTTGAACTCAGGGCCTTGTGGTTACTAGACGGGTGCTCTATAACTTGAGTCACACCACCAGCCCTTTTTCTTTAGTTTTAGTTATTTTCCAAATAAGGTCTCACTTTCTTTTTTTGTTTGTTTGGTGGGATTGGAGTTTAAAGGGCTTCATGCTTGTTAAGCAGGCATTCTACCACTTGAGCCATACCTCCAGTCCATTTTGCTCTGGTTATTTTGTAGATGAGGGTCTCAAGAACTGTTTGCCCAGGCTGGCCTCCCTGTCTTAGCCTCCCAACTAGCTAGGATTATAGGGTCGCCCTTTTTATGCCCAAGCAGGCCTAGACTGCAATCCTCCTATGCTTCCCTCGTAGCTAGGATGACAGGCATGTGCCACCATGCTCATCTTTTTTGTATTGGTTGAGATGGGGTTTTGTGAACTTTTTGCCTAGACTGGCCTCAATCCATGACCCTCCTAATCTCCACCTTTCAAGTAGCTAGTGTTTTTTGTTTTGTTATGGTGGTACTGGGGTTTGATTTCAGGGCCTCATGCTTGCTAGGTAAGTGCTCAACCACTTGAACCATACCCCCATTCCATTTTGTTCTGTTTTGTCTTGGCAGTACTGGGGGTTGAACTCAAGGCTTTGCATTTGCTAGGCAGGCATGCTACTACTTGAGCCACTATGCCAGCCCTGAGTAGCTAGGTTGGTAGGAATGAGCCACCATGCTCAACCTATTATTTTTTTTTTGAGACAGAGTTCCATTATGTAGAGTGAAACTCTGGAACTCACTATATAACCTAGGCTGGCTTGGAACTTGTGATCCTCCTGCCTCAGTTTCTTAAGTGCTTGGATTATAGGTATGTATATCATACCTGTTATTTGTTTTAGTTTTTTTGTTTGTTTTTTATTTTTTTTATTGTTTTATTATTCATATGTGCATACAAGGCTTGGGTCATTTCTCCCCCCTGCCCCCACCCCCTCCCTTACCACCCACTCCACCCCCTCTCTCTCCCCCCAACCCCCTCAATACACGACAGAAACTATTTTGCCCTTTTGTCTAATTTTGTTGAACAGAGAGTATATTTTTGTTTGTTTTTTACTTTAGAAATGTTTTTATTTTATGTACAAATAATGGACAGATACCGCTACATAAATTCTACTTTCTAGAATCAACCAGGAGCTTTTTAAAAAGAAAACTAGAAAACATTAAAAGGCACTGAGATTCTTCTAGTCCATTGCTAGGCTGTTGGGGTGGGGGGAGGAAGAAAGAAAGGCTTGCTCTATCAATACTCACAAATTAGAACTGAGTATTCTCCAAAGCAGAAAAAAATACAATGCCATTTCAGGCAAAGATTATTCAACTCAACTTTCCTCCCCAACATTGACACTACCTGTCAGAACAGATAAACCAGGTCAAACAGCCCAGCATAATTTGGCTTCACTATGTCTCATTTGTTTCAAATGGCCATTTTTTTTAGTTTTGGACTTTATTCTAAAAACAAGTTCTAAAAACAGATTTCAACTGGAAGGAGAAGAGCAGTGTTATGATGTCACTTATTTTGTGTGTGTGTGTGTGTGTGTGTGTGTGAGAAAGAGAGAGAAAGGGTCTTGCTATATAGCTCAGACTGGCCTCAAACTCACAAAGTCCTTCCACCTCAGCCTCCTGAGTGCTAGAATTATTGGCATGTGCTATCCTCCCAGTCCTGAAGCCTTTAACTTACTAAAACTTTTTCCACTATAATTTTATGCTCATTTCATAATTTATCCTCTTTGAACTGTCACTTCTGCTCTGGGCTAGAATGGTCATATTATTGCCCTAATTTTTTCATTTTTCTCATAGTTTATAAAAGCTCCTTGAGAACCCAAGGCTTTGTGCTTGCTAGGTAGGTACTCTACTGCTAGAGCCATGACTCCCGCTGTTTTTGTTCTAGTTATTTTGGACAGAGGGCCTTGCTTTTTGCCCAGGTTGCCCTGTACTGTAGTTCTCCTATTTTATGCTTCCAGTGTAGCTGGAGTAATAGGCCTTTATCACCATGCCCAGCTTTTTTCCTTTCCCAGTGGGATCTCTCAAACTTTTTTTCTTGCCTGGGCTAGCCTGGAACCTTGATCCTTCTGATCTTCACCTCCTGCATAGCTTGGGATTGCAGGTGCACACCACTGCATCAGCTATATATTGAGATGGGGGTCTCATGACGTATTTGCCCAACTGGCCTTGAATCACAATCCTATTAGTTTCAGCCTCCTAAGTAGCAAGGATTACAGATGTGAACCACTAGTGCCCAGCTGCGTTATTTTTGAGATGGGGTCTCACTTAATACCCAGGAGGCCTGGACTGCAGTCCTTCTATTTGTGCTTCCCCATGTATCTGGGCTGACAGACACACACCATCATGTCTAACCATTGGTTCACACCATGGGGTGTCTTGAACTTTTTACCCAGGCTGGCGTCGGAGGGCAATCCTCTTGATCTCTGTCTTCCAGGTAGCACCCTTTTTTTTGAGATGGAATCTTAATATGTTGCCGAGGCTCGTCTCTTAAACGCATGGGTTCAAGTGATTTCACACCTCAGTCTCTTCAGTAGCTGTGTTTTTTCTTTCAGTTCATTGTTAGTGACTTTCTTCCAATTTGCCTTTGATGTCCATTCTCATCGTTATACCCTGGGCTGTGTCGTATTTGAAATTGCTCATCCCTCAGACTGCTAGCCCACATGTTTCACTCTGACCACAACTTCCCAATTTTTTTAGGTTGTTTACTCAAGTACCTGTCCTCTGACCTCATTGGAATTTCCAATTCATTGACCTTCCATGCTCTATTCCCCGAGTGTCTTCACTTCCCTCCCTTTCCAGTATAGATTTTGTGAGCCATCATTTTAGCCTATTTTTTGCATGAACTCTAAGCTCTTGTTTCTGTCCTACGAAAGCACTTAGTCTGGAAGAATGTTGACCCTGAATGAAACCTTTATTTTTCCTTTTAAAAAAAATTACTATTCTGCCTTCTTGACACTTGCACCCATGCAAATGAGTACTTGAGAGAAAAATACAGAAGAAAATGGATACCATGTAAGCCACTTTCACTGTTTTCATTTGGTTCTACAGTATTCCCAGGAAGATTTTTTTGCTTTTGTTTTTTAGCAGTACTGGGATTTGATCTCAAGACTTTATACTTGCAGGACAAGGTCTCTGTCACTTGAGCCATGTCTCCAAACCAAAGATTTTATTTTTTTTTAATTTATTTTGCGTACTTGGTTTGAACTCCAGGCCTCATGCTTCTTAGGCAGGCGTTCTACTTGAGCCATTCTGCTAGCTCCTGCCTGGAAGTTTCACAATGATTTTTTCATGAGCCCATACTTTTTTTGAGAATTTTTTTCCTTTCTCTTAAAATTTCTTATACTGCCAAGGAAAGATGATCCTGTTCTTTATAACAATTCTTGTATGTGTGTGTGTGTGCAGTACTGGGATTTGAACTCAGGGCCTCAGGCTTGATAGGTAGGTGCTCTACCACTTGAGCCACTCTGGTAGCCCTTTTCTGTGTTGGGCATTTTCTTCCTTCCTTCCCTCCCCTCTCCTCCCTTCCCTTCCTTTCTCTTCCCTTTCCTTCCTTCCTTTCTTGAAACCCACTTAGACTGTGCTCTTTCCCTCTTACTCTCCTGAGAGCAAGAATAATCATCAATGGCAAGTGGCAGTTGCAATAAAGCAACTCCAAGAACCGGCTTCATGTCAGGAGAGAACACTGTGTCTCCTCATGGTTTCTGGTATTCTACGTGATCAAAGAAACTTCTCTAGTAAGGAACTATAGAAATCATCCCTGAAAGTGTAGTCATTGTGTGTTGGGTATTTTTGAGATAGGGTCTTATGAACTGTTTGCCCGAGCTGCCCTTGAACTGTGATCCTCTGATCTCTACTTCCTGTGTAGCTAGGATTATAGGCATAAGCCACTGGCACCCTACTGTTCTTTTTAATTTAATTTAATTTTTTTCTTCTTTCAGCTGTTCTTATTTTTATATTAGTTTACTTAACAGATTTTGTAGTTCAGGCTGGCACGTGACTCATGATCCTTGTGCCTAGTGCTAGGATTACTTTTTTTTTGTGGTAGTGGGTAGGGGTAGAACTTTGGGCTTTGTGCTTGCTAGTCAGGTATTCTACGAGTTGAGCCTTGCCCCCAACCATCTTTGCTTTAGTTATTTTGGGGATAAGGTACTGTGTCCCTGGGCAAGCCTGGACAACTATCCTATCTGGGATGACAGGTGAGTGCCACCATGCTAAGCAATTAGTTGAAATGGGTTTTTGCTAACTTTTTGCCTAGACTAGCCTTGAATCATGATCCTCCTGATCTCCTAGCATCTACAACATTTTTGTGTGTCTGTATTTGTAGGACTTCAGTTGAACTCAGGTCCTCATGCTTACAGAGCAGGTGCTCTACCACTTGATTCACATCTCCAGTCCATTTTGCATGGTTATTTTGGAGATGGGCCTTGCAAGTAGCTAAGATTACAGGCGGGAAACATGGTCCTCTCGATTTCATCCTCCAGTGGCTGGGATTTACAGGTGTGAGCCCAGTTTACAATAATGTTTTTAAACCTTTATTTTTCCTCAGACCCACTCAGGTCTTTACTCTCAGCTTTTCTTGGATGATCTTGCCTGTTAGTTTATCAAGGAAATTGAATCCATCTAATGAGAATTCCCTCAGTTTCTCAGTTCTTTTCCTCCTATGAAGTCCCATCCCTTCTTTCTCAATGTCTTTTCTCTATTTCCTCTTTTTTATATCTATTAACTCTTTTTGGTTAATCACCAGGTCCTAGCCCTTCTATTCCTAAATGTTTGTCTATCCACTTTTCTCAACTCCTCTGTCATCACCCTAATCTATGCCACTAATCTTCTCTTACCTGAGCTACCTTAATAACTACCTAATTGGCCTTATCCTCTTACCCCTCAAATCCATCCTCCATAGAGTAGCCAAAGTGAAATTGTTAAAATGTATATCTTATTAGAGGTATAGCTAGTCATTACATCTGAGGGCTTATCTACCTTTTCTTGATGGGGAATTACCTTTTTTTTATGCACCTTGTCTTCTCATTTTCTAATTTCCTTTTATCATCTCCTTGACAAATGTGCCAACATATTATCTTCAAATTGATGATAGGATTAGTATGTATTTAACCAAGTGCTCAGAGGGATTAAATGCTTTTTTTCCTTCTCCCATTAGCTATCTGCTGCATCTGATCATGTTTTATTTGTACTTAAAGCCCTTCTTTAGCTTCCTTTTCTCCTTAAAAAAAAGTTAAAAATGCTTTCTAGTCTACAGGCTCTGACCTGTCTCTTGCCAACCTTTCTAGGCTTATCACACTCTACCTTGCTTCTCATTTACTGTACTTTAGCCACTACTAGCCTCTTTTCTCAAATGTGACAGCCCACTTTCCCATACAAACTTCACATGTACCTTTTAACTTCTAGTTCTTAGGCATTCGCCTTGTTCTAGCCTAAATATTACTTTGTGGTGGCAGTATAACGATGATTAACAACCCAGGCTTCATGTTTAAATTAATCTGGTTCAAAGTTTCTCTGAACCTTAGTTTCCCTATCTAGAAAATGGGACTATATTTACTTCAAGATTGCTGAAAGGCTTAAATAAGAGTAAGCATTTATGTAAAGGGATCAGTATATCTATAATATTGCAAACAACAAATGCTCTTTTACTTTATAAAGCTTACTGCCCTACATAGTCAAATTCTTGAGGTTGACTTTATCACTGTGCTACAAGCAAGGGAGATAAGAAGGCATTCCATTGAGGGATTGTGTTACATAAACTGTTGCTTCTTAGTTACCAACCCCCTCCCCCACCAATTTTTAGCAGGAGCAATTGTAGGACACTTTGGAGTTTGATCTTTTTTTAATTATGGCTGTTATTATTTTTAAATGTAGGCAACATCCAGGACACTTACTAGGTGAAAGAACACTAGAAGACCTTCCTATTCAAGGACCTAAGGGGATAGATGAAGATGATCCTGCTAACTCTGTCCACAACATGAAACTGACCAAGTCTTCCTTCCAAGTTGATAGGTATAGAAACTTCCTTTTAGGATTTAGTTTATCCATTTTTTTTTTTTTTTTGTCACGATGACATTGTGCACTAAAGGTCTTTTTACATGGTAGACCTTACTTTTTAAAGAGCACTTTTTTGTAGAGCCACAGAACAAACACTTCCCTCTAAACCAGAGGGAAGTTGTTTTGGTATAATGGAAAATCTTGGGGAGGATTCCAATTTTTAAATGATTTTTTTTTTTAAAAATAAATCTCTACTATCTTTTTCACCATTGACTTTTTCTATTCCTAAAATGTATAGTTATATGTATAATGCCTTTAACTCCAGTGTTTACTCAGTACCATTTTATTTTTATTCATATGTGTACCAAGTGTTATACATATGTAATTGGGCATTTAAACTTTCTCTTCCAAAATCTATTAAATATATTTGTAAATGGTTTAAGAAAAAAAAAAAAAAAAAGAGCATCTTCCTGGCTTAGTGTTTTAACTAATGCCTTTAACTGTAACCAGTCTAAGAACTTCTGTATCTTGTAGGTCTTGGAAGGCCCAGCTGTCTTCACTGAATGAAACAATAAAGAGCTCTAAACTAGAGTTTTCCTGCTGTGCTCCATGGTTTCAGGATGTTTCACATTTGGAGTCTCCTGAATTTGGTAACCACAGTGCCAGTGTGCTAAGCTGGGTTTTCATTCCACAGGACATCATGCATGTACAGGGTGCTTTTCCACAGAAAGATCATGCTACGACCAGTTATTCAGAAAAATCATGGAAGATACTGAACCTCAATGAACAAGAGCAACCTGTAGAGCTTAAATGTATGTCTGTGACAGGATTTACTGCACTGTTTACTTGGACAGAGAAAAGGTCTGGTTGCACCATTGTCCTCTGGGATTTGGAGACGGAGGGCTTGAGGTGTTTTCCCTTGACCAGAAGTGTATTCCTATAGACAGTAGTGGAGACAAGCAACTGTGTCTTGTTTTGACAGGTGAGAATATTTTACATTTTACTTCCAGTGCTTGGGTGTTTACAAGTGCTACTCTCACCTCCAAGTGGGAATCATTCAGGAGGAAATTTGATGTTACTCTTGGTAACATTGTCTCATATGTTTACTTTTTATGGGGGTGGGGAGTGGCACTGGGGTTTGAACTTGGGGCTTCATACTTGCTGGGCAGGTACTGTTACTGCTTGAGCCAGCCACTCTGCCAGCCCTTTTTAAAAATATATATATACTTGATTTTTAAGATTATTTCTGTCAGCTAAATGTTACAATACAAAGAGTAATGAAGGTTGGATTACTGGGGTTTGAAGTCAATGCCTTGTGCTTGCTGGGCAAGCACTAACACTTGAGCTATGCCTCCAGCCTGAAGGTTGAGTTTTTAACCCAGAGACTCTTCATTTGACTTCAGTCTGTATAAGCAGAGTTTGCAAGCTGGCTACTCAGAGGCCATTTATGTGCTGTAGATTTTTGTTTGCTTGGCACCATTTGGTTTTTAAAAAAGATTCTATCTCTGGGTATGGTGATTCATAGCTATAACCCTAGCTACTTAAGAGGACAGATCTGGCCACGTGCCTGTGGCCCACAGCTGTAGTCCTAGTTACTCAGGAGGCAGAGATCAGGAGCATCTCAGTTTGAGGCCAGACTGGGCAACGAAAGTGAGAAACCCTATCTCAAAAATAACCAAAACAAAAGACAGCTGGTGGAGCGGCTTAATTGGTAGAGTACCTGCCTAGAAAGCTTGAGGCTCTGAGTTCAAACCCTAGTACTGGAAAAAAAGAGAGAGATTGGGAGGATTACAGTTCCAAGGCCAGCCCAGGCAAAAAGTTTGTGAGACCCCCATGTCAACCAATAAAACTGGGTGCTGGCTTTTTACCACTTGTACTCAAGCGGTAAAGTGCCTGCCCAGCAACCATGAGGCCCTGAGTTAAAATCCTAGTGCCAGCAAAAAAAAAAAAAAAAAAGGGGGGGGGGAAGGTGCCTGTTAGGCAGTAAGTATAAATAGGAGGCTTTTAGGCCAGGCCAGAACAAGACCCTATTTGAAAAATAACTAATGGCACGTGCTGATGATTGATACCTGTAATCCTAGCTACTTGGGAGGCTGAGATTGGGAGGATCAAGTTTTGAGGCCAGCCTGGATAAATAATTCAAGAGACCCTCCCTATCTCCAAAATAATCAGAGCAAAATGGACTAGAGGTGTGGCTAGCAGCCCTGAATTCAAACCTCAGTCACACGAAACACATACACACACACACACACATACACACAGAGGCATTGAAAGCTAGAGGTCTGGAGGTCTGACTCAAGCAGTAGAGTGCCTGCCTAAGCAAGCATGAGTCCTGGAATTCAAAGCCCAGTACTGCCAAAGGAAGAGAAAAAAAGAAAAACTGTGACTTAATTAAGGCCATAATATACTTAACGTCTAATAAATATATTTGTAATTATAGTGCTCAAGTATTGGGTAATTAGAAATTAATTCCTAAATCATAGCTCTAAAATCTAAGTCCATGGTAATTTATTAAAGCTAATTTTTATTTTTCCTATAGAAAGTGGACTCTCTCTGATTTTGTTTGGTTTAACTCAAGAAGAGTTTTTAAACAGACTAATGATCCATGGAAGTGCCAGCACTGTGGACTCTCTCTGTCATCTCAATGGTTGGGGAAGGTGCTCAATTCCCATACATGCACTGGAGGTAACAATTAAAAGTCTATAGAACTACTGCCATATACTCCGATTTGACTGAGGAGCTGAGAGAATTCATTTAATCTAGCAGCAAAAAGAGTCTTTCCATTTGGTTGCTCAGGTTTGACTGTTTCGTTTTTTTTTTTAACTCTGCATAGGTTACCATATTTGGCTTTAAAAGATAAGAGATTGTAATAAATATTATTTAAGAAAGGCATGTTATGGAAATGGAGGAAACAATAAGCTAAGACTAAACAATATGGAAGCAAGCTGTGGAGAGTTGAGCAGTAATGATCTTTTATTCCTGCCTTACATTTCCTATCTTCCTATCCAGCTTTACAAGACAGAATCTGAATTTAAATAGCATTTTATGCTTCACACATGCTTTTTATATGTATTATCTAATTTTGTCCCAAAACAACCACATGAGATGGATTGGGTAGTTTTTATTCTTTTATAGATGAAGAAACAGCCATGTGATGGTTCAAGTGAATGACCCAGAGCCATATTAACAAAGATAGGAACTAGAATCAAAATCAGAACACTTTCTGCAGTACATAACTCTGAAAGTTAATAATGCTCTGTGCCAGTTTTTTTTTTTTAATGACAGCTTTATTGAGGTGCAATTCATACACCGTAATATTCACCTTTTTATTTTTTGGTGATAATAGGTGTTGAACTCTGGGCCTCGTACTTCCTAGGCAAGTGCTGTACCTGAGGCGCTCTGCCAGTCCCACATTCACCATTTAAAGTACAAAAGTACACAGTTCAGTGGTTTTTAGAATATTCAGAGTGTACAACCATCACCACTGTCAAATTCAAGAACTTACCCCAAAAAGAAACCACGTTCCCTCAATATTTTTCCTGCCTGCTCCCAAGTCGCAAACACTATCCAACTTGCTGACTTTGTGGGCTTTCCTATTCTGGACTTTTCATATGCGTGGAATTATAAAAAATGGACTTTTGTGACTGGCTTCTTTAATGTGTTTTTGAAGTTCATCATATAGCACTAGTTCATTCATTTTTATGGCATTTGGGTTGTTTCTACTTTTTGTATAATCCTATTAGGAGCCTTTGTGTACAAGATTTTTCGTTGATGTATGTTTTCATTTGTTGGGTATATATACACCTAGTTAGTGGTAGAATTACTGGATAATTTAACTTTTCTAGGAAACCACCACTTTTCCACAGCAGCTGCACCATTTTGTACTCTCACCAGCAAGTATGAGGGTTCCATTCTACATTTTTGCCAACACTTGTTTGTTTGCCTTTTGATTAAATCTTTCATAGTGGGTGTGATGTGGTATCTCATTGTGTTTTGATTTTCACTTCCCTAACCAGTTAATATCGAACATGTTTTCATGTGCTTATTGACTATGTGTATATTTTCTTTGGAGAAATGTCTAAACAATTACTTTTTCCCTTTAAATTGTAGTCTTTTATTTATATATTTTTATTTACTTGTATGGGGGATTGAATTTATGGCCTCTTACTTGCTAGGCAATCACCCTACCACTTTACTCATGGGTCCAGGCAGCCATTTTCACTTTATTTTTCAGAGGGGTTCCTCACACTTTTGCCCAGGATCAGCCTCAGATCATGATCCTGCTACCTCCACAACTTATGTAGCTGGGATTATAGAGCTGCCTGTTTAATGAAATAGGGTCTCACTAACTTTTGCCTGGGCTAATCTTGAATCTTGATCCTCATATCTCTGGAATCAAACCCAGGTTTTCATGAATGCTAGTCAGTATTCTACCACTGAGTCACACTCATTTATTTCTGCTCTGATCTTTATTTTTTTTTCCCCTTCTATTAATTTTGAGTATTGGTTTGTTCTTATTTTTCTAGTTCCTTGAGGTGCAACGATGCACCTCATTGTTTCTTTGAAATCTTTCTGCTTTTTTTTTTTTTTTTTTTTTTTTTTTGGTGATACTTGCGATTGAACCCAAGGCCTGGGGCTTGCTAAGCAGGCACTTTACCACTTGATCTTGCCCCTTACTTTTTAAAAGATAGGCATTGATTATTAAATCTTACCCCTTAGTTCTGTTTTTTGTTTGTTTTTTTATGGGATGGGCATCTGTAGGTTTTGGTACACTGTTTTTCCATTTGCATTTAAAAAATGTTTGAACTTCATGATTTCTTTTTCTTTTTCGTGGCACTGGGTGGTAAACTCAAAGCCTTGTGCTTGGTAGGCAGGCACTTTACCATTTGAGTCACTCTGCCAGCCCTTGTTATTTTCTGGTTTTGGTGTAGTTCTTTTCTTTCTCTTACAGTCATCATTTATGCTTAAGTAAATTTCTCTAGTAGTATGTTTGTTTTTTTTTTTAATTTTTTATTATTCATATGTACATACAATGCTTGAGTCATTTCTCCCCCCTGACCCCACCCCCTCCCTTACCCCCCACACTGCCCCCTCCCTCTCCCTCCTATCCCCTCGAGACCCAGCAGAAACTATTTTGCCTTTATCTCTAATTTTGTTGAAGAGAGAGTATAAGCAATAATAGGAAGGAACAAGGGTTTTTGCTAGTTGAGATAAGGATAGCTATACAGAGAGTTGACTCGCATTGATTTCCTGTGCATGTGTGTTACCTTTTAGGTTAATTCTTTTTGATCTAACCTTTTCTCTATTTCCTGATCCCCTTCTCCTATTGGCCTCAGTTGCTTTTAAGGTATCTGCTTTAGTTTCTCTTCATTGAGGGCAACAAATGCTAGCTAATTTTTTAGGTGTCTTACCTATCCTCACACCTCCCTTGTGTGCTAAAGCTTTTATCAGTGCTCAAAGTCCAATCCCCTTTTTGTGTTTGCCCTTGATCTAATGTCCGCATATGAGGGAGAACATAGGATTTTTGGTCTTTTGGGCCAGGCTAACCTCACTCAGAGTGATGTTCTCCAATTCCATGCATTTACCAGCGAATGATAACATTGCGTTCTTCTTCATGGCTGCATAAAATTCTATTGTGTATAGATACCACATTTTCTTGATCCATTGTCAGTAGTGGGGCATCTTGGCTGTTTCCATAACTTGGCTATTGTGAATAGTGCCGCAATAAACATGGGTGTGCAGGTGTCTCTGGAGTAACCTGTGTCACTGTCTTTTGGGTATATCTCCAAGAGTGATATTGCTGGATCATATGGTAGATCGATGTCTAGCTTTTTAAGTAGCCTCCAAATTTTTTTCCAGAGTGGTTGTACTAGTTTACATTCCCACCAGCAGTGTAAGAGGGTTCCTTTTTCCCCTGCATCCTCGACAACACCTGTTGGTGGTGGTGTTGCTGATGGCTATTCTAACAGGGGTGAGGTGGAATCTTAGTGTGGTTTTAATTTGCATTTCCTTTATTGTTAGAGATGGTGAGCATTTTTTCATGTGTTTTTTGGCCATTTGAATTTCTTCTTTTGAGAAAGTTCTGTTTAGTTCACTTGCCCATTTCTTTATTGGTTCATTAATTTTGGGAGAATTTAGTTTTTTAAGTTCCCTATACATTCTGGTTATCAGTCCTTTGATGTGTAGCTGGCAAATATTTTCTCCCACTCTGTGGGTGTTCTCTTCAGTTTAGAGACCACTTCTTTTGATGAGCAGAAGCTTTTTAGTTTTATGAAGTCCCATTTATCTATGCTATCTCTTAGTTGCTGTGCTGCTGGTATTCCATTGAGAAAGTTCTTACCTATACCTACTAACTCCAGAGTATTTCCTATTCTTTCCTATATCAACTTTAGAGTTTGTGGATATTAAGATCCTTGATCCATTTTGAGTTAATGTTGGTATAGAGTGATATACATGGATCTAGTTCCAGTTTTTTGCAGACTGCTAACCAGTTTTCCCAGCAGTTTTTGTTGAAGAAGCTTTTTCTCCATCGTATATTTTTAGTGCCTTTGTCAAAGACGAGTTGGTTATAGTTGTGTGGCTTCATATCTGGGTCCTCTGTTCTGTTCCACTGGTCTTCATGTCTGTTTTTGTGCCAGTACCATGCTGTTTTTATTGTTATTGCTTTGTAATACAGTTTGAAGTCAGGTATTGTGATACCTCCAGCATTGTTCTTTTGACTGAGTATTGCCTTGGCTATTTGTGGCCTCTTGTGTTTCCATTAGTAATATGTTTTGATTACTTACTCTTGTTACAGGTGTTTCCTTGGTGGTTATCATAGGGTTACAAAAAAAAAATGGTTTTAACAAGCTATTTTGCAATGGTAGCAACTTAACATTGATTGTAAAAATAAGAAAAACTAATTAAAAAATTCAGTACTTATACTCCATTCCTCCCCACGTTTTGAATTTATTTATTTATTTATTTACTTATTTGTGCTGCTGGGGCTTGAATTCAAGGCCTACATCTTTGAGCTACCCCACCAGCTTTTTTTTGTTTGTTTTGATAGGTATTTTTGAGCTAGAGTCTTGTGAACTATTTGCCTGGGCTGTTTGAACTTCGATTCTCCTGATCTTTGCCTCCTGAGTAGCTAGGATTACAGGCTTGAGCCACCAGCACTCGGCTATGTTTATCCTTTGAGACTTAGTCCATGCCTTGGGATAGACTTGGTTGAGTTGAATCTGACTGGTGACCATTTGATCTTCCTATACATGGATATTTGTGTTTTTCTCTAGATGTGGGAAGTTTTCTTTTATTATCCCTTTGAATAAACCCCTTTGATTTTCTCAAGTCCCTCTTGAAACCCAATATCCCAAATATTTGCTCTTTTAATACTGTCCCAAAGTTCCCATAAGCTTTCTTTTTTACTCATTCTTTTTTCTTTCTCCTTTGACTGTATATTTTCAAATACCTTGTCTTTGTGCTTGGTGATTCTTCTATTCAATCCATTTTACTATTGATGTCTTCTGTTACATTTTTCATTTAGTTTTCTTTTTTTTGTAGGACTGGGGTTTGAACTCACGGCTCTGCATTTGGAAAGCAGGCACTCTACCACTGAGCCACACTTCCAGTCCATTTTTTCTCTGCTTATTTTGGAGATGGAGCCTCCAAACTATTTGCCCAGGCTGTTCTTGACTGTGATCATCTCATTCTCAGCCTCCTAAGTAGTTAGGATTACATGTGTGAGCCACTGATCCCTAGCCTTAATTAGTGTATTTTTTTTTTCTTTCTTTCTTTTTTTGCAGTACTGGGGCTTGAACTCAGGGCCTTCATCTTAAGCCATTCCACCAGCCCTGTGAAGGGTTTTTAGAGATAAGGTCTCTTGAACTATTTGTATGGGCTGGCTTCAAACCTCAATCCTCTTGATCTCTGGCTCCTGAGTAGCTAAGATTACAGGTGTGAACCACTGGTGTACTTTTAAACTCAAGTATTTGTTTGATTTTTTTTTTTTAAACGGTTACTTTAATCTCTGTTAAAGTACTGACTTATTTCTATTTTCCTGAAGTTTGAGTTCCTTTTAACAAAAAACCCCCCAGTTTTATGAATCTATGTAAGCAGGAGTAAAATGAGTACAAGCCATATATTTTCTGTACAGCCTGGCATTGGAATTGTTGACTGTGATAGCCAGCTGGACTGTTTTTCCATGATGGCTTTGAGATTTTTGGAGAAAACATTGTGAGCAATCTCAGCACAGTAAGATTTGTTGGCACAGAAGCAAGGCTTCCAACTCCTTACCATATGCACCTTGAACTTCTGGAGGTCATTGAGCAGCATGTTGCCCCTACAACCACTGTTGACATCAAAATTTGGCCTTTACATTTTTTCTGCATACAGTTGTCACTACTGTTTGGTTTCTACCAGTTGCAATTAATGTTGACATATAATTCTGGTGACAGATTAACTTCTTGGTCCTTTTTTGCAGAGGGAGGGAGGGGCAGAACTGGGGTTCTAACTCAGGGCTTTACTCGTGCTAGATAGGCATTCTACCCTTTGAGCCATGCCTATGCCCTGTTATGCTTTAGTTATTTTTCAGGTAGGATCTCATGTTTTTACCTAAGGTGACCTGGATCCTCCTAGTTATGCCTCCTGCATAGCTTGGATCACAGGTGTGCACCACCAGCCTGGCTTACTGGTTCAGATGGGATCTTGCTATCTTTTTTTTTTTTTTTTTTGCCCAGGCTGGCCTCACACTTGATCCCTGAAATTTCTGCCTCTAGAGTATTGGGATTACAGGTATGAGCCACTGCACCTGGCAAGAATATTCTTGTATGTAATCGTACCGCCACTGGAGAAAGGAAGGGGGTGAGGAGGATTCCCTGATAAGAAAGAAGAGAGGAGAAACCCTCCACTCAGCCTTCCATTTTCCTTACCATTCACAGGAACTTGAAATTCACTATGAAAAACATTTCCAGCAGTTTCACAAAAAGGATCAGGGTGTGTTTTTTTGTTTGTTTTTTTGACTTTGAACTCAGGGCCTCAGGCTTGCTGGGTAGGTGCCCTTACCACTTGAGCTACTCTGCCGGCCCAGGTTTCACAAAAGGGAAACTCACAAAATGAAAGTTTAGCAGGAATTTACTTAGGATAAAGTAGGAATCAATAGAAAAGGGAAAGAGGAGCACCTCCTTCTTGATGTGCAGGAAATGGGAGCAGAAAAGCTCAAAATGGTAGTCTTCCCTCAGAACTGAGGATTCCATCTTGAACCTCAACCTAGACAGTGGTCATGTCACCTAGCAACCCCTAATTATTTAGTTAAGTTTCCATATGTGGAGACAGTGGGTTTAGGGTGAGTCCATTATTACCCTAAAACACAGAAGACAAGGGTCTAGCTAGGGTGGGCCTGATACTACCCCGAACACAGGGACGATAGGTACAACATTTAGAGTGTTCCTTTCGGATGTGCCCTTTTATTTTCCTATCTCCCTATTCATTTCAAGTTTTCAACTTAGCATCCAAAAGGAGGGAGGGGTGATGGAGGAATACTGTTGTTCTTAGATTTTCAGCTTTACCTCCTGGTTCTGTTTTAATTCCTGAACCTGGCTTAATTTGTGGTATAGATAATTTAAAATTTTTAATTGCCCAGTCACCTAACCTCTCTCTCTCGCCTCAATACGTAATTCAGTTTTTCTTCAAAGGCATAGTTGATTTATAGTCTCCATTGCCAGTAACTTTTGTACTTCATCCCTTTTTGTATGGTGTCAACTTGCATAATCTCTAGGTTTATTTGTGACTTTGTCATCATATGTTCATGACCTCCACTTCCCTCATCTATTCAGATTCAGAAATTTGGCTCATTATTTCTCAGGATGTGGCTACTAGACCCACAGCATCAGCATCACCTCGGGGTTTATTAGAAATGTTTCTGGAATCTAAGATTGTGCTCTACTGAAAACCTGGGAAGTAGGAATTACTGGAAGGAAATAGAATATTCAAGGCCTGCCCAGGAAAATACTTTTCTGACTCAAATCTCCATCTTAGGGTTGGAGGTATGGCTCAACCAGTAGATGATCTGTACAGCAAGTGGGAAACCCTGAATTCAAAACCCAGAACTGTCCAAAAATAAATAAATAAGAAACAAAAAAGGGCTGGCAGGTGGCTCAAGTGGTAAGATTGCCTAGCAAGCGTGAGGCCCTGAATTCAAACCCATTGCCACCAAAATGAATAAGTAAACAAAAATAAAAAGCTGTCTTTAAGGGCTCAGGGAGTGCAAAGGGCTTTTATGGGACACAAAAGGGGTTACAGTGAGGCAGTGGGTAGGAAAACCTTGCCAGGACTATTTCTTTTTCTCCATAGTACCTTTTCTTGAATGTCATTCTGGACCTGGGACCTACCTCCTAGGCCTACCATCTGATTTTTATTTTTGTTTTCGATTTTTTTTTTCTAGACAAAATTACTTTTCTGCAAATTAATTCATATGAGCTGAGGAGAGGAGGAGGCACTACAGAACCTTCTCAGAATTCAGGGTATGGGTTGTTAAAAGGTTAGGGAAAGGATTAGGAAGCAAAGGCAAAAGTAAGTTTCTGCCTCTTCTATTACAGAAATACAAATTTTTAGGTACCCTCTCTACCCCTAGTGAATCAGTGTTGGGGGCATAGTATAGTGAACTCCATTTTGACAAGTTCACCATTTGACTTTTTTTTTTTTTTTAATAGTTTATTAAAGTAGTTGACTCAGGCATCTGTAGTGGTGAGTGGTGACTTCAGCTTCCACTTGTGATTTAGTATTGACTGAAGTAGTCTGCTTAACAATCTCAGAATGGCTGTGCAAATCTGTGATTCAACTTGTGGATCTCATCTGGAAAGGATCAAATGTCTTAGAACCTTCACCACAAAGTGATTTTTTTGTAGTGATTTTCAATGTTTTGGAAGGCATCCCAAGTAGTCCTTTCGGTTTGAGATTCTCTCTCTGTGCCTCTGATCAGGTCAGTGCACACCTTGTCCTGGACTTCATTTTGTGGCTGGTAATTCTAATTCAGTGAATGGCCACGTCACATTTTCACATTCATTTTTCAGTACCTTTAAAAGCTATGGCTGCCATGTGGCTTCCTGACTAACGTGTTCCTTGGCATAGGAACCTATAACCTTATCTCCCTCAGAAAGTCCACATGATTCTTACTTATGCACAATGCATTAAGGCTAGGGGAGGTAAAGAACCAGACAGAAAACACTTTAGTCTTTGCAGGCTACATAGTCTCGGTTGCAGCTACTTAACTGTGCCATTGTAACCACTGACATGAGTTCTCATTTAATTATGCATATTTAATCTTTTGTTGTTTTGTCTTTTTTTTTTTTGCAGCGTGGGGGATCATACTTAGGGCCTTGTACCTGCTAGACACGTGCTCCACCACTGAGCTGCATGCCCAACTTTTTATTTATTTGTTTATTTTGTATTTTAGTGCTGGAGGATTGAGCCTGGGATCACTTAACTTATCCTGCTGTAACAATTTAAATAAAAAATAGTGCACTTAGCTTTGAGTGGTTTTAGAATTATAAAATGATAGTTATATAGATAGGTTGTTAGATCAGAATTTTATAATTCTGTTTCTACTGAAGCAAAAACTGACTCAGAAAGGTTGTTACTGGAGTCTTAGGCTGGAAAGCTTTACTCCAGGGACCCCAATAGATTAGATTCAGCAACCCACTCAAAAGAATCCAATTAGAGAGATGAGTAATGGTGAAGCAGGAGAGGAAGTCATTTCAGTGTGACCAACACTGAGGAGGACAGGAGTACTAGTGTCTTAAGCCTTGTCTTCAAGGTGCTAATAATAGTTTTGGGATTATATATGGGAAGAACAAGGGCTGGGGGGATGCTTAAGCAGTCTTGGTCAAGCTGTGGTTTGGATGATCATTACCTCGGGTCTGGTGATACTGGGTCTTACTGGCACAGGGAAGTTGTTACTGCTTAAAGAGGGCAATTTTGATTCCCATCATGGGGCGATTGCCTGCAAGGGTAGCTGTTCTTGTAATTTGACATACGCTAGGGAGGAGACATTAATCAAAGAGAGAACAGGTTAGGGAGATAAAATGGAGTTAGTTATGACAACCATTGGGTCTTCCTTCAGTTATAGAAACTCACCTCAAATCACAGACTAGTCAATTTCAGTATCCTAGAACCTGAGTACTTATGCAAAGTAAAGATAGCCTTGTAATTCCATTACTCTCGGCACATTAAGTCCTAAAGTTAAAAAGTCTGTATCCTTAGTTTTATTTTTCCTGTTATAATTTTTTGTGATTTTTTTTTTTTTTTCCCCTTTTCCCTCTCTCCACTTTAGGCTGGGATAGAAAATCGTCAACTGGACACAGTAGATTTCTTCTTGAAGAGCAAGGAAAATCTTTTTAGTCCATCTTCAGAATCTTCTGTACCTGATCAGTTTCATCACTTTCCATCCCATTTATATTTAAAAAGTAAGTAAAGACTTACACACTTGTTCTTACCATTTTTAATCACTTTCAAATTATTATAATTTTTATTATTTATTTTTGTGGTGCTGGGGTTTGAACTCAAGACCTCATGCTTGCTAGGCAGATACTCTACCACTTGGGCCACTCTATCAGCCCTTTTTTTGTGATGGATTTTTTTGAGTTAGGGTCTCTCAAACTATTTGCCCCTGGCTGGCTTTGAACCAGGATCCTCCTGATCTCTGCCTCCTGAGTAGCTAGGCTTAGACACGTGAGCCACTAGCACCTGGCAGTAGTATAATTTTAAGTCAGGTACTATGATACCTCCAGTATTACTCTTTTTGTTCTGAATTACTTTGGACGTTTGGGTTTTTTGCACTTCCACATGAATTTTAGGATCAGTTTTTCTATTTCTTTGAAAAATTACATTGGAATATTTATGGGATTGTGTTGAATCTATAGATTGCTTTTGGTAGTATAATCATTTTCACAGTTAATTCTGTTGATCCATGAACATGAGAGGTCCGTCCATCTTCTGGTGTCTTCAATTTCTGTTTTTTTGGTGATATCAGGGTTTGGACTACTTGCCCGGTGCTGGCTTCAAACCATGATCCTCCTGATCTCTGCCCAACTGAGTAGCTAACCAACCAGCGCCTGCCTTAATGGTGTGTGTGTGTGTTGGGGGGCGGGGTGCTGATTGTCTCTTCTGACTACTGTCAGAAGCTCAGTCTCAAACCATAGGCCTTCTTTCAAGATGGTGTCTTCCTATAGCTCTCAGGTGATAGGAGCAATAGCACGTCTTTCTCCACAAGGGTTAGCCTTCCACCCCAGAGCATTCAGTGTCTCATCAAATTGCTGCACTGGGTTTAAGGCTTTTGGGAGGTGCGGGCTTATCTTATAGCTAGAATTACCAGTTTATCTCCAGCACTGTCTGGCTTACCTTGTGGTTTTGTCTTTGACTTTCTTCACCCTACTCCCCTGGGGACGTGGGGATGGAGTTTGTAACTCTGTTTTTTTCTGTTGGCTCTGTTTCTCCATGCTCTATGCTGCTCTGCCAGCTCTTTCATGATCCCTAGTGCTCTTCCTCTTTTTCTCATTTGAGAATATTGTCTCTCCTGAGTTACCTTACGGTTCTCATTCATGGAGTCCAAATTGAGAATGCTTCTAGTTTGCCATCTTGCCTACTTCCATGAATTTCATTTTTTAAAGAAATGTTTTCTCAGCTGAACATTGTGCTACATACCTGCAATCCCAGAACTGGGGAGGTAGAGGTAGGAGGATCATGGGTTCATTGCTAGTCTGGGGTATTGCAACTTTGAGGCCAAACTGGGCTACATAGTGAGACCCTGTCTCAAAAGACAAAAACAAGTATTTTCAATCCCCCTGCCTATTTTTTTTTTTTTTTAAACTCTGTTAGTGGTCAAACATAGAGCCTTCTGCCTGCTAGGCAAGCACTCTACTTCTGAGTTCTGTGCCCAGTCTTCTTTTGTTTCAGTTGTAGAACTTTTCTCCTTCCTCTTCAATTGCTTGCTTTTTTTTTTTTTTTTTTTAATGCTGCTCAATTTTTAAAAACCTGGTTGAATTTCTAGGAAAAGGCCAGATTTGTAGTATTGTGCTGCTCCATCATCAAGTATGTGGAGTATTTCCTCCTTTTTCTGTTTAGTGATCCATGATTTCTCCTCACTCTACTCTTACCTGCACTGCTCTTTTCTAATGAGTAGAGATGGATCTGGAATAAGAAGCATGGGGATAAGTTTCATTTACTTTCCTGGCAGGATCCCATTTTCCCATAATTCTCACTCACTTTATACAAAAAGCTGGGTCCCTGAACTTGATGCTAAATTCACAAGTAACAAGAGGAGGGTTTTAGAGGAAAGGAATAAGATGTATGTGCCAGGCAAATGGGAAGTGTAACAAATTAGACTCTCAAAAATTACAGTCCCTGCCTCAATGGGGACGCCTTTTTTTTTTCTTTTTATTCAGTACTGAAATTTGAACTCTGGGACTTGTGCTAGGCATATGCGGTACCACTTGAGTCACACCTCCAGCCCTTTTTGCTTTAGGTTATTTTTCAAATAGAGTCTTGCTTTTTGCCCTGGCCAACCTTGAACTATGATCCTCCTACCTATGCCTCCCATGTTTCTGGCATATGCCACCACACCTGGCTTGTTTTGTTGAGATTAAATCTCAATAACATTTTTACTGGGCTGGCTGGCCTCAAATTATGATCCTCTTCAACTTTTTCTCCCCCAGTAACTGGGATTACAGACATGTGTGCCTTACCTGGGATGTTGGGTTTCCTAAGGTTTGGGCTTCAGGGTCTGCCTGTCCCTGGGTTTATTGGTTCCAGTCTCTGAAGCTGTATGTTCTGCTGAGAAAAGTTTCCTGTTCTGTGACCGACACTGGGAGCAAGATGGTCCAGCAGGTGGATGCAAGAATGTCAATCTTGAATTCCCCAGCAAGAGGGAATAAGAAGGAAAAGGGAAAGAACAAAAAGAGAAAGAAGAAATTAAACTTGAGCAATTGACCAAAATAGATTGACTATAGTAAAACTATAGCTGGGAGCTTTTTTTAGGCTTATTTATTTTGCTTTTTCTTTTTTTTTTGGCAGCACTGAGGTTCGAACTCTGCTGTACTCTTGATAGGCAGGCACTCCACCACTTGAGCCACTCTACCAGCTCTTTTTTGTGTTGGGTATTTTTAAGATAGGTCTCCCATACTATTTGCCTGGGCTGGCCTCTAACCTCGATCATCCTGATTTCTGCCTCCTGAGTAGCTAGGATTATAGGCATGAGCCACTGGCACCTGGCTACATGTCTATTTCTGTTACACATGTACGTGCAATTGTAAAGCTAGAGCCAATGTTCAGATAAACAGAAGGATTCAAGGTCTTGCCCTCCTGGCTTTCCTTGCATGTTGAGGGGAGACTAACTTTGGAATCACACAGGTTAAATTCAAATTTCTACTCTGCAGGTACTTTTAAAATGAGCTTGGGTAAGTTACTTACCCTCTCTAAACCTCAGTTTCCTCATCTATGGAAAGGGAATTACCACATCTCCCTCTTAGGTTGTTGAAAGGGACAATGAGGTAGCATTTGTAAAACACCAAGTTCGATACTTAAGATGTAGGTGGCCTGCGGAATGATAGTTTAATAGTAATACCGGCAAATGTTAGTGACTAGGATCAATAAAGTTTGCAGGTAATAGCCCTTCATAAAAGTCTTGTGAGCTTAGTGAAAATAAGATATTGGTCCTTGTTTATATTTAAAAATATTGCAACATAGTATTTTTGGGTATGTTAATTTTTATTGGGAGTAGTGTAGTATTTTTCATTTTTAATTTCTTTGCTTATTTGTCAGATGTGGAAGAACTGACACCAGCATTGGATTTACTTTGCTCAGCAATTAGAGAAAGTGATTCTGAAACTCAGAGCAAACACTTTTCAGAACAATTGCTTAATCTTACACTGTCTTTCCTTAACAAACAAATAAAGGAGCTTTTTATTCATACTGAAGGTAAGAATACCAGCAAGGAAGGGGGCAGTTGTACCATTCCTGTGTCAAGACAGAAACATAAATGCTGCTCTTACATAAAAGACGTGAAACCAGTGGCATGCCATTTGCTAAAGTTGAGTAAAATTGAGTGAGTGAAATGGATTTTGATACCAGGAAAGCTGGCATAAAGAAGTAGAACTAATCATTGTGAAGAGTGAAAAGGATTACATTAACACACAGCTACTTGTAGTCTGAAAGCACTGATTTTGAATTTTGACATTTTTGAGACCCTTTATAACAAGATGTGGTATGTTCTCTCTCCTTCCTCCCCTCCCTCTATATGTATACACACACACGCACACGCACACGGATGTGCCAACACTGGTGCTTGCTGCAGAGCTAGATGAGTATCTACAGAAAGGAGTGAACATTTTGACTAGCTACATTAATGAACTACGAACATTCATGATAAAGTTTCCTTGGAAGCTAATAGATACTGTAGATGAATATGATGTAAATGAAAATATTCCCACAGTAAAGGAGAACGATACATGGGAGAAACTCAGCTTCAAGGTAAATATGAGTAATTATCATATTTCTTTTATTCTTCAGATTCACAGGGTCTGAGAAAAGTGTAGAAGAAATAGAATTTAGAATCTATACACTTGTGATTCAGAATTTTCGTCAGGGATTTTAGGTTTATTGGTTTAGGGGAAAGTTTAAGCATGACTTCAAATTTATGTTTATAGATTCTGCTTGTTGAATTTGGAACACAGTTAACCTCTGTCTTAATGCCAGGTCTGCCACTTGGATCAAACACTCAAACCCATCTGAAGCGGCACTACCTAGTAAACTTGTTCAGTGAATTAGGCCTAGCACTTTGTTTTAATTTTTATTTTTGAGACAGAGTCTTACTCTTTAGCTCAGGCTGGGCCCTAACTTGGATCCTCCTGCCTCTTCCTTCTGAGTGCTGGGATTATAGGGTACAGCATCATGCCTGCCAGGTCCTGGCACTTCGGGCTCATGCATGCTGCCTGACTTCTGAGTACATTGAGTTGATTGATGCTGGTAGTTAGATCTTAGGATACTTTTGTGACATCATTATTTGAAAGTGTACTTGGCTTGAGTCTTTCCTAAAAGTCTAATTAATACATTTTTGCCAGTTAAATTTTCTATGTCCATCTGTCTGCCTTTCTTTTCATGATAGAATTTAATACAACCAAAATGTGCTTCTCTCTGTATGACTTATATACTGCAAGAATCCTTTATCCACATTGTTTGGAAAAATAAGCAGATGAGATGATACTAGGTTCTTAGGACTCTTGTTTTTGAGTGGAGGGTTAGGGAAGCAACTAGTTGAGTGTATCTTACACTCTTATACCCAGAAATTACTCTTCCTACTATAATTTTTTTGGCTGATTTTTCCCATCTCCTTCACAGGTTGCTCTTCCTGTTTTCCTCCCTTTAATGTTCTCCATGGCAGTACGGTGGTCCTCTGCTTTTTTTTTTTTCCCTTTCCTCAGACTCATTGATTTTTTTTTTTTTTTAAATGGTACTGGCGTTTCAACTAAGGGCCTATGCCTTGAGCCATTCCATTAGACTTTTTTTTGTGAAGGGTTTTTTTTTGGAAAAAAGGTCTCTTGAACTATTTGCCCAGGCTGGTTTCAAACTGCAATCCTCCTGAACTCTGCCTCCTGAGTAGCTAGGATTACAGGCATGAGCCATTGGCACCCAGCTGGGGATTCACTTGGATGAAAGCTGTGGACCCTGTTTCCAAAAACATGCATGTTAATGTATGCATGTGCACAGACACACAATTTGGGCATGGCTTAATGATGTTTGCAGATCTCTTTAAAGCCTGAGTTTAAGAATGCTTGGCTCAAGTTATAGAGCACCTGCCTAGCAAGCTTGAAACCCTGAGTTAAAAACCCCAGTACTAGGGGAAAAAAAATGCTTTCTGTATGTTTTCTGGAGGTTAGTTCTTCAGTTTAGGTCTTTGTTTTGCTGCAACTACTAATACCTCAGTATCTTGAATTGCTTTTAGTCCATTCTCCACATCATTTTCTGAATATTTTCCCTAAAATATGTATCTTATGATTCGAAATATCTTGCTTTTAAGGTCTTCCAGTGGTTCTACATAAGTTTCAGGATAGAATGTAGCATTCATTCATGTATACACACACAGGGCCCTGGTGGAAGAGCTTCTGCTTATCTTTCAAGTCTCATTTGCTACTCTCTCCAGCTTTTCCTCCACTAACACTGTTACATGGAGTTCCCTGAAGGTGTGATGTGTTTTTTTCCTTGTGCCTCTATATGTGATGCTCCATCTTTTTGATTTTTTGGTGGTACTGAGGTTTGAACTCGGGGCTTTGTGCTTGCTAGGCAAGTGCTCTACCACTTGAGCCATACCCTCAGCCCTTTGGTTACCCTTCTTATTAGTTGCCTCTTTTTGAACCCTCTTACTACCTCTTCTGGAGCCTCTTCTCTAGCTTTTTGGGATACTTTTAGCATAGCCCTTTTCAGACAGTACTATAATTGGTGCTTTGTGTCTTCCACTAGATTGTGAGCTCCTAAGAGAGTAGGGTCTGTTTTAGTCAGCTTTATGTCTCTTGTGCCCAATCTCAAATCCAGTACTAGATTTTAAATAACAGTCCTTTAGTTAAGTGCTCAATAAATGTTGATCATCATAATAAGAAAATTAAAAGGAACTTAAAAAGACATTTTTCTTCCTTGTCCTAGGAAGTTATTGCCAATGCCATTTTAAACAACAAAATACCAGAGGTGCAAACCTTCTTCAGAATTAATGGTCATTCTGCTCAAAGACTCGAGGAGCTGATTAGGGTAGGCCTAGGTTTGGTCTTCAACAATTTAAAAAAGAACAACATAAAGGAAGCCTCTGAACTCTTGAAGAATATGGTGAGTGGTGTATTTTTTCTGATCTTAAAGTCTCTCCTATAGGAGACGATCTCTTTATTCCTTCCCTTCCCTCTTCCCTTCCTTTCCTCTTCCCTTCCCTTTTCCCTTCCCCCTTCCCTCTTTCTTTCCTTCTTTTTCTTTCTCTTTTCTTCTTCTTTTTTTTTTTTTTCTTAGCAGGGTCTTGCTTATATACCCAGCGAGACCCTGCCTCCTAAGTGCTGGGGATCATAGGTGTACACCACCATGTTCACCTGAAACAATGTTTTTTATAGAAGACATATGTCACTGCATGCATAGGGCCTCATTATTTGTTGGAAGACCTTCTGTATTGTTCAAGTGATCCCTTACACATCTCCATTTGAACTTTCTGGTGGATCATGCCCTTGTTTGAGGCTTCATGTTTCATGATTTTGCTGCATTTGAGAAGTCATAAAATTAGGGCTGCTGAGATCTGGCCCTAAATCTGCATGGGGTCTTGCCCATGGCAACTTTCTGAAAGTGCAGAGGAATGAACCTGGAAGGGTTGTTATTTACATAAAGCTTTGCTTTCAGGTGAATTAGCAGAGTTGTATTCTTGTCCTATGGTGGCCTAGCATTACCTTAAATTGTTCTGTGTGCTGCCTTTGCTCTGGAAAACTGCTTAAGGACTTTAGGGATAGGCAGTAAATATAATAGATATAGAAAAATGAATATTCATAACAGCAGAGAAAGTATGGTATTTTAACAGAGTACTCTGTACCTAATATTTATATTCAAGTGGCTTCATTACAAAATATAAATTTTTTGGGTTTTCTGTATTTATTATAGGGCTTTGATGTGAAAGACCAGTTGCTGAAGATATGCTTCTATACAACTGATAAAAATATACGGGACTTTTTGGTAGGTAAAGGTGAGACTGTGTAGTTTGTTTGTTTATTTTTGAGACAAGGTCTCACTGTGTAGCCTAGGCTGGCCTTGAGTGTATACCTCTTGCCTCAGCCTCCTGAGTGCTGAAATTATAGGCATGTGGCACCATGCCCAGCCATAGTTTACACTTTTTTCTTTTTCCCTAAAATATGGCAAACGGGAAGTAATTTACATTTTTTAGAAAGCCTTGGTAGAAATTTTGGGAGAGAAACATCAAAATAAATAATTTTAATATTCAACTAATATCGTATAAGTAAGCATATGACAGTCCTTTCTTCTTAAATAATTGTTTTATACTTATGTCAAAGGAAAATATACATTAACTGAAAAGTTCAGAAATGCAGATTCTTTAGTTTTCCCTCTCCGCAGGACCGCCTGCATGTAGGCAAACACTCTACAACTTAGCCACACCCCTAGCCTAAGAATACATTTAAAAAGCATTTAATCTCATGAGTTTTGTTCTGCAAGTGAGCTTGATTTTTGTGAGGTCACTGCTTTAATTACTTTTTATTTAAGGTTGAAATCTTAAAAGAAAAGAACTGTTTTTCTGAAAAAGAAAAGAGAATTGTAGACTTTGTGCATCAAGTTGAGAAGCTGTATTCAGGACACGTTCAAGAAAGTACACAGATCCAGTCCTTTCCCAGGTAGTCATCTTAATCCTCTGCCCTTTCTCACTGGTCCCCTTTTGATAATATTGGAAGAATGTTATAGCTAGTATTTAGTTTTTAATAACTTGAGCACAAGTTTCTAATGTGGAACTTACCCTACCTTCCCTAGGAAGATAAAACTTGTATCATAAAGAAGGGAATCAAGAATTTCCTGTCACTTGTCACTTCAATATTTGTATAATCATAGAATTGTATATTCCTCAAAAGACTAGAAGCCTTTGAGCGTAAAAAAAGGAATGATTTTTTTTTCTCCAGAATTAAAAAAACCAAACTACATCACTGTTTTTAGGTACTGGATAAAGGAACAAGATTTCTTCAAGCACAAATCTGTTTTGGACTCATTCCTCAAGTATGATCTTAAAGATGAATTTAACAAACAGGACCATAGAATTGTCTTAAATTGGGCCCAGTGGTGGGATCAACCAACACAAGAATATATTCTCCTCCCCAGGATAAGTCCAGAAGGCAAGTATGAGAAAGTCCTAAATATGAGCATATTCAATGAAGATTGAGTTGGGTATTGTTATTTGAATCTTTTGGCATCTCCATCTTAGAATTCCTTTTATGGAGAAAATACTTGGTTTCTTTAAAATTCAAGTTATTGCATTAGGACTTTGCTTATCTCAAGATTTTCGTAATGGATTTACAGTGTGATAGTGAAAGAAAAAAGTCACGTGGTTCAATGAGTTGAGATTTCAAGGTTATTGCGAGTTTTTATCCCAGCTTCAGAGTAACATTCTTTTTTCCAAATCATTTTTGAGTTTCTTGTGTAAATTTGGAGATTCATATCATATTAGGACACTGGATAACAACAGTGGTGAACAAGGGCAATTCAGAACCAAATCCATGTTTACTATAATAGCCTAAGTTTTTTATGTGAAAGGAAAGAGAAGAGGGTTAAACAGCTAAGTGAAATGCACAGCTATTAGTACCTGTTAATTTTAGCCACTAGTGAAGATAAACATTTAGCTCTTCTTCTGGTTGGACCAAAATAATTCATACATTATATGACTATCTATGTTCAGACTATTACACTTACTCAGTATTGAATTAGATGTCAGTAATCAAAATTCACTGCTATTTTGAAATGTGTTTTGTTCTTCATGTAGAATACAAGTCGTATTCTCCAGAAGCCCTCTGGAGATACCTCACAGCTCGCCATGATTGGTTAAACATTACCTTGTGGATTGGAGAATTTCAGATGCAGGAAAGTTACGTTTCACTTCAGCAGAACAAGTGGCCCCCTCTGACAGTTGATGTTATTGATCAGAATACTTGTTGCAACAACTGCATGAGGAATGAAATTTTAGATAAGCTGGCCAGGTATTGTAACTGTTGAATTAATCTTCAGTGAGAAGAATAAAAGAGCAATAAAAATAACAGTGAGGGAAAGGAAGCGTGGCTCAGTGGTAGAGTGCATATGCTAGGCCCTCTGTTCAATCCTAATGCATGCTTTCTCTATTTCTCTCCACACACAAACACACACACACATATGCATGCACATATATGTGTGTGTATGTTTACTTTTATACACACAGGTACTTGAAAAGTAGAGATCAGGAGGATCCAGATTTGAGGCCACCCTGGGCAAAAAGTTAGCAAGACCCCCATCCCAATCAGTAAGCTGGGTGTGGTGCATGTGCCTATCATCCCAACCATGTAGGAGGCCATAGGTAGGAGGATCTTGGTTTGAGGATGGCCCCAAGGCAAAAATACAAGACTCTGCCTGAAAAATAACCAAAGCAAAAACTGGGGGTGTGGCTCAAGTGGTAGGTTACGTGCCTAGCAAGTACAAAGCCTTGAGTTCAAACCTCAGTGTGTCCAAAATACGTATAGTTTTTTTCTTTGAAATGCCATAAATCCGGTGTACTGTCATTTCATATTATTACATAATTTAAAGAGCATTATCTTGCCGGGCATGGTGGCTCATAGCTATAATTCCATCTACAGATAGAAGGATTGAGGTTTGAGGCCAATCCAGGCAAAAAGGGGCTATAAGAAGCAAGTGGCAAGAGCTGAGTGTACCCAGAGATGAGGCATCCTGTAATTGTCGTCTTCTCTTCTCCATATTATCATTGCTCCTTTGTGCTGTATGTGGCCTTGAAGTAGACAACTGTTGAGTTACAAAAATAAGGAGAAAGTAGCTCTTGATAAGTGAAGATTTTAAACTGAATTTATTTCTAAAAATAATTCTGTTAGATTGACCTATATGAACTTACCATTTGTATAGATAATAGTGGTTTCATATTGCTCAATCTAATCTATCTTCTGAAAAGTGATGTTAATATATATGTTAAACTTTCTTGTGCTCATTTTGTATGTATTATTTTCTTTTTCTACTTGTTGGGGTATAGTTATGCTGTGTTGTCCTACCCAACTTGAAGATGTGGAGAGTTAAATCTTTAACCCTTATTTTCTATTCATTGTCATCTCTATTATACTGCATGCTCTTCACATTTATTAAAGATATTATAGAACTTGTATACTTATGAAATATTTTGCCTTAGCATTTGATTGTTTAAAAAACTAATATATCTATGGTTTAACATCAATTAGGAGATTAATAAATTAACAAAACCTATTATATAAACTGATTAAAAGGGGGGAAATCATACCACCCTGCACAGATGCAGTGACCCTTAACTTGAAAGATTAGTGTTTTTAAAAAACAGTCTGGCCAACATTATACTTAATGATAAAAAAAATATAACCTTCTTTTTAGATTTTGAGTAAGACAAGCCTGTGGTCACAAGCGCTTCACAAAGTGCTCTTTAGATACAGCATGGTCTTAATAAAAATTCCAGCTGTGTGTGTGTGTGTGTGTGTGTGTGAGTTGTAACAAGTCAATTTAAAATATTTATGTGGAAATGCAGAGGGTCAAGAAGAACTCTGAAAAAGAATGTGCCCTAACTTTGAAGCTGTAGCAGTTAAGACAATGGAAGAATCAAATAGATTAGTTGAACAGAAGAGTGAGCACAAAACAGGCCTATACATGTGTGATCATTTTATATATAACAAAGGTGGCACTGCAAAACAGTGGGGAAGGAGTGGTAAATGGGACTGGAATAACTGAATAAGCATTTAGCAGGGAAAGGGAATTGGACCCCTTCCTTATACATTAAATCATTTCCAGGCAGATTTTAAAACCTAAATATCAAATGAGAAGGTATAAAAGTTTGGAAGAGGCCCTGTGACCTTGGGAGTACGACTTTGTACTTTAAAAGGCTTCAGACAACAGAGGAAAAATAATTACAGAGACCAAGAGGACTGCTTCACATGAGTTGTGGCCCTTAATGGAAGGCATCAGCCAACTAATAGTCCCAGAATAGGGGAAGCCAGGCTACATCCATCATCTTCTTTCTGACTCATCTACAGATGGAGCCCTCTCACTGGGGTGAACCAAAACAGAAGCCCTAGGGCACTGGGGCCTTGCCTTATCCTGCAGTCCAGACAGATGAGGGTACAAGATCACAGAGCAGGATGAGGAGTGAAGTTTAGATCTGAGGAGAGGGATACTAGCACAAGCACATCCTCATTTGTATAATGTAGGTGATGTGTTTAAAAGTAGTATTTAAATGTAAATTTCCTCTCCTTTTAATAGTTGGTCTGTTTAAATTGTCTTAGCTTCCTAGTAATTCTGTGGGTATTTTGATGACTGTCTCAGCTCTCAGAATCATTAATTCTGAGAGCTGTTAATTCCAGCTTTAGAATTAATAACTTGTCACAGTAGGTTTTACAGTTTCAACGAAAGAGGAAAAACAGAAAGAGCTTAGTTTAGGTTTTTGAAATATCAGAGATAACCTGAGAATGCAATTGCTGCCTTTAATTCTGTTCTACAGTGGTATATAAATGTTTACAGGAAACTAGCAAAAAATATGAATCATCATATTTATAGAGTAAGAAGTGACAGCCTTACTTTGAAAATACTTACATTTTAAGTAGTTGATATTTTAAACAGTGCAAGTGATTTAGTCTGTTCTGAACCTAGCAACTTTTAACTTGTCATCCCTAAAACCTGCCTCATAGGAATGGGATTTTTCTTGCATCTGAACTAGAAGACTTTGAACTCTTTCTCCTAAGACTGAGCCGTATTGGAGGTATAATACAAGATACCCTACCTGTTCAAAACTACAAGTCCAAGGAAGGTTGGGATTTCCATTCTCAACTCATTCTCTACTGTTTGGAGCATGGTCTGCAGCATCTTCTTTATGTCTACCTTGACTACTACAAGTGAGCACTGAGAACTGACTTTTCATGCTACTTCTGAAAACTTGAAGCATTTACATGAGAAATACTGATTTTTTTGAAAGCAGTTTTTCTCGCCTCAACACTCAGTACCTCTTTTAGTTGAGTGACTCTTTCAACTAAATGCATATGTGTTCTTTGTTTATTAATCCTGTAACATCTTGTTAACCTTTTCAATACTTTGAGATTAGAATAAAATAGGGCTGGGGATTGTCTCTCAATAGTAAAGCACTTGCCTAGCTTGTATAAGGTCATGGGTTCAATCCCAGCACTGCAAATAAACAAAATGAAAGACCTGCTTTGAAAAGTTTAAAACAAACGAAAAAAATTAGAGGAAGCTTTTAAAGGTTCACTTGGAATTCTTTGATACTTTGATTACCAGGAGAATGCTAAACAGTGTTGGTTCTGTCGCTACTGCAAGGAGTATTAGATAAACTTCAAAACTTGCATAAATAGACAGATATACTATATAAATGTTCACAATGTCATTTAATGCATTTACTCATTTCATCTTCATAAAAACTCTCTGGAATGGTTACTCCTGATGGTAACCACTGAGGCTTCTTTTTTTTCTTTTTAGCAGGTCTGGGTATTGAACCCAGGACCTCAGTTCTAGCCTATGTGTAGTTGTGTAAAGGTTTTTAAAAACCTCCAGAGTTTGAGCTGGGTGCCAGTGGCTCACACCTGTAATCCTAGCTACTCAGGTGGAGATCAAGAGGACTATGGTTCAAAGCCACTTTTAGGCAAATAGTTTTCGAGGCCCTATCTCAAAAACACCCAACACTAAAAGGGCTGGCTGAGCGACTCAAGTGATAGAGTGCCTGCCTAGCAAGCATGAAGCCCTGACTTCAAACCCCAGTACCACCAAAACACCAAGCCCCTCTAAGTTTAAAAATACTAAAAAGTTTTTTAATAAAAGCAAGAAAAATACAAAATATTTTAAAGTACAAGGTATCTGTTAATTTTTTAGAGTTGATAAAGTTTTATCATGGTATGGTACTAAACACATATCTCTAAATCTGTCTCTAAAATTTTCTCTACTTTCAGATCATAAAGAAAATGTAAAGTAAAACGTAAGAGTGCGAATATTTTGTGTTATATTTACTTTGTAATTCCAAGATTTTTTTTTTTCTTTTGAGACAGGTTCTCACTATGTAACTCAGGCTGGCCTTGAAGTTGCGATCTTCCTACATCGGCCTCCTCAGTGTCAAGATTTTGTTTTTCCATTGCTAGTTATCCCATAAGTAAACATGTTATAACTGTCTTATCCTATATATTAATCTGAGGTTTTTTTTTTTTTTTCCTTTAAATACAGACTTAGTCCTGAAAATTGTCCTTTTTTGGAAAAGAAAGAATTACTTGAAGCTCACCCTTGGTTTGAATTTTTAGTTCAGTGTCGGCAAGTTTCCAGTAAATTAACAGGTATGGTTGTACTGTATTAAGCACAAAAATTTCTTTAGATAAAGAATGGGTCTATTGAATGGTATTTAACTTGTGAACTCTTTATATAAATCATTTGACTGTAGTCAGATATCTGACTTGTAATGCAGGCTCACACTTTCTTATAAAACAGAAGACCAAAAAATTTTAGCCTCTTGCCTGCCAAAAAAAGCCAGATTTGGAGAACTTGTGTAGTTATGTCCCCCTCTCTCACCTCAGCCTATGTTCTATTTTCACATTTCTGTCATTCCGCCAGTTTATCATGGACTGAATTTTTGCTTTCTAGTAGGGTAACACCTCTTTGCCATAAGGAAGTCTTGTGTTTTTTAGGTGCCTCTTCTGAACATTTTATTTATTACATTTATTTATTTATTTATTCATTCATTCATTCATTCATTCATTTCGCAGTGATAGAGATTGAGCTCAGGGCCTCTTGCATACTTAACTACACCCCTGAATCTTTTAGTAAGGAGCTTCTAATGGAATGAAAAGAGAAATGTGGTATTCTTGTGCCCTCTGTAAGGGAACTGCTAATACAGAGCCATGCTCTGGTTTTACTCAGACAGAAAAATCCTGTTACCTCTAAGGCTTTGCTAGCTAATGCTATCCCAGAATTACGGGAAAGGGGACAGGCCAAGCAACTATAAAGGCAAAGCTAATCTTAACTTTTATATAATGCCACGTTTCTCTTCAAACCAGCAATTATTTTCATAATGTGGAATTTTTGTTTTTTATTTTTGGGTATTCACTATAAAATACTAAAATTCCATTGTAAAGTTTTTTTAAGAAAGGAAGTCACAGACAATTATCAAGGTGTAAAAACCTTCATAGGTAGCATAGATATATAGGAAAATAACCACCCTTAGGTAACCATTGATAATATTTTCATGTATTTTATTCTAGTTATTTTCTTGGCACTTTCTTTTCATACTTATTCTATATTGTATTTTATGCATCTGACAAATATTTGCTGAGTTGCTAGGGATAAAACAAGAAACATCTTCTTATACTGCTTTTTTATGTAATATGAAAATTTCGTACATTCTTAGAGACAATGGTCATTTTATTTGTTTGTTTTGAGACATGGTCTCACTTTGTAGCCCAGGCTGGCCTCAAACTCAGGATTTTCCTGCCTCAGCCTGCCAAGTACCAGGATGACAGGCCTGTACCATGACACCTGACCAGACAATGACCATTTTAAATGTCAACATAATACTTCATTCTGAAGACTGGGGGTGTAGCTCAAGTGGTAGAGCACCTGCCTAAGGAATCACAGAGAGGCCCTAAATTTACACCCCAGTACTGCAAAAATAAAGACAGAAAGGAGAAAGGTAGGTAGATAGATAATAGATAGATGGAGTGAGAAAGTAAAATTATTTCATTGTGACCAGGTGTGATGGTTCACACCTGTAATTCCAGTTACTTGGGAGGTGGAGATTGGGCAGATCACTGTCAAGGCCAGCCTGGGCAAAAATGCACGACTCTATCAGAAAAATAATTAAAAACAGAAAAAAAATCATTCTGTGGATAGGCCCTTAATTTATTGTCACTCATTTTTTTGACAATGAAGCTGTTTTCAATTTTTATGTTATTGTAACATAAAATGTTTTGCCCTTGTTTCAGATTAATTTCTTAGTACAGATCGGTTTCTAGATACAAAATTACTGAGTCAAAGGTTGTTATTCATGTTTTGAAGGTAATTGCCATCAGGCCAGATTACTGTCCATTGAGGTTGTACCATTTCATTCAGAAGTCTCAGTCTTTACATACCTTGACCAACTCCAGTGCATGATGATGGTGATTTTTTTAAATTATTACTGATTTGATAAAGGATATGTAGCATCTAATTAATGTATACATATACATACATACATACATATTTATTTATTTATTTTTGTGGTACTGGGATTTGAACTCAGGACCTTGAGCTTGCTAGGCAGGTACTCTACTGCCTTGCAGCCACACCTTCAGTTCTTATTTTGTTCTTTGTAAGTTAGTTATTGCTTTTGTCCATTTACCTGTTAGTTTTTTTTTTTTTTCCATTTTTATTAGCATAGATTCATTGTATGGGGGGATTCATTGTGCCAATTTATCTTTTGTGGTATTTTTGGTATTGATTTGCATAAGCTTTTTGCTGAGGGCATTAATTCTTAGATTGTCATTTGCTGTAACTTTTCTCCCTATCAGTTTTCTTTGTTTGAAATCTTTATTTTTATGAAGACAGATCTTTCATTTTTTTTCCTTCATTTATGTCTTTCCATTGCTTTTAAACTTAGAAGGTCTTTATTACTGTGTATAGTTAAATATTTCTTTCTCAAAATTATGTACTTCTTAATTTAGTATTTACCTTTTAAGGAGAAAAAAAAACTCTTTTATTTTTCAGACCCCAAACTGATCTTCCAGGCTAGCCTTGCAAATGCCCAGATTCTGATTCCCACCAATCAGGCCAGTGTAAGCAGTATGCTGTTGGAAGGGCACACCCTCCTGGCCCTTGCTACAACCATGTATGCTCCTGGGGGTGTCAGCCAGGTATGGATGGCACTTTAACATTTTATGGCAACATACCTCTCATTTTAAATTCAGCAGATATATCTGGATTTTCTAGCTCTCACTTGATACTAAAATATAACCATTTTAAAGTATTAAAGAACGTCAAATAGGTGAGTTTAAAAAAATCATAAGTTGAGAGGGAACTAATGGATTGTACAGATTCTTTTTTTTCCCTTTAATGTGATTTCTGTAACTCCAAGTTTTGTTTTTAGGGTCTGATTGCTTCTGAAAGTTGTATAGTTTAGATTTGTGGCTCTCTCTAGAGGGGTAAAATATAAAGTATCATCTTTAGTTTCCTATATACACCCTTTGAGGGACCAAGTGGAAGTATGCTCATCCTTGCTTTTTGAAGATACAGTGTGCATGATTAGAGGGAACTTACTAATGCTGCACAATATCTAATCTTCAGGAGTTTCTTCCTGGTAATAGTTTAATATCACCTCTTTTAGATTGTTGTTGTATACTTACCTGTATGGTTAACTTATTTTTTCCTCTGTGTTTCAACACCTTTCAGAAGTTAGAATCATAGAATAATGTCAGAGCTATGGGGGATGGACTTAGGAATCATCTACTCTTATAGTTTTGGATACTAAATTTAAATGCTTTAAACGTTATAGTAGTAGTGCCTTTTGTCAAACAGCATACAGTTTGAAAACAACCCATCTAGCTCATCTTAATTTTGCAGATTAAGAAACTGAGGCCTAATATTAAATTTCTAGTCCAAAGCTACACAGTTTGTCTTAGATATATATAGAACTGTTAAAGTATTACTACTTTACTAATGCTGTTTCACTAGGAGTCATTTTCTCTAGTAACTTGTTTTTAAATCTTTTTAACTATTTACTATTTGAACATTACATCTATTAACTCTTTTACTTAGGTTGTTCAGAATGAAGAAAATGAGAACTCTTCAAAGAAAGTAGATCCTCAACTCTTGAAGATGGCCTTAACTCCTTACCCGAAGCTAAAAACTGCTCTTTTTCCTCAGTACTCTTCTCCTAGTGTTCTGCCACCTGATATTACACTCTACCACCTCATTCAGGTACAGTATTTAGGAAGCAGTTTGTATATGCATCAGTCAGAGTTCAGCAGGAAAACAGAAAACACTCTACCTCTTTTAAGTGGTAGGCATTTCACACTTACACAAAGCAAAATTAAGCTTTGGACCCTATGTTCAGAAAATTTGCACATAGGCAATAATTTGCTTATATTTCAAAGGAATTCACAGATTCCCAGATTCTTATTCAACTTCTTTTTTCAGTTAAAAGGCCCTTTTTTTCTCTGACATAAACATTCTCGTGTGCTCTGTAATTCTATAAAAGTACAGAAATCTCTCTTACTCTTAATGAAAATAATTCTGAGGATGGGCTGGTGCTACTCAAAAGTATGTTCTGCAGACTGGTGCTGGTCTGTGAGAACTGCTTGTTGCTGGAATGCCATGAAATTAGGATCTTGGTCCAGAATGTAAGCCTATTATGTCACCAAGTACATTGTCTAGCTCAGTAGATTTTGGCTTTTTTTGTGCTCCCCACTACTCTCTTCTGCCAATACTTTTCTTATTGACCATAGTCCACCATTTTTCATTTGTCATTGTTGATGATGTTGGTTGTCAAATTCCATCAACCACTGATCTAGTCTTCTTACTCTTTCCTTTCCTTCTCTTATCTTAATTTATTGGTCTTGTTTACTTGGTAATATTTTGTATCCTTTTTGTCCTCTTGCCTTTTGATGCCAAAAGCATTTCTAAAAGCGGTTTTACATTATAATTGATGCTGTTTCTGCCAAAAGCGTACTTTGCAGATATCTCTGTTTTGCTTTGGTGGTACTGGGCTTTGAACTCAGGACCTCATGCTTGCTAGGCAGGCACTCTACCACTTGAGCCACTCCACCAGCCTTGCAGACATCTCTTGAAGTAAGGAGAATTTTTGAAAGGAACGCAGTTAGCATTTTTATTAAAACAGAAATTTGTTACTTTTTTTTACTTTTAGCTGTATTCAAAGAATTGATGTTCAGAGAGAGAAATTTTAATCTTATTTTGATGCTGGGTATCAAACCTAGGGATTCACACAAACTGGGAAAGCACTCTACTACTGAGTCACACCCTCAGATTTTGTATTACATTTGAGGAGGGAAGCAAATTGAAACCTTATCATATCATTTTGTTTATTTATTTTAGAATCAATGAGCTTTTGATTAATTGACTTTTCCTCTTTTCCAGTCCTTATCACCCTTTGATCCCAGTAGATTGTTTGGCTGGCAGTCTGCCAACACACTAGCAATAGGAGGTAAGTTATTACAATACTTCTTGCTTTAGAAGCATTTTAATAGCATGGGGGGTAGAAGTTAATAAACACATATAAAGCCAATCCATTTTTTCAGTGCTTTCTATTTTAAAAATGAAGGCACAGTCCAATGGAAAATACTTTCCAGGAAACTAATTGAAAACTTTTTTTTAACGGATACACATTTTGTGCTTTCTGCTGTGTTGGTAGCTTGAGTATGTCTGAGGTGGGTTTTGGTGGTACTAGGTTTGAACTCAGGGCCTCATGCTTGCTAAGAAGCCTGTTCTACCACTTGAGCCACTCCACCAGCCCTTGAAAACATACTGTGAGTTAAATGTCAGTGTAGTAGGTTATTACTGCTGTACTTGGTGGGAAATATAATATGTACCTGTCTGTTTATATTTCTCCCTTTCCAGAAATCTCTCTTTTTGCAATACAGTATCATAAAAGTTATGAGTATTGGTGTTGACATTAAATTGTAACTATAAGGCTATTTGTCTCTAACCTGTTGAGTGCTTTGGATGAATCACCTCCCTTCTCCAGATTTGTACTTCTCGTAAAATGAGTAAACCAGGCTACATGATCTCTTGAGGACCATGTCAACTAAGGTGCTCCATGATATTTTGTTAAGGGAATTTTTCTTCTATGATGCTGTGGTTTCTGAATTACAGCTTTGGCTGAGGGCCTCACTGCCAGTGGGACAAGCGTTAATGACCCTATTTTATGTTGGGTGTTTTTGAGATAGGGTCTCTTGAACTATTTTGTCTGGGCTGGCTTTGAACTGTGATCCTGTAGATCTCTGCCTCCTGAGTAGCTAGGACGATCCTAAGAGAATCTAAGGAGAAGGAAGCAAATAAAATTACAAGTAGATTCAATGTGGGGGGAGAGTACAAAGCTTTCATGCAACTTCTAGGGTACACATTTTTGTATAAAATGCAAGCTACCCCATATACTGAAGTAAAACTACTGTGTTTGGAAGATTCAAAGTGACACAAAATATATAGCGGTACAAAATGTTTATAGCAAATAGTTTTCTTTTATCATTGAAGCAAGTCTGATATTAATCATGATGAAGTACAGAGGATTAATATTGCTTCACTTTCTCTCCCAGATACATCAAGTCATCTTCCACATTTCTCTAGCCCTGACCTGGTGAATAAGTATGCTATAGTGGAACGTCTGAATTTTGCTTATTATTTACATCATGGGCGCCCATCATTTGCCTTTGGTACCTTTCTGGCCCAAGAATTAACCAAGAGCAAGGTTCCCAAGCAGCTGTAAGTATTTAAAACATAATTTGTACTTTTTAATAGTAAAAATAAAGTTTATTAAGAAGGGAATACACTTTCAATGGACTGACTGAAAGAAGGTTATCGCTAGAGTGAGAATGAGAATGACCAATTTGTACTCTTAACAAAAGGATATCTGCCAGGTGCTGGTGGCTCTCATCTGTAACCCTAGCTACTTAGGAGGCAGTAATCAGGAGGATCGAGGTTTGAAGCCACCCTGGGCAAATAGTTCAAGAGACCCTATCTCGGGAAAAAACCCATCAAAAAAAAAAGGGCTGGTGGAGTGGCTCAAGGTGTAGGCCCTGAGCCACCAATTAAAAAAAAAAAACCAAAAAGGGATATCAGTATTTTCCCCACACATTTTAGAAATGCCTAGAAATATACACAGCAGACCCTTGGTATCCGTGAGTATATAGTTCCAAGGAGACCACCTTGGAGGAAAAACCACAAATGTTCAGTGTTACACTGCTCGTACTCGACTCATTTTTCCATGATGCCCAACTTCTGCTAAAGACATGCTGTCTTTCAGCAAATCACTTTATCAAATAAAGTGCATTAACTTTCTTTGCTTTTGGGGAGCCATTTACTTTTGGGGAGGCATGTTTTCACAAAAGTATGGGAAGGAAACAGCAGATCATACAGTTTTCAAGAAAACTGGTAACTCGAGACTGAGAGAGCTTCTCTGCATCAACTTAACTGCGTAATGCATGTGTGGGAATTTAAAATTTTTGTTTTTGAAACTTATTTTTTGGCAGTACTGGGGTTTGAACTCGGGGCTTCACACTTGCTAGGCAGGCGCTCTGCCACTTCAGTCACTCTGTTAGTCCTATTTTATGTTGGGTGTTTTTGAGATAGGTTCTCTTGAACTATTTTGTTTGGGCTGGCTTTGAACTGTGATCCTGTAGATCTCTGCCTCCTGAGTAGCTAGGACAACCGGTGTGAGCCACCAGCGCCCAGCTTTTTTTTTTAAATGTACTTAAAACTGCATTAAAACACCATAGTTAAAATAGCATGTAATAAATCTGTGAATAAGGCAAATTTACTGTACCACAGTTAACAGTGATTACATTTGGATGATTTGAAGTTTTTTTGGTTGTACTTTTCATTGTGTTCCAGGTTGTTGGCATTTTGTGTGATTTTTGTGAATGGGAAAAATATATCTTAAAAGGTACATTTTATGTGTGAGCTTTGTCAAGTATCAGTAGTTACTCCAGAGGAATAATTCTGTAATGGGGTATGAATTTTGTATTTTAAGATACTTCTTTTAGGGCTGGCAGCATGGCTCAAGTGGTAGAGCACCTGCCAAGCAAACACAGGGCTATGAATTCAAACCTCTGTACCATCAAAAACAAAACAAAACAAAAACACTTTCTTTTATAAAGTACACAGTTGGGAGGAGTACTTGATATAATCAACAGATAAACATAGATTTATTTTTGACTTATTTTATAATTAACAAAGTAATGCACATTTGAAATGTTTATTTATTTTATATATATATGTATTTTTTTCAGAGCTGGGGATTGAACCCAGAGCCTTGTACCTGCTAGGCAAGTGCTTTATCACTGAGCTATATCCCCAGCCCTGAAATGTGTTTTTTTGTTTTGTTTTGTTCTGGGTTTTTTTTTTTTTTTGCAGTACTATGGCTTAAACTCAGGGCCTTCATCTTGAGCCACTCTGCCAGCCCTTTTTGTGATGGGTATTTTTGAGATAAAGTCTCGCAGAGTATTTCCCCAGGCTGACTTTGAACACAATCCTCCTGATCTCTGCCTCCTACATAGCTAGGATTACAGACATGAGCCTCTGATACCCAGCCTGAAATGTGTTTTTGAGTCCTTTAAAATGTGCTTTAAGATGTCAGACTTTAAGTGGTCTTGATTTTTCTTGGTAGTTTGTATTCTTTCTCCTAATTGATAAGATCAGTTGACAGTCTTTTTGATATCTGCTCCATTTCTTCTGGGTGAGGTTGGAAGCAGGAATAATCTTGAGTAGGTTGTTAGGAGAAGGTTAATCTTTAGGGATTGTGAGCTACAGAGCCAGAAGACAATTAAATGGCTAGAACCCAAATGTGAGCCAAATGGGAAGGGGGTGGATATGAAAAGTCTCGTATCTGGCCCTCAATATATCCTTGATGTAATTCCATTTTCTTTTTCCTAGAGAGATAATTTTTATGTGCTGATAGGATTTTGATTTCTTTGTTTTTCAGGATCCAGCAAGTAGGCAAGGAAGCCTATGTCCTAGGACTCTCTTCCTTCCACATACCTTCAGTAGGAGCTGCCTGTGTTTGCTTCTTAGAATTGCTTGGCCTTGACAGCCTCAAGCTCAGAGTTGATATGAAAGTGGCAAATATAATTTTGAGCTACAAGTATAGAAACGAAGATGCTCAGTACAGCTTTATCAAAGAGTCTCTAGGTTTGTAGTATTTTTTTCCTTATGTGAATTGTTTTGTTTAGAGAATGGGTGAATAGGTATAAAGCATCGAATTGTGAGTGGGTGGGGAGGAGACAATTACTTTCCTGTTTGTTCCTTTCCCTGCAGAGTGTGTGTTCTTATCTCACTTTCTTGGGTACTTTAATTGGTTTTAAGTGACCCCAGGTCACATTATTCAAACAAAAATGCCTAGGTATTGGGCTGGTGTTGTGGCTCAAAGCGGTAAGAGTACCTGCCTAACAAGCAATAGGCCCTGAGTTCAATCCCCAGTGCCACCAAAAAAAAATAAATAAGTAAAAATTCCCAAATCTTGATGTTTTCTCTTAACCACATATGTGTGTATTTTTTTTTCTTGTCGTTTGTTTTGTTTTGTTTTTTTGAAACATAGTCTCACTATGTTGCTCAGACTGTTCTCACGTTTCTGGGCTCAAGTGATTCACCTGCCTCAGCTTCTTGTGTAACCAGGGTTACAGATGTGTACATTGTGCCCCACTCAATTTTTGTTTGTTTCTTATAGTTGAAAAATTGTCTAAACTGGCAGATGGTGAAAAGGCAACCATAGAAGAATTGCTTGTTCTCTTAGAAGAAGGTATATGGAACAGCATTCAGCAGCAAGAAATAAAGAGGTTTGTGAGTGCAGTCCAGTGTCTTATCTAATAAGCTTATGCCAGCCTCTGTTGGTCTAGTTTTTCTGCCAGTACCTCTGGTGTTTTCACCAAAATCCTCCTAGACCTGATCTTACTCATGCAGCAAATAGCAGACACTAAATAAATGAAGAATTATTTTATTACATCTTGCCAATAGTGATTCCCTCTTTAGAGATGCAGGTCAGAGAATCCTTTCAAGTGTTATATGTTGAAATAATTGCAGAGGGCTGGTGGAGTGGCAAGTAGAGTGCTAGCCTAGAAAGTATGAGGTCCTGAGTTCAAGTCCCAGCACTGCCAAAAAAGAAATAACAGAAACAGACCCAGAGAGACTCTGTTCAAATAAACAAAAGACACAGGCTAAAACAACTATGCCTATGTGTTGAAAGACATAAAAAGAGACGTTTCAAAATTTTTCAAAAAAAAAGGGCTGGTTGACTGGCTTGAGTGGTAGAATGCCTGCTTAGCAAGCATGAGCTGAAACCTCAGCACTACAAAAAAAAAAATAAAATAATAATAATAATTGGAGAAGATGTAGGATGGGTTTCACAAAACATGATTTTAAGTAATGTCCTTAGCTTTTCTTCCTATCATATATCATCTGATAATGGATGTATGTCAGAGTTTCTATCCACAAAAGCACATTCATGCCATCTTTTCATGCCCCTGGGAATACACTCATATCACACATCTCAGTAGTATCCTGCTTGCAGCAGGAATATGTCAGGGGGCCCAGGCACCTACCAGAGCTCCGAGTACTCTAAAGTGAATCACGGAAGAGAATTAAGCATCAGAAAATTTGAGTGGCTATTTTTTCAGTTCTCCTAAGGATGATACATATAGCTAGTAGAATAGATAACTTGGTTGATGATTTGGGGACTGTATGAGTTGTACACTAGGAAAGTGGTTCTGCTCTATCAGCTTAAGAATCTTTTTTTTTCCAAAGTAGCCTAATAAATATTTGGTATTTGTTGAAAGACTTTTTAATTTAATTTTTTTATTTTTGTGGTATTGGGGATTGAACTCAGGGCCTCAAACATCCTAAGTGTTCTGCTGCTGAACCCCCTCCCCCCAAGCCCTTGTTTGAAAGGCTTTTTAGAGAATACACTGTGGTTAAGTTTATTAAGTTTTATTTAAGTTTCCAGTTTCAAACTAGAGTTATATTCTAATAAGATCTTTTTCTCTACAACCCCATCCCTAATTCTAATATAGGCTTTCCAGTGAATCTAGCAGCCAGTGGGCATTAGTGGTACAGTTCTGCAGGCTCCACAATATGACACTGAGCACATCTTACCTTAGAGAATGTGCCAAAGCAAATGATTGGCTACAGTTCATTATTCACAGCCAGCTCCATAACTACAACCCCGAGGAGGTAAGCCTTGATTATTGGCAGCTACTCAAGAGGAAATTGAAATACTTTTTAGAAGATAGTGTTCTTTCTGTTGTGTAGACTTAGGCTTTTGTTCTATATGACACTTACTTTTACTGAGTTCATTGAGTACTAATAGTCATTAGTGCACTTGCACCTGGCCTGAGTATCTTTTTTTCCCAAAAGGAAAAAGAAATATGATCTTCCCTTCTTTTTAATATCTGTGACTTAATTCTGCTGTGATGCTATTATTAATAGCACTTAATGTAGTGGCTCATGCCAGTAATACCAGCATTTGAGAGCTAAAGTGGAAGGATCACAAGTTTGACCCGAGCCAACCTAGGCTGCATAGTATGATCCTTTTAAAAAAACAGCAGGTCACTTTGTAAAATTATATGGTCACTTCCAATAGAGTTTGGGGTGAGAAAGAATAATTTTGCCTGTGCTTTTCTATATCATATTCAGCTCCAGCTGAAATGGAAAATGAAGTGTCTATTTCAATTATCTAATACACTTTCTAGGTGAAATCCCTTCTCCAGTACTTCAGCCCAGTCCTTCAAGACCACTTAACACTGGCTCTTGAGAACTTGCCATCAGTGTTCACCTCTAGAGAGGACAGTGATCAAGTCTACAACAACCTCCCCCAGGAACTCCAGAAAAACAAAGAAGAGATGACTGATGTCTTTGCAGTTCTGCTCCAGTGCTCAGAGGAGCCAGACTCCTGGCACTGGCTCCTGGCTGAGGCAGTGAAACGGCAGGCCCCTATCCTCAGTGTCCTGGCCTCATGTCTCCAGGTGAGAGTTATGAGAAGCCTAAATTAAGGACCTAGAGAGCAACAGAAAAAAAGTGCTGAGGGACAGAGAAAGCTGATAATCAGAAGTGGGTGCTCCAGCATGTTTCCAAGGTCACCAAAACCTTTTATGCTTCTGTAGCTTAGGCTCTCAGCCATTTGTGTACTTGTTTGGGCTTGATGTTCAGTGAACTGAAGTGATGAGAACCTTGGTTTCTGGTTGGCAGTCACAAGAAAGTCAAGAAGGACACATTGGTGGGCAGACCACCACTACTTCTGTAGCATCTTCTTGAGCAGAAGAGGGAATATTCCACATGGTCCCTTAATCAGCAGATCAGTGGAGGGCAGTCCTGTTCTCTTCCACAAATATTCCCGCTCTGTCTTCTTGGCCCTTTGGCCAGCCACACACTACAGTCCCTTGGTTTGTTATAAATTGTGTCATGTTTGGAAACTTTTCATGCCATTTTAACTGAGTTGACTTTTTTTTAAAGAAAATATTCATTTGTATACTTGTTAGGTAATCCAGTACTGCTTATTTTATTTTGAAATTTTCTTATCCTGTGGCAGGATGCCAGTGTTATCCCTTGTCTCTGCGTTTGGATCATTACTTCTGTGGAAGATAGTGTTGCAGCTGAAGCAGTGGGACACATTCAGGGCTCAATAAAGAACCATACATGGGATCTTGAGGACCTTTCCATCATCTGGAGAACATTATTATCAAGGCAGAAGAGTAAAACTCTCATCCGAGGTTTCCAACTTTTTCTTAAGGTAGTGATTCTTTCCTGAGCTTAAGAGGGTCACTTCAGCATATCCTTTGTTTTCTTATTCTCATACCTAGATATTTTTTTTTCCCAGCAAACAATGGATGATAATAGTAATAGAACTACCATTTTTTTTTCTTTTTTCTTTTCTGTGCTGGATATTGAATCCAGGGCCTTGCACATGTTAGGCAAACACTTCACCACTGAGAAACATCCCAGGCATACCATTTATTTAGTATAGTGGGTTTTTTGGTTTTTTTGTTTTGTGGTACTGGGGTTTGAACACGGGGCCTACACCCAAGCCTCTCCACCAACTGTTTTTGTGTGTGTGTGTGTGTGTGTGTGTGTGTGTGTGTGTGAGTGAGTGAGTGAGTGAGTGAGTGAGTGATGGGTTGGTCTCGAGAACTATTTGCCTAGATTGGCTTTGAACCACAATCCTCCTGATCTCTGCCTTCTGAGTAGCTAGGAATACAGGTGTGAGACACTGGCGCCTGGCTTAGTAAAGTGTTTTTCATACATCATTTTAGCAAGTTCTCACAGTATTCCTATGCAAAGATATCATGTGTGAAGATATTATGAAGTGGCATTACCCTCATTTTACAGATTAATAAACTAATGCTCACAGAACTTAACCCACCCAAGGACACAAAGTACCTTAGTAAGCAGTGTACTTGTAGTTCAGATTCATACTTTCCAGTCCAAAACCTCTGTCCTCCCACCGAGGAGCTCCAGTTGAAGGTAATAGGCAGGGGATAGGGTCACTAGAGCCCGTTTTCGAGGAGTGCATATTAGAAATACCATGTCGCCACCTAGTGGAATGTCTCCTAGCGTGTGCAGCTGGTGCGGAATAGAGACAATGATTTTGTTGAGCACTTGCACCTGGCCTGAGTATCTTTTTTCCCAAAAGGAAAAAGAAATATGATCTTCCCTTCTTTTTAATATCTATGACTTAATTCTGCTGTGATGCTATTATTAATAGCACTTAATGTTCTCTTATTTGGCATTATTCATTGAGAAAATATTAAGTTCAAGATTTTCTAATTTCAAACTCTTTCTCAAAGGATTCCCCATTACTGTTGATGATGGAGATGTATAAATTGTGTATGTTCTTCAAGAATTATAAGGATGCCAAAGTTAAACTTCTGGAGTTCCAAAAGAGCCTTGAAACTGTAAGTTGGAGTTACAGAGCTCTTTCTTACTGACCTGAAATTGGTTGGCTTTGCCTGTTGTCTGCTAGTAGTTGGGATGGAGCAGCAAGAGATTAATGGTTATGTGGCATGATTCAGACTAAGTCCAGAGATTCCAGAAATGGAGAAGCAATGGAAGGAGTCCCAATGACCTCACCAGTTGCCATGAACAGAAATTTCATGAAACATGCTACTGCATCCTGGTGCTACTGCCAAGTATTCATTAATCAGAGATCATTGTCCTGCTGTAGAGCCTAAAACAGGACAGGAGTAGTACGCTCATCTAGGAAGAACCCCAGCAGTACTAGTGTTCAATACTGCTTCAGTCACTGTGAAAGAAAACAACAGTGTTTTCATCAATACTTGTGGCAGTCCCTGTCCAAATAATGCTGAGCCATGTGGTCAGTTCCAGGATTTATCTCTTTGAATATTCAGTTCAGGCCTGTTTAGGATGCTAAGCTTATTAACTTTATGGAAAAATGATGAGGTTTTAAGAGAAGAGAGAGAATATACTTTAGTCCTGCGTGGGGCACCCCAAAAGTGCTATTGGTAAACAAAGTGTGCACCTTCTACCTAACAAATAAATATATCAGGGGAACTTCAGTGCAGGCTTTGGCTCTAAGTCACATTAGTGTTAACTTTAAATAAAAGTTTAAAGGTTATATATTTGAATAGAGTGAATCAGTTATTTGACTATGGCTGAGATTCCTGAATCACAGAAAGTAGGCATGTGGAGGATCACCAGTTTCCAGGTCCCCCTGCATTCTCCAATATTCAGTTTTTCTCTTCTCTTTTCTCCAACTAAATTCTCTACAAATAAAATATTTCTGAGCTCTGCAAAAAAAAAAAAAAAAAAAAAAGAAAAGGCATATGAATTTCCTCATCTTGCTATTCTCTGTGGCCTGGGCACTCCTAGGTATCATCTTTTTCCTCACTGCCCCTGCTCTGGCCTCCTGCTGAGAAGAGTACAACTCTTCCCATCTTCATCTCAGCCCTTTACTTCCATGTAGTTTCTAGTTCCCATCATATGCTCATGGTACTCCCTTTTCTTCGAGCAACAGAGTTAGATAAACAAGTAATTAAGTAAAGACTAAGGATGAATACCCCAATCCCAGCTGATTTCAATAAGAACACTCAACAGGATAAAGAATCAAGAGTAGACACATTAGCCAGGCACAGTGTTGCTCTCAGCACTCAGGAGGCTGAGGGAAGAAGATATAAGTTTGAGGCCAGCCTGGACTACAGAGTGAGTTTGAGGTCAGCCTGGTATGTGTGTGTGTGTGTGTGTGTGTGTGTGTGTATATATATATATATATATATATATATATATATATGGGGTGGTGGGAAAGAACCCCCAACCTAAAAAAAAAAAAAACAGAGAAAGGGAAAAAGAATAGACATAATAACTTTTGGCCCTTCTAACAATCAAAGTCTAGTCAGAGAGCTATAGAAAATATTTGGTAACAGTGTCTAAGCAGGAATACTAGTTAAAAATGAGCTGCCTCCTAGTTATCTATCATTGTCATGGTTAAACGTGGTACTGGGGTTTGAAGTCAGGGCCTTATACTTGCTAGGTAGGTGCTCTACCACTTGAGCCACTCTGCCAGCCCTGTTTTGTGTTGGGTAGTTTCAAAATAGGTCTCACAAACTATTTGTCAGGGGCTGGTTTCAAACCACAGTCCCCCTGATCTCTGTCTCTTGAGTATCTAGGATTATAGGCATGAGGCACTGGTGCCTGATGATTATGGCTATCTTCTTAAATAGTTTACAAGGAGGGAGAGGCGCCAGAAGCAAAATGGTCTTCCTTTAAGATAGCCAGTAAGCTGGGTTCAATACTCAGGAGGCTGAATGGGAGGATCACTTGAGCCAGAAGTTCAGGACCAGCCTGGTCAACATAGGAAAACCCCCATATTCTGAACACGGGGGAGCAGGTAACCTTATTGAATATTAAGAGAAGAGGATGAGAAATGGACAGGTAGGACCATATATAACTAGGAAAGAGAGTAGAGAAGGAAATTTCAAGTAGCTATAAGAAGATAGCAGTAATGTGACATAGGATTTTATAAATTATTCCTTTTTTTATATTGTTGTACTGGAGGTACATTGTGACACCTATAAAAGTGCTTACAATATATGTTAGTTAAATTTACCTCTGCCATCATTCTCCTTTATCTCCCCTTCCCCCATTCTTAGAATAGTTTCAGCAGGTCTCATTTTTCCATTTTTATACATGAGTGCATAGTATCTCCACCACACTCACCTCCTACACCCTTTCCTTATATCTCCCATACACACTGGTGCCAACCCCCAGACAGGACCTGTTTGCCTTCCTGTTCTCCATTTTTGAAAAAAGTCATTTTTAAGATAGCTATACAGGGAGTTTCATTATATTTCCACATATTATATTGTATTCCAAATTGGTTCATCCATTTTCTCCTTTCTGTCTTAGTCCTCTTCTTATGGTGATTTCAGCAGGTTTTAAAATTCTGTATTTATTCTTTTATGGAAAGTACATTAAGTATATTCACCTTCTTTACTTCTTTTCTCGCTTTCCTGTTAGTGACCTCCCCTTAATATGGTCTTGATTTTCATTCTTGTCCTTCTTTGCTTAGGTGTCTGATCATTGTTCATTGGGAGGTTTTATTATACCAGTGCCTTGGTATTATACCTGTGCATGCATTTTGCTTACAGGGATGTAACCTTCCTCCACTGTACTTCCTTGCCTTTTTCCCCATTCTGTGTTGTTTAACAGTGTTCGTCATGTTTCCGTTTGTCTTATTCCTACATGGATGTGATGTACTTCATTATTATTCACTGACTTTTTCCTTCTTTGCCTCCTCCCTTGGTATCCTCTGCCAGTCTGACTTTTGGATACATGTTCTGTATAAATTATTTCTTAATTTAAGATCTTCTCTTTTTTTTTTTTTTTTTTTTTGCCATGCTGGGGATTGAACCTAGCCTTGACATGCTGGTCAATCACTCTACCACTTGAACAAACCCCTAGCCCTTAACTTAAGATCTTAACAGTACTGGGCATTCCACTTGAGGGAATAGTGTACTTCTGAAGATCTGTATCACAGCCAGAAAGCCTCTGTGCATATTAGACTTACTTTGAAGTGTCTTCTTACAGTATGAGCAGACGTTTGCAGAGGTCTTCAGTTAAGACTAGGGCCTATCCCAGTACAGGGCACAGAGCTAACAAATTACAAGTTTTTGATGCCTATCTACATATGATATTCAGTTTTTGAAACCAGGAATTTAAATTTTTATCCCACTGAGAGGCCCATTATGTTTTGATTATGCTGTATGAAGTCTGGAGTGAACTATGAAACTGCAGTGACTTTAAGTATCAAATGTTAGTCTTCAAAAAGTGAATACAAAGCAAGGGGCCAAGTAAAAATCAGGAGTGAAGTGACAAAAGAAGCATCCTGTGGGAAAACATCACTCCTCTTAGTCTTGGGTGCAGTGTCTTGGATACCTTTGCCACACCTTCTATGGAAATTCAGCCTGCTACATGGAGACATCTTCCTATTCATATTTGAAATGTGATTGACATGATATAAATTCAGGCTTCTTAACTGAAATCATTCTTGAATGAGAATGTAAACTATAAGCAAAGTACTCAATAAAACCAGCTCAGCAGTGGTAAGCAAGTCTTTCTAAGAGGTCTTCATAATATGAGTGTAAAACCTGGACTCAAGGGCAGGCCTCAATCCCATTCTAAAATAAAACTGCCAAGTGAAACATGTTTGGTTAATTTCACAGCAACTCATAGGGTATTAATTTGATGATCACTAACTGGGGGAAACTTACACACATGAACTTCAGAGTTGGCATTTAGTCTTTAGGACTCTAGACTTTCATACACGCAACCCTCTGCACCAGGACTTCCCACAAGGAGAGAGGGCAAAGTTGCCCTGTGGGCCTGTTCACTGGTCCTTACTATTTAGGTGATAGGAAGTCACCTTTTTTGGGGAGGAGAATGGGGAGGGAACTGGAGTTTGAACTCAGGGCTCATCCTTATAAAGCACGTGCTCTACAGCTTGAGCCACACCTCCAGTCCATTTTGCTAGGATTATTTTTGGAGATGGGATCTCACAAGGTATTTGCCCAGACTGTCCTTGAACTACTGTCCTCCCAAGTAGCTAGGATTACAGGCGTGAGCCACTGGTGTCTGGCAAGAAGTCACTTTTAGGGGTATCTTAGCGTTCCTGTTCCCAAATTTGAAGGTTTTAATTCTTTCTTTCTCTGAGCCCTTTTTGTTTTTTATAGCTTGACACAGAAGCTACCAGTGTCCTCCCTATTCTACCTGCCACATGGCTGAAGGATCAGGTGTGTTTCCTTTTGAAGCTCATGCCACAGCAGTGTCAGACCCAGTATGAGCTAGGGAAGCTTTTAGAACTGTTTGGTGGAGCAGAGGATCTCTTCTGTGATGGTAAGACAATCCTTATCTTGAAGTTGCTCTTAAAAAGTTAGCTTCCTTAATCTTGAAAATCTTTTAGGAGGGCAATTAAGAATATTGAAATGCCTATGATGGATAACATATTTATAGTCTGTTACTGAGCATAAAGAGGTTATTTATAACTTCAAATTTGGGTTAAAACAGTTCAAAAACATACACTAGAGCACCTGACATAAATAATACAACCATTGTTCTCATTCTAAGCAGTTGTTATCTAGCATCATTTCCCCTCAGCAGGCCTTTACATTAACACATTACTACCATCCTTTTCTTCAGAAAGCAGTCTTCATATGTCATCATTGCTTAGTGTTACAAACCGTATTTCAGGAATGCATAATTCATTTAAAATGTTTCAGAGACAAATTGTGCTTATTTTTCTGCAGATTCCTTCAGATGTTGGCATTCTCTAAGCTTGTTGCAGATTAAATCAAACTAATATTGCCTACTGTTTTCCAGTTGTTTGATAATATTAAGTTTTTGCTGACTGATAATGTTATTCCTTTATACTAGATTCTGACATTTTCACTGCTAAGGTTATACTGTCACATTTAAACTCACAAATGTTTAGTTGGAAAGCTCAAATTTGCACAGAACACTGACAGAATGTGGGGTTCCATGCCAAATGTTGTAGGCTGCCGGTCTAATGACTAGAGGGAAAGAGAGGTATTTCTAAAATGCAGTAATACAAGATGTAGTTGTTTACTGTGCAGACCAAATGGACAGAGAGCTGCCTGCATTGATCTGTAATAATTTTCATTTTCTTAGAATGAATTTCCTGTTGTTTGCTATTGTTAATCTATCTTTGAATAATTACTAGGATTAGCTACTTTGTTAACCATTACTGTAGTACTTTTATTCATGTAAATTATGGGGTTTTTTTTTTTTTTGAGACAGGACTTTACTTTGTAGCCCAGGCTGGCCTCAAACTGACTATGTAGTTTAGGCTGATCTCAAACTCAAAATCCTCCTGAATGTTGGGATTACAGTGGTGCATGCTGCGCAATCATGCCCAGCCGAGAATTTTTTTTTTTTTCTTTTGGCACTGGAGATTGAACCCAGGGCTTTGTACATACTAAGCAAACTACCACATGCTAGGGAAGCACTCTATGCTCCCTGCACTTTTGGTTTTGAAATAAAGTCTGTCTAACTTCTCCTGGGCCAACCTTGAAGTCATGATCCTCCTGCCTCTGCCTCCCAAGTAGCTGGGATTACAGGCATGCACCTGGCCCAACTGAGAAATCTGCATGTTGCTAGTATAATTTCCAGGACATCAGGAAGAACTCAGCTGGGCCTCCCTGAGTAAGTAAGTAGCTATCAGAAGGAGCATTCTTAACACAGTGGTGCTAGCCAGCTTCAGTTTAAATTGTCCTACACATTTCTGTGTCTTGATCCACAAGATGGCTACATTGGACAAATGACTGATTGTACAAATCTGATCAAGAGCAAAATCCAGAGAGAGGTTGGCCTAGCCTAAGTGAATGGCTAAAATCTTCCTAAGATTACTGCATTCTTACTACTTTGTAGGCCATCAACCTCTGCCCTTTTATATAAAGTCAAATGTCTAGATTGAGTTCAGATCCTAATCTCTAATACTTCTTAGAATAGGATAGACAAGTTCAGCCAGACTTTACTACAAAGGATTTTCTAGAGCCATTTTTTGGCATCTTTGGTATATAAAGAACAATTTATGGCTTCTGTCAATCAAATTAGAAAGATAATGTTTTTGTTTTTCCTTTACTCAAATTAGTATGTTAAGCATGCATTTCCTCCTAATATTTGTTACTCATAAAATACCATAGCAGTATTTTCTTGTTTAAATGTTTATATCCTCCTTTATTTGGCACAGGTCCAGATGTGAAGAAGTTGTATGTCCTTAGCCAGATTTTGAAGGATACATCCATAGCCATTAATCATGTAATTATTACCAGCTACAGCATTGAGAATTTTCAGCATGAATGCAGATCCATTTTGGAAAGACTGCAGACAGATGGACAGTTTGCATTGGCCAGGAGAGTAGCAGAATTAGCTGAGTTACCTATGGACAGCCTGGTTATTGAAGAGGTATCATTAGTCTTTTAAGTTAAAGTCTTAGTTTTTTAAAGCAGCATAAACCAGAGAACCAAATAAGATACAATTTATAGGAGATGAGGCCTTTTACCTTTGGATGTTCATTATTGAAGGATGTTTGCTTTTAAAGTGTGTTGCTTGAAGATGTACTCCAACTATTTTCCTTTGAATAGAGTTAAATATAAGGTGGCTTCCTCTGGAACCTCATTCAGTTAGATAAATTGAAAATTGTTTTTGCTACCTTAACTTTCCAGATAAAATATCCATGTTGTCTGTAGCCAAATCTCATGTTCTCCAGTTTGATTTGGTTTTAGCAAATATGGTGTACTTAGGGAACATTAACATTTGTAATACTACTTTATCGAGGAAAGCCTAAAATTTGCTTTGTTGAATTTCACAGATAATGCAGGAAATGCAGACACTAAAACACATCGCACAGTGGTCCCTGAAACAAGCAAGAATTGACTTCTGGAAAAAATGCCACGAGAATTTTAAGAAAAATGTCATTTCAAACAAAGCAGCTTCTTCCTTTTTCTCCACCCAGGCCCTTATGGCCTGTGAGGATACAGTAGGACAAAGCAGCATTGAGGAACGCCATCTGCTGCTTACCCTGGCAGGACACTGGCTTGCACAGGAGGACCCAGTGCCCTTGGACAAGCTGGAGGAGCTGGAGAAACAGATCTGGGTCTGCCGCATCACCCAGCACAACCTCCTCAGAGGGAATCCAGAGGAAACAGAGCCTAGATTTTCTCGACAGATCTCAACTAGTGGTGAACTTTCCTTTGATAGCTTAGGCAGTGAGTTTTCCTTCTCCAAATTGGCTGTTCTGAACACGTCAAAATACTTAGAACTTAATGGCCTTCCATCCAGAGAGGCATGTGAGAATAGATTGGATCGGAAGGAGCAGGATTCACTAAACTTTTTGATTGGGCACCTACTGGATGATGGCTGTGTACATGAAGCAAGTAGAGTGTGCCGGTACTTTCATTTCTATAACCGAGATGTGGCCTTGGTGTTACATTGCAGAGCTCTGGCCTCAGGGGAGGCCAGTGTGGATGACCTGCACCCAGAGATCCGTGCTCTCCTACAAGGTGCTGAGCTGCCTGAGGAAGAGGAGGAGCCTGGCATTCCTCTAAGGAAAGTCCACAGCAGTAAGTAAAGGAGGTCACATGAGCCTGAGTTCCAAATGGCACTGTTGGTACTTGCTCCAAGAAGGAAAGGTTCAGTGTGGCATAATAATTACACTAAGTTAAGGGGACAGCAACTTTTTTCCTGGTAATTAACCCACTCACTGATTTCAACTTGCTTATGTATCAGAGTTAGAGGGAATCCGACATAACTAGTTTGCTTGAATTTATTCTTTGCAAATATGCCTTCAATTTTACATTGATAGGGGAGTGCTGGGGATGTAGCTCAGTGGCAGAGCACTTGCCCAGCATATGCAAAACCCCAGGGTTCAAGCCCTAGCACTAAAAACTAAAGGGAGGAAAAGAAGGAACAAGAGAGATTTTTATATTAACCTTTAGTTTTCGTAGAGATTCTCAGGGATTTCCTATATGGACAATAATGTCATCTGCAAATACAGTTTTACTACCCCCTGCCCATACATGCCTTTTATTTCTTGTTTTTGCTTTATTGCACTGCCTAGGCCTTTTAGTACTATGTTAAATAGGAGGGGTGAGAATGAGCATGCTTTCCTTATTCCTGATCTTATGAGGAAAGAACTCAGTCTTTCATTATTACATATGATACTAGCTTTAGGGTTTTTTCTATTACATATTATATTAGCTGTGGGGGTTGCTGGGGTTTTTTGGTGGTGCTGGGGGTTGAGCTCAGGCCTCACACTTGATAGGCAGGTGCTCTACCATGTGAGCCATGTCTCCAGCCCATTTTAGATACTTTTGAGATAGGGTCTTACTTTATGCCTAAGCCAGCCGGTACTGTGATCCTCCTATTTGCGCTTCCCCACATAGCTGGGATGACAGGCATACGTGCCACTGTGCCTAGCCATTGATTGAGATGGGGTCTTAAGAGCTTTTTGCTCAGGCTGGCCTTTAACCTCAATCTTCCCAATCTCTGCCTTCCAAATAGCTAAGATTACAAGCTTGAGCCACTGTGCCCAGCTAGTTGTGGGGATTTTGAAGATATGATTTATCATGTTGAGGACATTCCTTTCTGCTCCTAGTTTAAAGAGCATTTTTATCATGAATCAATGTGGAATTTTGTCCTCTTTTTCCTGTATCTATCCATCTGATCACATTAATGATTTTAGAATATTGAGCCAGCCTTGCATTCCCAGGATAAACTCCATTTGATTCTAGAGCATTAATCTTTTTGATATCCAGCTGGAATTGATTTGCTATTTAGTTGAGGATTTTGTAGTTTTATTCATGAGGACATGAGGAATATTGATCTGTAATCTTTTTTTTCTTTCTTTCTTTTTCTTTTATTATTCATATGTGCATACAAGGCTTGGTTCATTTCTCCCCCTGCCCCCACCCCCTCCCTTACCACCCACTCCGCCCCCTTCCTCTCTCCCCCACCCCCTCAATACCCAGCAGAAACTATTTTGCCCTTATTTCTAATTTTGTTGTAGAGAGAGTATAAGCAATAACAGGAAGGGACAAGGGTTTTTGCTGGTTGAAATAAGGATAGCTATACAGGGCATTGACTCACATTGATTTCCTGTGCGTGGTTGTTACCTTCTAGGTTAATTCTTTTTGATCTAACCTTTTCTCTAGTACCTGTTCCCCTTTTCCTGTTGGCCTCAGTTGCTTTTAAGGTATCTGCTTTAGTTTCTCTGCGTTAAGGGCAACAAATGCTAGCTAATTTTTTAGGTGTCTTACCTATCCTCACCCCTCCCTTGTGTGCTCTCGCTTTTATCATGTGCTCATAGTCTAATCCCATTGTTGTGTTTGCCCTTGATCTAATGTCCACATATGAGGAAGAACATACGATTTTTGGTCTTTTGGGCCAGGCTAACCTCACTCAGAATGATGTTCTCCAATTCCATCTATTTACCAGCGAATGGTAACATTTCGTTCTTCTTCATGGCTGCATAAAATTCCATTGTGTATAGATACCACATTTTCTTAATCCATTCGTCAGTGCTGGGGCATCTTGGCTGTTTCCATAACTTGGCTATTGTGAATAATGCCGCAATAAACATGGGTGTGCAGGTGCCTCTGGAGTAACCTGTGTCACATTCTTTTGGGTATATCCCCAAGAGTAGTATTGCTGGATCAAATGGTAGATCAATGTCTAGCTTTTTAAGTAGCCTCCAAATTTTTTTCCAGAGTGGTTGTACTAGTCTACATCCCCACCAACAGTGTAAGAGGGTTCCTTTTTCCCCCGCATCCTCACCAACACCTGTTGGTGGTGTTGCTGATGATGGCTATTCTAACAGGGGTGAGGTGGAATCTTAGTGTGGTTTTAATTTGCATTTCCTTTATTGTTAGAGATGGTGAGCATTTTTTCATGTGTTTTTTGGCCATTTGAATTTCTTCTTTTGAGAAAGTTCTGTTTAGTTCATTTGCCCATTTCTTTATTGGTTCATTAGTTTTGGGAGAATTTAGTTTTTTAAGTTCCCTATATATTCTGGTTATCAGTCCTTGTAATCTTTTTTTAATACTGTTTTTGTCCCTTTTTTTGATTATTAGGGTAATGCTGGTTTCATGAGTTGTGAAGTATCCCCTCTTTTGTTTTTTGGAAAACATTGTGTGAAATTTGTGTTATTTCTTTAACTGCTTAGTAGAATTCACCAGTAAAACCATCTGAACCTGGAGATTTTTTTTGAGATCTATTTTTAGATTTTACACTATGAATTCAATTCCTTTCATAATTTAGGACTGTTGAGGTTATCTTTTGTATCTTAGGTGAGGTTTAGTCGTTTGTGGTTTTGAGGAACCCTTTTCTTCCCTGCCTTTTGGATTATTTGAACTATTTTTGGTGTTCCATCTTAATTCATTGTGATTTTGACTACATATCATTTAATATTTTAATTGATTGCTTTAAGGATTGCAGTATACATTCTTCAGTGTACTTAGAATATTTTACTACTTCAACTGAACTGTGGAAACCTTACTAACCAAATAGGATCCTTTATATCCTCCCTTTACATCCTCATTGTCTTATATTACATCTCCATACTTTGAAAATCCTTCAAACAATGCTTTAATTTTTTGCTTTACAGAAAAACATATATTTAAAAACTCTAGAGGAGTATGACAGATTACATTTACTCATATGCCTAAAACTTTTCTTGTTTTTTTTCCCATTCCTTATATCTCAAGTTTCCTTTTGGTTTCTTTTTGTTTCTGTCTGAAGGTCTTCTTCCGTAATTTTTTTTTGTGGTACTGGAGCTTGAACTCAGGACCTATACCTTAAGCCACTCCACCAGCCCTTCTTTGGGATGGGTATTTTCAAGATAGGGTCTCACGGACTATTTTCCTAGGTTGGCTTCGAACCGTGATCCTCCTGATCTGTCTCCTGAGTAGCTAGGATTACAGGTGTGAGCCACTGGTGCCCGGCAATAATTCTTTTAGAACTGTTTTACTAGTAACAGATTCTTAGTTCTTCTTGTTTTTATTGCTTGTTTTGTTTTTGCGATACTGGGGATTGAACCTCATTTTTTTTTCTTCCATCATTTTTTCTTCAGCTGGGAATTTTTGAAGAATGGTTTTGCTGGGTATAGAAAATTGCTTTTGTTTTATTTTTGGCCTTCATGAAAAATCTGTAGTCATTTCAGTCATTGTTCACTTCTATATAGTGCCTATTTCTTTGGTTGCTTTAAAGACTTTTTGGGTTGTATTTCATTAGGTTTATTCTATTTGGGACTCACTGAGCTTCTCCAAATGTAAGTTTACATATTTCATCAAGCTTGGGAGGTGTTCAGCCATACATATATATATATATATATTTTTTTTTTTTTTAAATTTAAACAGGTCTTGCTGTGTAATCCAGCTGGTCTTGAACTCACTATGTAGCTCAGGCTTCACTCCTACTGCCTTACCCTCAAGTGCTGGGATTACAGGCGTGCCACTATACCTGGCTGAAGTATTTGGAAATTTTTTAAAACACCATACCCTTTCTCCTTCTTCTAGAACTTTAATGTTATTAATTTAGAGTATTTTTTCTCTCTCAAATCTCCAAGGCTTCCCCACCCCCACCGCGTGGTACTGGGATTTGAACTACCACTTAAGCTACTCCAGCCCTATTTTGTGTTGGGTATTTTCGAGAAAGGCTCTTACAAACTGTTTGTCTGGGGCTGGCTTCGAACTGTGCTTCTCCTGAGCTCTACCTCTTAGTAGTAGCTAGGACTACAGGTGTGAGCCACTGACGCCATGCTCAGCTTTTCTTTTTCAGTCTTCTTTTTTTTTTTTTCTGTTGTTCAGATTGGATAATTTCTGTTGATCTATCTTTCATTTCACAGAACTTCTCCTCTGTCCTTTCCACTCTGTGAATTGTCTTTATTTTTATAATTTTAATTGCCATTTTCTTTGTAGCTATTTTTTGATGTGTTTCTTTGCTACATTTCAGTTTGTCTCAAGCATATACTGTTGCTTATTGTGACATTGATGTAATGGGTGCCTTGACATCTTTTGTCAGATAACTTTAATGCATGTGCTATTTTAATGCTGGCAGCCATTTCTTGTCTTTTTTTCAGGGGAGTTGAGATTTTCCTGTTTTTTTGTATACTTGAGTAAATTTCTGGGTTGCATCCTGGACATATAGCTTATTATTTAAATATAATCTGTGAAACTCTGGGTCTTGTTTACATCTTGTAAAGAATATTGATGTTTTTGAGCAGATCTGGTTAGGTACAGGCTGATGTTCTGTGACCTGTGGTTCCGGTCTCAGTTCAGTCTGCTCAGCAGTGCTATCCAGATCCATCCTGTTTCTGCATGCTACCTAGTGGTCAGCATGAGACCTGTGTCATGGTCTTGGGTTAATTCAGTTCTCAGAGGATTTTGTATAATAGGGTAGATCCATATGTGAACAGCCTAGGAATGAGCCTTGTAGTTCATAAAAACTCCTTTGGCTTGTTTTCCTGAGCCTCTTCTAGGGTAGTTTCTATTTCCCAAGGTTTCCCTTTTTAGTCCTCTGACCAAAATCTGGAGGTTTAGTTGCTGTACTCTTCACACACTTGACTTATGTCCACTTCCAGAGCCAGGTGGCAAGAGGGTATTTACTCTACCTTCTTTGCTTAGAAGACTCCCATCTCTGAGTTTTGACTCACTCCAGCTACCATTGCAGCTCTACTATCGCTGCTAAGCATTGGCTTGGGTGCCGGGGCATCAGGAGTTCCCTTTCCTACCCCTTGAACTGGCACTAAAGGGCTTCTCTTCCAGGCATGCCTTTGCTTGTGCTTGCTTGAACATTCTAGAGAATGTGGAAGATTGTGATCTTCCCTCCTTTCCTCTCCCTTCCCCTCCCTCTCCCTCGGGGTTCAGTTCTTGGTTTCAGGCAGCACTGCCTGGCTGGAGGTTACAAGAGGAGGAAGTGGTCATTCTCAGTATCTTCAATTTGCCTGCTCCATTTTACTTTTCAGAGTCCTCATGTAGTCACTGCATGCCTTGGGTCTGGATTTTATGTTGAATTCAGTGGGAGAGATAAGGTGAAGTGAGCCTATTCTGACTGACTTAGACTTGAATCCTGCAGGGAAGGATGAATAGGAATGACAGTCTGAGTTGCATGTCATTTGTTTTTGTTTTTTTATTGTTTTGTTATTCATATGTGCATACAATGCTTGGGTCATTTCTCCCCCCTGCCCCCACCCCCATGTCATTTGTTTTTAAGGCATATTTTTATAATGTTTCCTACTTTAAATGCAGAAGTTTAACATGCTTAGTATAACAAACAATACAGTTCACAAGTGTGTAAAGTAAAAGTGTATTCGGTGCCACCCCCATCAGGTCCCCCAGAACAGCTCTTTCACTTGCGTGGTGTGCCTTACTTTCTACATGCAGGCACAAGTGCACATACAGTATTTATTTTTTACAAAAATTATATTGATCTATATCTTTGCTTATCAGAACATATGCATTGACTCTTTCTTTCTAATGGCTACAGAGCATTCTCTGCAACTGTACAGTTCTTCCATGATTTAACAGTGCTTATTGATGTACGTTCAAATGTTTCTATTTTGTTTTGCCATCAAAAAGTATTACATAAGAATCCTACTTTTTTTTTCCTAATAGAAGTCCTTTATCAAATTAAGAGAGTGTGTCATATTTCAGGCTAAGCTCTTGTTTGATTTTTGCAGTGCTGGGGATTGAACTCATTACCTTACACATGCTAGGAAAGTCCTCTGCCACTGAGCTATACGTCCAAATACTGCCCAAGTGTTTTTTTTTTTTTTATAATAAGGAATGGATTTTAATTTTACTATACCTTTAAAGTATGTTTGCATTTTAGAAATGAGTATGTAGAAGATTGACTTGAGGGAGGAGGGAGGTTGGCAAGAGACAGAAAATGGACCCTTAGATGCAAGATGGTGAAGGCTGGAACTAGGGCAGTGACTGGAGAGATGTTTTGGAAATAGCGAGATCTGCTAACTTACTTGACAGGGAAGACTGGGAGGGAGGATGTGTGGAGGAGTCTGGCAGGTAGGCATCTTGGTGCTGCTCTCTAGAGCACTTAGATGGCTTTGAGTCTTTTGTAGTAGGAGGTCTTTGAAGCAACCCTGGCTGGGATTTCCTGGAAAAAGGCATTAAAAAAATTTAAGAGGTAGCTGGCGGTGTATGTAGCTCAATGGTAGAGAACCTGTCTAGCAAGTACAAGGCCCTAATTCCAAACTCCAGTACCACCGCCAAAAAAAAAAGTTTTTTACAAGGGACCCTGTCAGAAATAGTCCCAGCTTGGGAGTGTAGTGCAGTGCACACAGAGAGGTGGAGTCATAGAGAGATGGGGAGACACCTTATACTGCTAACCTAGAGCCCCCCCTCAGACTTGTGTTTGCTTCCAGCTTCCAGCTTGGATAGTCAGTCATTTGTGATGGTGGTCCCCAGTGATGAAGTGGTGACAAATCTGAAAACTCTGACAAGCAAATGCCTCAATGGGAAGAACTACTGCCGGCAGGTCCTCTGCCTGTATGAACTTACCAAGGTATGTTCCACGGTTGAGGAGCCCTGCAGGGGAGGAAGGGAGAGGGGACATTGGAGGTAGATTTTGGACATTGCTGTGTCAGCCCTTCAGATAATCATGACCTGAAAGAGTTCTCGAGGATGTCGGCCTCTATAAATTCACCTTTAGGGATTAGTGGGGAGGACAGCAGGCCAAGTTCTGAAAGGCCAACTTGACTCCTGCCTGCAGCTTAGCCAACCGGAAAGCTAGGGCAAGTTATTTTGCTTCCATGGGCCCCTGGCTTTTCATCTATAAATGATTTGAACGTGAGGGTCCCTTCTAAATCTCATTTTTACTTCGTGACTGGTGGAGCATTCCATATGGAGTGCAAAGAGTATAAATACAGGGGCCAGAGCAGCCAGGAATCTTTGATTCTGTGCTGGTTCGGGAGACAGGATGCAGGAGTGCATGAGAGAAATAAAGCTGAACATTAAAGCCCTTTGCCCTAGAGAAGACTGTGAGACTGAGACTTCTTTGAAAATTGAGGGTTTAGCTGTTGCTGTGGGAATAAGGAAGGGGCTCTTGCATTCTATTCCAGTGTCTTACATTTCATAATGTTTGAAAAACATCAGCGTTCAACAAGAGGTTTTCTCAGGCCTTTCTTCTGCTTGGATCTGACTTTGGTGAAATGGTACAGCGGACTAGAAAACACTACTTGCTTCTTCTAAGGTTCTTGCCCAGGGTGAAGGATTCTAAGCTTAGAATCTGTCCACATCGCATTTCAGAAAACTTTGACTTTTACTTTGCTTTTAATTATCTTCCTTTCAGGAATTGGGGTGTTCCTACACAGATGTTGCTTCCCTAGATGGTGAGGCCATGCTGCGGACAATCTTGGCCTCTCAGCAGCCTGACCGATGCAAACAAGCCCAGGTCTTCATCAGCACTCAGGGCCTCAAGCCAGACACTGTGGCTGAGCTTGTGGCTGAAGAGGTGACCCGTGAGCTGCTGACCCCATCAGAGGGAACAGGTGCCCTGCCCTCCAGGCCTCCCCTAACCTCCCAGACACCATTTTCAGGTTCCCAACATTTAAGGATTTGGATGTATGCTCATTGGCAGTTTGTACGTTTGACTGTTTTGTACTGTTTTATTACCATGTTTAGAGTAGCTCTGCCCCTCTCTGAACTAAAGAAATTCTTCCCTATAAGATAACCAGTAGGCCAAGGCTTTTGGGCTCAGCATTGGGAAAGCTGCAGAGGAAGCTGAATCAGCATTTTTTGCTGATGCCCAGGCCTGAGCAGAGTGGGCCTCCTGGCACCACACTCTTGCCATTCTCCCAAGTCTCTTGCAAATCCAGTGCCTGTCTCATCATTCTGTGCAGGACATAAGCAGATGTTCAGCCCAGCAGAGGAAAACCAGACATTTCTTCAGCTGACTGCTCTGTGTCAAGACCGTACATTGGTAGGCATGAAGTTGTTGGATAAGATTTCTTCTGTTCCCCATGGGGAACTGTCCTGCAGTAAGTTCTGAGCCTTTTTCTTACATGTTTTGTGTCTAGACTTCTCCAAAAGATCTTCTGGGATATTTCCTCCAAAACTAGACTTGAGTCCTTGTTCTTGGTCTGGATACCTAGCCCTACAGTATGGGTTATAAGTACTTTGTAGGAAGCTGTAAGTTCATTGAAGAATGTTTAGAAGGTATGGTAGAGTACTCTTAAAATCTAATCACACAAAGAAAGATAGCCTTTATCACCTCTGTATTACCCTGCAAAGTGGGTATTATTGTCCCCATTTTAGAAGAGAGGTAACTGAAGCTTGGAGTAACTGATTAATTTATAGCTGAGCTGAACATGGTATACATATCTATAATCCCAGTACTTGGGAGGAAGAGACGGGTGGATCATGAATTCAAGCCCAGCCTGGGCTACACAGCAAGTTCAAGACAAGCGTAATGTGTGCAAGGCACTGGGTTTGATCCACAGCACCACCAGAAAAAAATAATAGTAATAATAAAAAAATATAGTTGAGTGACGGAGCTGGTATTTGAAGTGAGTCTATAACTTCCAAGTCTGCTCATTTTCCACAATGTGTAGCTCATTACAGGCATTCAGTAGTATGGTTTCTCTGATCTGTTTCTATGTTTCTTTTTTTCAAAACTGGCATTATAATGGGTGGGGATGTATCTCAGTGGAAGAGCACTTGCCTAGCATGTGCAAGGCCTTGGGTTGGGTCCCCAGCACCACAAAAAGGCATTACACTGTATATAATGTTCATAGTTTATTTTATGAATATTCTGTCTCTTAACAGTTTTTATGATGTTATGAAGTCAATATACCTCAGTGGTTACACAGTATTTCTCATGTGATTAAAATTGTTAGGGTTGGTGGCGTGACTAAGTGGTAGAATGCTTGCCTAGTAAGTACGAGGCCCTGAGTTCAAACCAAAGTATCGGAAATACACACACGCATACACACGCACACACACGCGTTATTGTCGGAACTTTAGATTGCCTCTGCTTTTCCTATGTTAAACACATTCATGAGGCCTCTAGAGAAGTAAGAGAGCTCTCTCCAGACAGACCTCTTCTCTACGAGGTCCCTTCACCCTCTTTGTCAGGCAGAAGTCAACAGTGGCTGGCCACAGATCACAGCTCCATCTTACAAATGTCCTACCCACCCAGCCACAGAGCTCCTGATCCTGGCCCATCAGTGCTTCACCCTGACGTGCCACGTGGAGGGCATCATCAGAGTCCTACAAGCTGCTCGGATGCTCACCGACAACCACTTGGCCCCCAATGAGGAGTATGGACTGGTAGTGAGTAGCCGTTCCAACTCGAGGCAGACTGACAGGCACCAGATAGGCTGGGGGCCAACTCAAAGCCACTGTGGTCTCAGGGACTTCTGCCCCTCTGGGTTCCTATACCTGCCTGACAGCTGGGCAGCCCAGCCCTGTACTCCAAGTTTTGATGTCTGTCATAATCAAGTGATTGCTCCAGAGGAGAAAGCAAGAGGGGTCCCCACTATGTTCCAGGGCCATTGTACTCTCTTGCCAGGACAGTTTTTCTAGAGCGCCAAGACAGCTACATTTCTCCCCAAAATTCAAATCTTCCTCTTATCTGTGAATTGACTACTCAAGCCTTGTATACTTCCCCAGATTTCTGGTAGCTGAGCAAATCATAGCCCACTGAAATTAGTAGTGGCAGGAAGGAAGAGGAGCCTGCCCGGAAAAGAGCTTGATAGTCTCACATTCAGACAACAGAGAAAGGGAACAGCCTGGCATCCCAGACACTGGCATTTCCAAATTCAAATTCTCCAGAGAAGTCTCCTGCTGGGTACATGGGAGGGAAGTGAGGCAGCAGCCTGGCCAATGAGCCCCTCTCCCCATGGAGCTTAGCACCTGAAGGTAACCAAACTGTTGGGGGGTAGTGGTCTGGCTCCTAAAACTGCCGGTGATGCTGACGCAAGCACCCTTCCCTCAGGTGCGTCTCCTCACTGGCATCGGAAGATATAACGAGATGACGTACATATTTGACTTGCTACATAAAAAACACTACTTTGAAGTGTTGATGAGGAAGAAGCTAGATCCGGTAGGTGTAAAGTAGTGAGCTCCAGGATGACATGTACTGAGATGGGCATAAGCTCAATCAGGTGCAGGGGAGGAATCAGGGACCTTTCTGGGACATACACTGTAACCAATGGCTTAAGGTTAGATTTCAAGGCTGGTAGAGTGGCTCAGTGGTAGAGTGCCTGCCTAGCAAGTGTGAGGCCCTGAGGTCAAACCCCAGTGCCGCCCTCCCCTCAGCCCCCCTCCTGCCAAAAAAAGTTAGATTTCAGAATGGTTAAATACTAAAGAATGCTAAATACTAAAGAAAAAGTTTGTCCTCAACCTCAGCCTCTCACCTTCCTCTGAGTGTGTGTTTTGGCAGAGGCAAAATCCTACTGAAAGTGGTTTTTCAGCTCTGAGGCTGTGCCTCTGAGGGCTTTGAGAGGATTTGCAGGGGACCATGGAAAAGTATGGTACCAGCCAAGTTAGGAAATGAGTGCACAGCCAGGGCCAGAAATGCCAAGGAGTGTTTATGATGGTGACCAAGGAGGAGGCTTGGAAGCAAAGGCCTGACTTGCTCAGGCTCTGAGCCTAATTGTCCCTAGCAGACAGGCTGACACAAGCCATCATACAGCCTGTTTCCAAATTTCATTGTCTCTGCTTATTTCACCTCCTGAAGAGTTAAAAACAAAAGTGTGCTTTTGGCTTTTAGGAACCTGGAGCCAGCCAAGCAAAATTAAGAAACAAAGCAGAAAAAAAAAGTCTCTTTAATGCTTGACTAGTTTTGGGACAGACCAGTCCTGGTGACAATCCTAGATGCAGGTCCAACTTTAGGATCCACCAGAGGGTTTCTTAAATTGTTTTTGAGGCAGTTTTGTTTCTGCATTGAATTATTTAATAACTTTTTTTTCTGATTACAAAAGCAATGCATATCCCATATAAGACATTTGGAAAAGAATAATACAGAAAAAAGTCCTCAGGGTCTACCCACCATCTGGAGACAGCCACTACTTACAATATAGCATACGTTCTTTGCACATGTACCCAAAAACGCATATACATATTTATATGTTTAACAAAATTTATATTGTGCTGTGAACATATGAAATAGCTTGCCTTCGTTGGCTAAACAGTAAGTGTACCATGATATTTATCAAATCAAGATAGTCCTCTCCATCAGTTTTAATGGCTACAAGGCATTTTTAGCCCTTATTTTAGACCTCTAGATGGTTTATAATTAATTGCTATGAAACATCTTTGTTACATTCACTTTCCTCTGCTTATTTCTTTAGGATAAATTCCTAGAAATGGAACTGTTAGATCAGCATATGCATACATATTTTTAAGTCTTCTCTCTGAAAGGCTTTACTGTTCACACTCCAGTAGCAAATTACAAGCTTATTTCCTTATACTCAAAATACTATAAATGTTTGTATTGAATTTTGCTTGTCTTTTCCTTCAAATACTTTAAGGAACTTGCAGAACCAAGGGACTCAGCCAATCCTGTCCTGCAGTCCCTGGCTGAGACTTTGGTACTTCTTTTTTCCTGGACAGAGTGGTACCCTGAAGACAGCCCTGCTAGACTACATCAAACGCTGTCGCCCTGGGGACAGTGAAAAGCACAACATGATTGCTCTGTGCTTCAGCATGTGCCGGGAAATAGGGGAAAACCACGAGGCAGCTGCCCGCATCCAACTGAAATTGATCGAGTCTCAGCCCTGGGGTGAGCAAGGTCACAGCTGCACCTCTAGAGTAGTGCTGCTAGCTATGCAAGGTTCTTAGGGCCAAAGGCAAGACTTAGTGGGAGGGGGTACATGGAAGGCATTGGCACCTTGGGACCAATGGCCTAAGCATTCTTTGTATCATCTACTGGGAACGATGGTGCATGCTGATGCATGTAAACCACCTTTGGTGTTTCAGAGAGATGAAATAAATGGGGCACCAAATCCTACTCTAGAGTGAAGGTACACTGAGTGTGTACCACCTCTAGCCTAGCAGCTTTTGAGAGACACTTGCCCTGTGAACATGGCCAGTTCTCTTCTGGCCCACCACTGCTGTGAGTGGGCAAGACTAGCTTGACTTGGGAGCCAGTGAAGACTCAGCAAGTGTCCTTTATCTTCCTGCAGAGGACAGCCTCAAGGATGGGCCCCAGCTGAAGCAACTGCTGCTAAAGGCCCTGACTTTAATGCTGGATGCAGCAGAGAGTTATGCCAAGGTAACTGCACTGTTATTCCACATTGGCCTTGGGACTAGGTGTCTTCAGTAGTAGGCAGTATTTTCTTTTGGGTTTGGGGCTCTTCCAGTTGAAGAGGTAAGGTGACATGGGCCATGCAGGATCAGAAGGGGGTTCACAGAAGAGATGGTAACAAATTTTTTCTTTCCTTTCACCCTCATCCATCAGGACTCCTGTGTGCGACAGGCCCTGCACTGTCACCGGCTCACCAAGTTGATAACACTACAGATTCACTTCCTGAACACTGGCCAGAACACAATGCTTATTAACTTGGGCCACCAGAAGCTGGTGGACTGTATCATGGCCCTACCTCGGTTCTACCAGGTGAAAAAGAAAACCCTACCCAGCAGCACCCTCTGGTGTCCCACTCTTGTGACCTAGAGGTTGAGTGTCTTATTTAAGGTTTCAGAGTTAGGGACAGACCAGGGCACTCCAGTTCTTAGTTGTCTGATATTACCACTAAGAGGTGACTTTTTTCTCTTTTGCTGAGAATTGAACCCACTTACTTACAAATGCGAGGCCAGCACTCTACCACTGAGCCACACATAAGCCCCATTTGATGTATCTCTCAGTAGCATATTGTTTGGGCAGAGGTTAGAGAATGGTGAGATGTCACCGTCTCCTTTTCCCCATGCTATTAGGCCAGCAGAGAGGCTGGCACACTTGGCTCCTTAGTTAAGGTTCAGAGACCATCCCGGCTAGTCCTGTAAGAATCTTAGATCCAGCATTTAGAGAATGGTAAACCTAGGTTAGTACTGGGAGTTGGGGCTGTGCAGAGATTTGTTATAGCCCTTAAGCGAACAGAGACTAATATCAGAGAATCAGCCATTTCACTGTTCCTTCTACAGCTGAGTTAGAAGAAAAACAATAGTTATTCTTTCTCAGCAGTTTCACTAATCCATTGTGAGGAATAACACAGGCTATTTGGGGTTTATGAGAGGGCAAATACCAAACTAACACCAGACTTTTACCAACTCTGACACATAGAGCCTTTTAACATAATTGAGAATAATTCACTGTGAGTGTATTTTCTATAAGTTTGCTTTTAATTTTATATCACATGGGCTCTAATGGCTTCCTCCTTTACTTTCATTCTTTTAAGGCTTCTATTGTGGCCGAAGCCTATGACTTTGTTCCTGACTGGGCTGAAATTTTGTACCAAAGAGTGATTCTTAAAGGAGACTTCAATTACTTGGAGGAATTTAAGCAGCAAAGGTTATTAAGACCCAGCACATTTGAAGATATTTCAAAAAAGTAAGTATTAAAAGTTGACTATAAATCAGGCATAGTGACAGATACCTGTAGTCCCTGTTATTCAGGAAGTTGAGGCAGGGAGAACACTTGAGGTCAGGGGTTTGAGACCAGCCTGGACAATACAGTGAGACACTGTATATCAGGGGAATCTCTCCTTGCCTCTGCTTTGAGGTAAGACAGGTAAAGAAATTTATGGCTACCTGGGCACTGGTGGCTTATGCCAGTAATCCTAGCTACTTGAGGATGAGGTCAGGAGGATCATGCTTCAAGGCCAGCCTGGTCAAAGTTTGTGTGACCACCCCCATCTCCAAAATAACCAGAGCAGAAGACTGGAGATGTGGCTCATGTGGTAGAGTGCCTGCTTGCATGCAAGTGTGTGAAGCTGAGTTCAAACCCTAGTCTCGTGCAAAAAAACAAAAAAAAGAGGGCCTATAATCCCACCACTCAGCTGGGTGAGGCAGGACTATTGGGAGTTTGAGGCCAGCCCAGGCTACATAGCAAAACCCTATATAAAAATTTAAAAAAAAAAAAAAGCATGGCAGGGCATGCCTATGACCCCAGTTACTCAGGAATTGGATATTGGGAAGATAGTGATTCCAGTCCAGTCAAAAAGTTAGTGAGACCCCATTTCAACAAACAAGCCAGGCATAGTGGAGCACAACCCTAATCCCAGCTCTAAGGGAGGCAAAGGTAGCAGAATTGAGGCTATCCCCAGGCAAAAAGTGTAAGACACTATATGAAAAGTAAACTAAACCAAAAAGACCTTGGGGGCATGGCTCAAGTGACAGAGAGCTGGCCTAACAAGTGCAAGATCCTGAGTTTCAAACCCAGTACCACCAAAACCAAAACACAACAAAATAATCTAATCTTTAAGATTTATGCAGATCAGTGAGGACAGTTTGCTTACGATTTTTATACTTAAAATGGGAGGAAACTCAGCTTGCCTGAGGTGCCAAAATGGTAGCCCTAACCCAGAAGTGCCTTTGGTGTACTAAATTTATTGCCATTAAACTGAGTGCTGACATTTATTATTGATGAAAAAAATTTATCACAGGTTCCCAATACTAGTGTGAGATAATTTCCCAGGCTATAGCACCCTCTCCTCTACAGGTGAAGGTCAGAGCTGACCATCCTTTCTAGATAACAGTATTCTAACCTGCACCTTCTTGTTTCTGTCTAGATACAGACAACATCAGCCTACCGACATGGTCACAGAAAACCTGAAGAAGCTGCTCTCATATTGTGAAGACATCTACCTGTATTACAAGTTGGCATATGAACACAAATTTTTTGATATAGTAAATGTGCTTCTGAAGGACCCTCAAACAGGCTGCTGTCTGAAGGACATGCTTGCAGGTTAGACGACTACAAATATGCCTGTTTAGTACTGACCCAAGCTCTGACAGATGTCCATGATCCGAGTAGAATGCCTTTGAGGATCATTGTTATCTGAGTTGACAAAACCCAGGAATATATTACATTCGTTCTTTGTGGGTCATGGGTAATGAAGGAGAGACTTCACAAAGAAACTCCTATTTGAAGTGATTGTTCATCTGTACCATTTCATATGGACACTAGTATTAAGATCAAAAGCTTCTGCACTAGGAAAGAATACCTGTGCCTGAAGATTCCAGTTTCAAAGAAATTTAATATTTACACAGTTAAGGAACAGATGATACATTTTCATTGTTAGAAACTGATCTTTCTGTAATAAAATAGATTTTAAATTCAGTGTATGTCATTATTAATGCTAAGGAAATCTTAGCCCTTGTCTGCCTTCAAACGATATTTACTGTAATTATTGCTGTATAGTCACGGCCTTCTATTAATTCCTCAAGTCATTTAGATGGTCCTGTTTTCCACTTAGTAGTCTACAGAGCTTTGAGGTTCCTATGTCCTATGGAAGAGAAATTAAAAACATTTTTTGTTCTGGTTGTGACAATTGGGGGAACAAAAAAGTCTACTCATAAGCTTGGTTAAATCACTTAGGAGAAGATCTAAAGATTGCCAGATTTATGCATACATTGGTACCCAAATTGTAGACTTGGTTACTCCAGACAGTTCTTCTAGGTACTTAACTAGGCCTTAATATCTAAACAAAATTATTTCCCAATAAATAGAAGGCAGCCCATCTTTGTTGCTCTATAGTAACTACTACAGACCTGGCAAATCACTCATTTTAAAGCTGTAACTATGTCAAGCATTGATTAAACTTTAGTACGTACACAGAGATCTCTAGTCCCAAGAGCTGTGTTCTGTACTCTCCAAAAATATCTCTTGGGAGGTAACACAAAATTTAAGTCCTCACAATAGTGATTTTATTAAATTAGTTGCTTTATAAAACATTGCAGATGTCATAATTGTTAACATAACAATTTACCAAACTGTAGTTAACTGGTGCAGTTTGCTGAGCATGTTTTATAAAGGAAAGGAAAGGAAATGCCAAAACCCTGTTAAAGTTGTTCATTGCAGTCTGTGAGAACAAGAGATGTTTCTCAGACACTTGAATCAGGCAAATAAAAACAGGTAGTTTCCCTCCCCCATCTGAAGCACTCCATCAGTAGAAGTAGTCTGATAAATAAAAACTATAGACAGTCTATGCACTGGAGAGATTCCACAACTTGTACTGTGATAATGGAGGTTTACCTTCTTCAGCTTCAAAGTTGGAGGGTTTTGGTCATAAAATTTTAAGTATCAAACTAGTACTTTTCAGCCACAGTATCTTCACTCTGAGATAAGCAGTCTTCTTCACAATGTATTTAATATCCTCACGCTCAATTTTAAGACAAAGCAATTTTAATACTAGGTGCACACCACATGCCCTTGCTTGCAAACTGCTTTTCTTGACAAGCTATGAAGTAGTTCAAGGAGGTATGGTTAAGGCTGTATTACTGAATGGTGCTGGTAAATACTACACAATTTTTTGTCATGTTGCAACCTTTGTTTCCAATTTAGTGACTGCTGCTATGGGATCAGATAGCAACAATGACAACATTATTAAGTTTGTTTTGTTTTAAACTATGATTTAGTAGCAGTGGAGGTTCCCAATTTTAACCCCTTGGCAGCAAGATCCAAGTTCCCTCATTTGCACATTAGCACCTAAGTGTCAAGGGGTTAAATAACCAGCACAAAAGATACTGCACTTCTGATTGTAGCATTTGGCAGAACTGAAAGGAAAGGAAGTTGTGCTACATGTTGAAGGGATTGTGGGCAACAGAAAGAAGACACCAGGAGAAGATAAAATGTCACATGAAGTCTTCATAGTCTTGTACATATCCTCCATCATAACCACCATAATCTGCCAGATCGTCTTTCATGGTGGCCTTTAATCCCCCTCCAGGAACCACGCCTTTCTTCTTCTTTTTGGCTTTGCTTTGCTAAAGATGAAAGAGAGTTAATTCATGAGACCTTATCTGCTATGGGTATTTTATCTGGTATAGCAGCCCTCATAGAGACACTAAAGCCTCTGGTCCCAGAAAATCTCGTTCTTAAAGGGAGAGCTAATGCCTAACTTAAGGGATTTCTATTAACTCAGAAAAGAGGAACACAAGCACGTCAGTACACATGATGCAGTGGACACTGCATTCCTGGTTGATTCCAACTTAAATGGTTTTGGTAAACTGCTTTGAAGTTTTTGACAGGTTCCTCCTGCGGCTATTGAGAATAGTCTGCCCACAACCCCATCCTAATGCAATAGGCATTTCTCTGCACAGCTTGCTCTTACCTTTTCTTGCTTCTGTTTTTCACTGCAGAGCACAGTCAATGAATTGGTAATCTTTTTCAGGTCATCAATTTCCACTAATTAAAAAAAAAAAAGCTAATCACTAAACTTTAATTTTTGAAAACTACGTTAAAAACAAAATAGAAATCCTTCTACAAGTGTTAGAAGTAACTCTGAAACAGCTGTGAAGTTCACTTTTTAAAATGTAAGGTGGTAAGGAACCAGTCTAGCTAGGATCCCAGATCAGAATTCACTACTTATAGTAAAATGGTAAACTCAGTAACAAAAATTCATAATGACCTGTAATCACCAACCCACCACTGCTCAACCTTAGAGGAACTGTCTTTATAGCTCCTAGTACTCCCTAACTTTCTTCCTTTCTCTGTCTAATCAGACAGAACGGGATAACCATGCCGTTCTGGAGCACATCCTCCATGCTCATTGAGGAGCAGCTAAATGAACATGGAATGACAATTCTTAAACTGGAAGGTGACAAACTCTTTTTCTAGCACAGGAACTACAATGAAAAGTGATTATCTCAGTATGCTACCATGTGACAGGCCTGTTTAGGTGACATATCCTCTCATCCCCAGAAATGAAAGTATTAACCTGAAGATTGCTTTTAGCTACCAGAAAATAGTCAGTTCTGGGTAAAGAACATTTCCAAAAATCAGGACAAATAGCCCAGGTAGAATAAAATACCACCTCTGGGTATATCAGTGACCAAAGTTAGAACTCCCATCTTAGCATTTTTCAAAATCCAATTTATAATTCATTATGTAGTACTTTTTCTCAACCTTAAAAACAGTAACTACTAGCAAAACCAGTCCCTTCCACATTAGTGCGGCACCAGCCATGGCTGTCACTCCCATGAAATGAATGACTTCTTAGGGTGTGGCACCATAGCCAGAGTCCCAGAGAATGGATGCCAGCTCTGCTAAACACCTTGTAGCTTGTTCTCAGGCTTTCTTATTTATAAAATAAATAGCTGAAGTCTTCCCCCAGCTCTAAAATTCTAGGAGCCCCCAAAAGGTACTTTGTAGCTTCTTTCAAGAAATAATTGGATAAAAGAAATAAGCCAATGTTTTATCACCAGCTTTGGTCACAATGCTAGATGTCTCTTTGGGAAGCCACTGTAAGGCAGCCTGCCTCCTTTGGCAAAAGCTCCCAACACTCAAACTGTGTATGTAAAACAAAATTTCCAAGGTATATGCTAAAGAGAAAATCCTGAGTCTATGTACAGCATTCGAAAAAAATTTTAAAGCCCCTCCTGTCTTCCAGAGTATGTTGTCCATACTAAAATCTACTCACAGCAGCTATAGAATAGAATTACTTACATGAAATACACACATCTCGAACTAAGGCTTCCAAAAAACTGGCATAATACAGTGACTTTTCATATTGTGTAATTTTATCTTTTAGTAACTTCCCAAACTCTGTGAAATCATCTCTTGAAGATGGGTTCATAGCATCTATTCCATAAACTGTATTATTAACACCTGTAGGACAGAAGAATCACTGAAAATATTAGCAAAAGATTTTTTTAAAAACTTTATAAGCCAATTACCATCTGAATAAACCTATTTCATTCAAAAGCAGGGACTCTTAACTTGGGCTCATTGGAGTCCTTGGATACAGTTCAGAAGAGTCTGTAAATGTGAATAAGTAAAAATAATATTTCTTGATTTTTCCTAATCTCTAATTGAGCTTTCAATTTTTAAAAACCAATTTATAATTCTAGGCCAAATCACAGTTGTATTAGCAAATCCAACTTACCAATAGAGATCACTGGTACTTTACCACGTTTTAGTTGTTGCAGATATATTGCCATACTGTTCCATCATTCCTTTCAAAATAATATTTATTAGACCTGCCACTGGATCTACTTTAATACATTAATTAAAAATCACATACAGGCTGGCGATGTAGCTCAGTGGTAGAGGACCTGCACAGCACGTATGAGGCCCTGGATTCATTCCCTATCACAAAAATAAATAAATACACATAATTCTGTGCCACAAATTTGCTATTTTAGTATTCTGGTACCTGTTTAAATATAACACATAAAGTCCTATGTGTTGCATGTTGCATTATACCTATTTAAAAACAAGGGACCCATAGGATTCACCAACTGATTAGGAGTCCATGTCACAAAAGGGATGCTCTTGAAGGATTTGTCCAACAACAGCCCAGAGTAAAGTGGGGAAGAGAGACAAATGCAAAATGTGTTTACCATAAAAATAACCAGCTAACTTCAGCAGAGTTAAACCATGTGTTAAATCTCAACAGAAAAATTACTCTGGTCTAAAAATTCTATGCTAAAAAACAAGTAGGCTCAATGTCAAGTAAATTAGCTATTAATATCAGATCCAGCATTTTAGTATGAGAAATACAACAGTAAAACCCTATTAGCCAAACAATGAATATATGAATGCATGTTTTTTACTACTTAATGTGTTTCTATGTCCCATACTAGATTTTGTATACACTGAGTAAACCTGCAATGTGGGCGGCTTTGACATCCTATGAAGACACAGAATAATGGCCAAGTGCCTCTATAATTAGGAGTAGTTTTAGGACCTGTCAAGCATACATGAACATCCATAGCCACTCTTGAGATCACAAGAGACCCACTGGGAGATAGGGTCTTATTTCCCTAAAGAAAGGGGAACAATCACTAGTCAGCTTTTCGATATGCTTTAGAAAAAAAGGAGGGGAAAGGCCAGAATAACTAGATCCTTCTTGCTTACAGATTTCCATTTCAGTTATTTAACTGCTTCAATGTGGTCTTCTACTCTGAAAAGTATTCAACACCCAATAATAACAAAGTTGGTTAAATGAAACAGAAGCTTTGTTTTTCTGCCATGTCTCTTTCTCTGCCTCTGTGTCATGTAACTCTCCTGGAACACTCTGAATATGTCTATTTATAGGATCTTGCACATGTCTTTTATCCACTAATCACAGCTGAAGACATGGCAGACAGGAATGATGGCCCTTAAAAGATTGGGCACTCTAAGGGCCAAGAAGGATCACAGAAACAAACCCACACACAAAAGCACAACCAAAGATGAATGCCCCACCTGGACCTACTGTCCAAGTTTTATCTAGATTTAATTTGACAGGCTAGACCCACAGGCAGCTCAGTGTTTGAATTTCAAAGTTACAAACCTCAGATTCATCCAGAATTTATTGAGCTGATATTTTCTAGGCAACAGCAGACTTAATTCAGCAGACTTTTTCTGAGATAGGGTCTCATTATGTAGTTTCAGGCTGGCCTCAAATTCAGGCTCCCCTGCCCCAGCTCACAAGTACTGGAATTACAGAACTGTACTTTCACACCTGTTAGGTACAATAACTTATTTTGATAGTCTTTTGGTACTTCAAAACCTGAGTATGTGTCTCACTTCACCTTCCCAATGAAGTAATAAATATACTCAATATCTAAGTTAGACATGTTTTCTCTTGCACTGCAATCACACTGAATTTTTTTTTTTTTTTTGTGGGTGGTACTGGAATTTCTATTTTGGAACTTGCACTTGCCAGGCACGTGCTCTACCTCTTTAACCATGCCCCAAGCCCTTTTTGCTTTCATTATTTTTTAAAATAGGGTCTTGCTTTTCTGCTTGGGCTAGCCTGGACCATGATGACAAGGCACTGTAACCAGCTTTTTATTATTTGAGATGAGATCATGGGATCTCATGGACATTTTTGCCAGTGCTGGTCTCAAATTTCAATCCTCTCAATCTCTGTCTCCCGAGCAGGCAGGATTACAGGCGTAAGCCACTGTGTCCAGCTTCACACCCCCATCTTACCAAAAGTTTCTTTTGCTAATTCAAGGTCCGACTCTTCCTGTAATTTTTTTAGCCGTAGCTTATCTGCTAATTGTTCTTCTGGCGTTAGCACTTTAGGGTCTTCAGGCTCTTCTAACTAAAATGAAAGAGTACAAAAGTCTTAAAAAATCTGGATTATATTTCTTTACAATATGAATTTTTACATAAGCACTTATAAATAAGCAAGGACTTACAAAGAGATTATTGTATTTCAGACATTCTTCTGAACACTTTAGATACTCTATCCCAATTGTACAGATAAAAAAATGAAGGCACAGAGGAAGATGGGAGTTATTTCCATATCCTTTTTTAAAATAAGGAGTTGAGATTGTGGGCAAGGTAAAAATGGCACTCTACTACTAAGACTATATTGGAACAACCTGTCTAGGGCAACATGGAAGCATATATCAAGTAAACACTTCCATATGCTTTAAGTAATTCCACTTCTAGATAGAATCTTAAGAAACCTAAAATGCACACAAATATTTAATATCCAACGAAATATTATTTATAATTTTAAGTAACTTTAGGGTTATCCTAAGTGTTTAACAATGGCTAGAGCAGCCACATCCATCAGACATTTAAAACACCATGTTTTCTTCAAAGCATAAGAAAAAATTTTTCTTGTATACTATATTGAATAATTATAAAAGTGTAACAAATGTGACAATAACAAGAAAGCAGCTTTCACTTATTTTCTAATCCAATCCCTTTGAAAAGATAACAATTTAATGTCTTTTCTATATACTGTGATATAATTTTCTACAAATATGTGTATTGTTTTACTTTTAGAGAAAAATCTTGATAATATGTACTGGGGGGGAAAAGTGAAGAGAATTTGTGCTCTTCATGGTTATTCCTGACTGCAGTTTTTTTGTTTTTCCAGTACTAGGCTTTGAACACAGGGCCTACACCTTGAGCCACTCTATCAGCCCTTTTTTTGTGAAGGGTTTTTTCAAGATAGGGGCTCCAGAACTATTTGTCTGGGCTGGCTTCGAACCTCGCTCCTCCTAATCTGCTTCCTGAGTAGCTAGGATTACAGGCATGAGCCACTGGTTCCTGGTTTGCCTGTGCAGTTTAAAGGTTTCCATTCTGAAATGTGCTTCTGAAATAGATCACATTTATTTCTCATAGAGATGAAATGAGAAGTTAGGAAATCTCAAAACACTTTCTCGGTCAGGTGCCAGTGACTCATACCTGTAATCTTGGCTACTTAGGAGCCTGAGTTAGACAGGATCGCTGTTATACCAGCCTGGGAAAACTGTTCTTGAGATCCCATCTCCAGAAGAACTAGAGCAAAGTGATCTGGAGGTATGGCTCAATTAGTAGAGCACCTGCTTTGTGATTGTGAAGCCCTGAGTTCAAACTCAGTCCCACCAAAAAGAAAAAACAATAGCAAAAACTCACAAATACTTTCTGTAAGAAAAAGGCAAACTTTTTGATTTGACTGTCTTAGTAGAACTGGACATCATTACATATTTTCTGCATCAAAACTGGAAATAACTAAATGTCTGGCCTAAGATAAACTAAGTACACAATTTGTCAATATTTGTAAGACTACAAGTATGTATGACTTGCCGTTTACTCCACAATCCCATGCTTGGGACTTAATCCTACAAATGTGGATGTGACCACTGGCAATGACAATACATACATGGTTATTCATTGACGTATTATTTATCAAAGAAAGGACTGATGAAGGGCACCAGTAATCCTAGCCACTTGGGAGGTCAGGAGGATGGTGGTTTGAAGCCAGACAAATAGTTCATAAGACCGTATCTCAAAAATACTCAACACAAAAAAAGGCTGACAGAGGGATTAAACAGACCAAAGTAAAGTATACTCATAGCAGGGATACACTGAGAAACCCCTTTGAACATAGACTTAGATATTAATAATGAAAGACAGGACTGTAAAACAGGTACAGTGTATATGTGCATGGGGGGGTACTTGTGGGAAGGGAGAGGGTGAATGAAGACTAAGGTGAGGGTAAATAGTTGATGGACTTCATATGAAACAGAACAAATCTCTTGCAACTGCTTTAATGGGGCAGGGAGGGGGTTCAGGAGAGAGAATGTGGGGGTGATGTAACCAATGTATAATATAAGCTTATTTGGAACTGTCACTATGAATCCCCCTACACAATGAATATATCCTAATGTTTAAAAAAAAGGGCTGTCAGAGGGGCTCAAGTGATAGAGCACATGCCTAGTAAGCGAAAGGCCCTGAGTTCAAACTCCAGTGTACCACCAAAAAAAAAAAAGACTGATTAAAAAAAAAAAAATCCAACTCTCTATCAATAGGGAACTGGTAAAATAAATTATCGTGCATCTAGGCAATGGAATATTATATAGCTACTAAAAAAACTGAGTTAGAATAGAGCAGAAATGAGAAGACTTCCCTCCCCAGCTTTATTAAGGTATAATTAACAAAACCTGTATATATTTACAGTGCACATGATGTTTGACATATTATGTATACATATTGTGAAATGATTACATCAAGCTAGTTAGTGCATTTATCACCTCAAAAACATTTAAGATCTATTCTTTTACCAATTTGAGACTTCTGAATATGCCATTTTTGTAGCTTTGGTTTAAATATAAATACAAAAGAAAAAGAACTCAAATTAAAAACAACTGAGACAAATTACTCTAAAGTATATACCTAACAAAGGGAATGCTGGAGGTGTAGCTCCAGCATTAGAGCGCCTGTCTAGTGTATGAAGTCCTGTGTTCAAACCCCAGTACCAAAAAAGGGGAAAATATTCAAATGATATCAAGACTTAATTATACATCCTTCATAGAATATATTCTATCTTTTTTTAAAGTGGGATATATTATAAGTCCAAAAGAAGTGTAAGGGAATCCTAAACTTCATTGAGCAGTTTATAATATGAGTAGCAACATTGGTACTGTAGAAAAAAGCAAACATTATGTTAACATTATTAGAAACAAGGACTTTCAGTGTAAGAGAAAACACTGATATGAACTAATGATTACACTCATACATAACTTATTTCCTTGCTTCATTCACCAGAAGGGGTTTCAAAGGCAAGGCCACCTCAGTACTAATGAGTAATCACAGCATTTAGTTGGTCTCTAAATACCATTTCCAACTAAAAAGAACCTTGAAGTGGCTAATTCCAGGTCTGAGGAAGAGTTTACCAAGTGAGCCTGGACCAGAAATAAGTAAATTTTCAAAGACTAATGGGATTCTGTCAAAAAGATGAACACAGAAACCAGCTTAAACAATCTCTTATTGGCCAAATTTGAACATTAAAAAAAAAAAATCACTGTATCTGAGTAAAACAATTTATAAAAAAATGTCAGCAGGGTACTGGATTACACCTGTAATCTTAGCTACTTGGAAGGCAGAGATCAGGAAGACTGAGGCTCAAAGCCAGCCCCAGCAAATAGTTCGAGAGACTGTATCTTGAAAATACCAACACAAAAAAAGGCTGGTGAAGTGGCTCAAGTGGTACAGCGCCTGCCTACCAAGTGTGGGGCCTTGAGTTAAAACCTCAGTTTAAAAAAAAAAAAAAAAAGCTGCTAAGGAAGATGGCTGGAGATGGGCTTAAAGTGGTTACTTTGCTTCTTCCCAAAGCATGTCCCAGGCCATGTAATAAATCTCTTTTCTCTGCCCTTAACAAATTAAGGCAAAACAAAAACAAACAAACAAAACAAAACAAAAAAGGAGAAGAGAAAGACAATAAGATAGCTTAATTGAAGAAATAATGGTTGAAAACTTCTCAAATCTGAGGAAGGAAATGAATATCCAAATTCAAGAAGCTCAAAGACTGCCACCAAAAATGATACCAAAATATACATTATAGTTACTCTGACTATCAAAAGTCAAAGTAATGGGAAAAATACCCTGCCAAATAATAATCCTAAATCTGTAATTATTGTCCTTGAAAACTGAAGGGACAAATAAAGCAAATTAAAAAAAGAAAAGCCTGTTTACTCAAAACAGAAAAAAAAATATAAAACCTCTCATTTTTCAGCGCTTGGAAGTATACCCCCTCTCTCCTTACTGTGAAAACTGATATAATGAAAAGAGTAAAACTTTTTCTGTGCCTTTCCAATACACATCATATTCAAAGTAACCAAACAGCCAGGTGCTGGTGGCTTACACCTATAATCCTAGCTACTCAGGAAGCAAAGATTAGTAGGATCAAAATTCAAAGCCAGCCCAGGCAAATAGTTCTCAAGACCCTACCTCAAAAATACCCACCACAAAAAAGGACTGGCAGGGTGGTTCAAGTGGTAGAGTACCTGCCTAGCAAGCATTAGGCCCTGAGTTCAAACCTCAGAACCACCAAAAAGAAAAAAAAGGGGGGGGGAGGGAGGGATGGCTCAAGTGCTAGAGCGCCGGCCTAGCAAGTGTGAGGCCCCTGAGTTCAAATCTCAGTAGTACCTAAAAAGGGAGAAGAAGTCAGAATGAGAACTGTCAACATTCTGCAATCCTTAATAAAGTATTTGGGTAGTAATAATCATAGATATTGTAATGAACGGGCGAGAAATTGATGCGAAAGTCAATTACTTGTAAAAGGATAAACATAATGTTATAACTGAGGGGTAAGTTTGGCATCACCATGACCCAGTCATCAATTTTAGCATCAGTAACAATAGGACAGATACTATATGACTTCTGATATGATACAATATGAAGCACACAACAATACTTCAAAGGTATTCCAGTTTAAAATTTCTAACCTGAATCTAATCAAAATTTTATACTTAACTGCCAAGTTAGAGGAAACTGCAATTATGAGGAAGCAACCAGATACACGTAGAACGTAAATGTTCTACAAGACAACTAGGCTGGTTTCTTCAAATCAGTGGAGGAAAAAAAGAGAGGGAGGCAAAGGAGGGAGAAATGAGAAGGGAAAAGGTGGAGCAGGGAGAAAGAGACACTCTAGGAGACTTAGGCTACATTAACAACCAAATATAATGCATGGTCCTCATTTGGATAAACCACCCCTATTAGACATCTTGGGATTACTAGAAAAATAAACAGAATACTAGATTATATTAAAAATTTACTGCTCATTTAGTAGTTTGTACTATTGTAATCATGTGAGAAAAATCTTTTCTCAGAGAGGCATACTGAAGTACTTTTAAAGGTGAAACATATGCTTGTAATTAAACTCCATCTCAAAAACGGGGGGGATACAAATAGTGCAAAGATAAGAAACCAGTATTTATTTAAGATAGAGGGAAAGATACAGAAGTATAGGGTCAGCAATGCTTTTTAATAATTTTGATTTTTAAATCATAAAAATGTTTTTTCTATTAAAAAGCAAATAAGTTAATAAATAAGGGCTAGGAATGTAGCTCAGTGGTTGAGTGTTTGCCTAACATGCATGAGTACTCCAGTACTGCACCAAAGAAAAAAAAAAACAAAACAACCCCACAATATATCCTGATCCTGTGTAAATAATCAAGAATAAAACGTTTACATAATAATACATGGCACAGAAATGGACACTTTTTGTATTTCATTTTGTATGACTACTGCAGATAATCACAAGTAGAAATAACTGTAGGTGGACTGGGGATATATCTAAATCTTAGTGGTAGAAAGCATGCCTGCTCCTGAATGTTTGCCAAATCTTAGAAGGTATTTTAATAATGAAACTTCTGGGTATTGTTTTTGTAAAACCCACAAATCAATTTGTTTTAAGATTCAACACTTACCGTCTTTTTAGAACCTTTAAAATTGTTAGTAATATTTGTAGCCTGTTAAAGACGCTGTACCACAACTGATATAAAAATTCCGTATGTATTTTAGAAATTGAGCAGAACTTACTCTCTTTTTAATTTCTTCTTGCCTTTTCTTCTGTTGCCGTTCTCTCTCTTTTATCTTCTCTGCTATTTTTTTCTTTTCTGAAATTTTTATTTCTGAAAGTAAAGTAATGTTTTATTCAGTTACATTGAATACTTTGCAGTTTATGGATGAGACAGATACTTGAATACTTAAAGAGACCAAATCTTTCCCAGCTTTCAGATATGGTGATATACTGGAAAATAAGAATGGGAAAGTTCTGGGACTCTTGCTTTTCCTCTCTAATCTGATCCTACACATTCAAACATCTCCCCCATATTTCCCCACCATCTTTTAAGCTAGACTGACATCATTCAACTATAATGCCACATCCTCTACTTTCCTCCTTATGGAAAAACAGCAGGTATGTAATCTGAGTATGCTCTAACAGGATAGAGAAGAGATGCAGGAAAGAGAACACAGAGAAAATGGAAGGATGCTTGGTTTCAGAACACTAACATTTTCAATTTTCTGAGCATTCTGTCATTGCCTACCAAGATATATAATCAACAATAGAGGAGCACCAGTGGCTCACCTGGTTTTACTTCTGCTTCCTCTTTTTTTTCGTCGTCATCATCATCCCAATTATCCTAAAGAAAAGGACCTCCATTAATTCTTGCATTGCTTTTCCATGTAATCTTCATTATCAACCTAACTCTATAGAAACAAGCTTACTGATAATTTTTTTGGTACTACATTAAATAATGCAGGATGAACTGACATCTTTATAATGCTGAGTGCCCTAACCAAGGGTTACCTTTCTTTTAGAAGTAAAGTTTCCCTCTAAGAGGTTTTTACACATTTCTCTTTAGGTTTATTCCTATGTATTTCTTAAGTTCCTAAGTTGCTTTTGTAAATAGGGTTTTTTTTTTTTTTTCCTACTGTAACATATCCTCTAACTGGTTATTTGTGTAAGGAAATGCTATTGGTTTTTGTACTATTAATTTTACTTTACTGAACTGATTTTTATTACTTGTATTAGACTTTCTAAGATATACAAGTTGAGCACCCCTAATCCACAAACATCTGAAATCTTCAATGTTTCAATCCAAAACTTTCTGATTACTAACAAGATGCCACAGATGCTTGATTTATTTTTCTCTTAATGCCACACTTTTGCCACAACATGCTATCTTTGAAAAAATATAAAAGTTTTACTTTATCACTTAAATTAAGCACACTGTATAAACTTATTTGGCGGAGGATTATAAATTTTACAACTTTGCTTTTGGGGTACATTTGCTTTTGGGGAGGCATATTTTCAGAAAATTAAGGGCAGGCAAACAGCAAATTACACAATTTAAACACAACTGATAACAGAGGACTGAGGGCTTCTCAGCAGCTTCATCCAAGCTGTGTAATCCATGCACAGGAGTTTAAAATTTTTATTTTGAAATTTCTCTTGACTTTTTTCACCCATGTTTAAGATTTTGATTTTTTAATCATTGCTTGTTGACTGTGCTTGGTAAAACCATTTGTAATAAACCCGTGAATAAGGCAGGATAATGTATAAGGTTTCATTATTTTTTCATTTAGATCCCTGGTCCAACTGAAGTTTTTCCTTGTGCACTGTGCAAAGCACATATCCGATATTTTTTCCAAATGGCTAATCAATTGTCTCAGCGTCATATGTGAAAAAGTTCCACTTTGCCCTAAGATTTATCATATATTAAATGTTCACATGTAATTGATTTATTTCTGGGCTTTCTAATCCTATCATTTTACTGTTTCTGCCTGTATCAGTGCCATACTGTTTTAATCACAGAGGCTTTACAGTATGTCTTAATGTCTGCTAGGGTTAGTTGCTCCTTATAACTTTTTAGGCTTCTTAATGTTTTCCTGGCCATTCTTGAATGTTTGTTTTTCCATATGAACTTTTATGCCAACATACCTGACTCCATAAAAAAAGTGATCTGCATGGGTTGGTAGTGTGGTTCAAGTGGTAGAGTGCCTCCTAACAAGTGCAAAGCTCTGAGTTCAAATCCCAGTACTAGCAGCAGTTGCGGGGCGGGGGGGGGGAGGGAGGGGTAAGCATTTTTTCCTTGTTTTGTTTCGGTATTTGGTGGTATTAGGTTTTGAATTCTGGCCTCAGCCTTGCAAACAAGGCACTCTACCACTTGAGCCACACCTCTACCTCTAGTCCCTTGATTGGTTTTTTTAAAAGTCTTTGAGATAGGATCTCACTATGTAGCCAAGACTAGCCTGGAACTAGCCATCCTCCTTCCCCAACTTACCAAGTGCTGAGACTACAGATATGTACCACATAAAGCTTTGCAGTTGTTTTAAATGAAAGAGTGAGAGGGAGAGAGAGAAAGAGAGAGAGAGAGAGAGAGAGAGAGAGAGAGAGAGAGAGAGAGAGAAAGAACTGTGGTACTGAGAGTTAAACTGAGGGGCCTTGTGGTTGGTAGGTAGACATTCCACTACTTGAATCTCACTGCCAGTCCTTTTTGCTTTTATTTTTGGAACAGGCTCTTGCATTTTTGTCATGGACTATGATCCTCCTATTTAAACCTCTTGCAGTAGCTAGGATGACAGGCACCACTACCATGCCTAGCTTTTATTGATTGAGATGGGGGCTCACAGATTTTTTGTGTGGACTGGCCTTGACCAACAATCCTCCCCATCTCTGCCTCCCAAGTAGTTAGGATTACAGTTGTGAGCCACTGTGCCAGGCAAGACCTTTATTTTCTCAGTTTACCAAGTGTATCCCATACTCAAGCAAATGAGTCATTTATTTCAAGCTCTATTCCATTCAATACAACCCAGGTCAATGAATTAAATCTACATAATACTTAAGCCCAGTATTAAGGAAGAGTCAAAAGCTAATTAAACATTTATTGTTCCCACTGCCTAACCTGGGTAGGGCACTCTGAGGTAGATCTATTCTGTCTTTTCTATGTCTAACTCAATCACTGAGAAAAAATATAAAGCAGTGTTGAACACAATTTTCTAAAGAATCCATAGAATTTTAGAAGATTCAAGCTTAATAAGGACAGAGACAGCCCTATATTTATATCGGGCTTTAATCTGTAGGTAGCCTGCAGATTAGCTCAGCTGCCTTAGCAAACGCCAGGCACACTATGACACACCGTTTGAAGCTGAGCCACTGGATGGCAGATGCAAAGCAGGAGGCCCTGACGCTACTAGAAAAGGCAGAAGCTGACTAATGTGCCACAACTATGACACCAAGCTTCTAATATATAGCAAGATACATCATAAATCTAAATCAGTCTAGGCATATAAATGAACTAAGCCATGATAATAAAGACTGTTAAGTCCACCAAAGAAATTAAAAATCCAGTATCTTGATTAAGGCTGCTGTGGGTTCTGAAACAGCATTATATAAGAGTAAATATATTTTTATAATCATCTTCTTCGCAATTTAACCCATGGTTCGGAGTTTTAACAGATTGAAACAAATCAACTAGTCATTATTTGAATAACTAAGATACTAGAGTTAGAAATTAGGATCAAATGTTTATATTGCCTCGCTGGTTTTCCTAAGTGCTTATATCAAAACACTGCAATACAAAAGGAATCAAAAGAACTAAAAATAAAAGTTAAGTACCAGACATTTTTGTTGGAAGACTGGAATCTGTGATATGCTGCTTAGGCAGTACTTCAAAGAGGACATGTGCTTACCTCCAGGGAGTACATATTTACAACCCTCCATTAGTGATAATAAGAACAATGGCACTTAACTGAGAGCTCACTTTGCACCAGGTATGTCCAAAGAGCTTTCTATGTAGTAACATGGTTAATCTTCACAACAGTCCTGAAAGTAAGGTGCCATCATCCTCATTTTACAGATAAAGAAGCTGAAGCCCAGACACAGCCATTATGCAATCTCAGTAAAACACAATGAGGAGACCTGTTCTTAATGAAGTGTCACCGTACGTAAACATAACTTCTTCTTGGGGTCCTGAAATATAACTACCTGGAAACTAAGTCTTTCCAACCAAAATCCATTATTTCTATATTAGTGGAGTTCTCCTGGGACCACAGGGAATCGCATCAAAAAGCAAGTTATGGTACACACTAAGATAAGCCACAGTGGTATTAATTACCCACCTTCAAAATGAGAATGTCCTATAGTGGTTTTCTGTAATTCTAAAGAAACTGGTTTAGAAAGTCTCTGGTACTAAAAGGCTAAGAGGGGACAAGTATGGCTGAAAATAAACAGCTCTATCACAAGACCTTCAGTATAGAGAAGCTAAAAGAGAAGGATTTCTGTTCAATTTTGGTGCTCCTCAGTTCCCCTTCCCAGCACTACCACTGCTCCCTCAGAGCTCATTCACACCAACTCCAGGTCACATCTCTGCCAGTGCCCCCAGTTTCCCCAACAAAACATAAACCTTATCTCATACTCCCATCAATGCAGACATAATGAAGCTACCTAGAAATTATTCATTCCATCACATAATGGATTTTAGAAGCAAAAGGAGTAGTTCCTATCAACTCCTGGGAAGAGTAATGATACCAGCTCCTCCATTTATGAAAGGTAAGCCCCGTCTGTGTCACCCTCATCCTAAGCTGCAACAAATCTGCTCTAAAGTTCTACTAAAGTAGCACCCAGTCCTTAAGGGGAGCCTAATAATGTCAGCAAAAAGAGACAGGTCACACCTGCAAATAGCTGTAACCACAGAAGGCTAGGTTGCTCTCCCCAGGACCTTAAAAATTTTTTTCCCTTTGTTATGAAATTATCATGTGCCCAAAAAGTAAATGTAGTATGAAATGTCTGCCACAATGCTCCAGAAAAATCTGCCCAATTTTTCTATAAACTCAAGGACTTTGTAAATGTTGGCCAAAATTTCAGATAAAACATAAAAAGGTTTCCTAGAGAAACACCCAAAACAAACACCAAAAGAGTGTAACCCACTTCAAAAGAGCCCTAAATGGCTAGTGGAGTGGCTCAAACCTTAATAGCGATGCCTAGCAAGCATGAGACCAAGTTCAAGCCCTAATACTGCCCCCCCCCCCAAAAAAAAGCCCTAAATGGTTATTTGGTTCAAGAAACTACCTATCAATATCCAATTAAAAACCCCTTTTTGCCAGACGGCAGTGGCTCACGCCTGTAATCTTAGCTACTCAAGAGGCAGAGATCAGGAGGATCACAGTTCCAAGCCAGCCCAGGCAAATAGTTCCATGAGATCCTAAATCTTCCAACTATGATATCCAATTCATCTCAAAAAGAACCATCCAGTCTGCTCTCCTGAAATGGTTAGCTTTTTTAGAATAGAAGTTATTTATGAATTACTTACTTATCTATACTTTTGGCCCTGCAGGTATACACCCAACATCATTTGAACCATTTCTCTGAAAGAGATGGCTGCTTTTTAAGCTACTACCCAGTTGGGGTTATACCTCAGTGGCAGAGTGATTGCTTGAACATGGGCAAAGGCCTGGGTTCGATCTCAGCACCTCAAACAACCAACCAATCAACCAAACACCTATTCCCAACTGAACACGACTAAGTATTAAAACAGAAAAATTTTAAATGCTAGTTTCTTTTTATTTCTAACAATACAGCTAGCAATTGACTGATTTTGTCATTTTATAATATGCAACTACAGAATGTCACATGCAATGGAGAACACACCTAGGGCTGAAAATGCTTTCCAACTTAAGCAAGACATATTTATAGACTGCCAAACAGAAGTAGCTTCAGAAGAGCTGTAAAACTGTTTTGCCCCATAGCAATAGCCTAGGAACTAACAAATACTCCTGCCCATTCTTTTTTTTCTAAATAATTTCACTTAGAGATAGCATAATCTCTTGCTGAAAAAAAGCCTTTTTCTGGTGTTCTGTAAAATGTGCAGGTTCTAACTTTGAGTGGCCTCAGAACTCCAAGATGAGATCCCGGCAAGGCAAGCCTTCCCACAAAAGGTAAGTTTTAAAAGAAGTCCAAATGTTCTACTATTCTATCAGAACTATGCTGGTCTCTCAAGCCAAAGTACCTGCCTTAGTAAATTCTACTTCTATTCATTAAGTTTGGCTCAGCACTCAATTGTGTTCCATCTCAATGCCTCCCTGTCTCAGATTCAGAGTGGTTTTCAATCAATTCTATTTTAAATTCCTGGCTAAACAATGTCAAGATCAAGACAAAGGAACACTAAACAAGTGGCTTATTTATTTTCAATGGTCCAGCATGACAAATCGGTAAATACTTCTTAATACAAAACACACTCCCTAGGGTTGGACAAGTGGTTAATTCAGTGGCAGAGTGCCTGCCTAGCACATGCAAAGACCCTGGGTTTAATTCCCAGTACTAAAAACTAAAACTAAAAAGCCTCCTAATTCAAAACTTGCTAGTCTATAAAAACTTCTAGAATAATTGCTAGGGAAATGATATGACTAGGCTTTTCTTTAAAATGATCTGGTTGGGGAGGAAGGAAATAAGTACTATAAGGGAAATAAATTTGGCCATGGACTTATTAAATGTTTTTGTTTCTGTGTATTTTTAATTTTTTTAAAGAAATTACACATACACTCTCTTCAAGATATGACTTTTTAACAAGATGTGGTGGCACACACCTGTAATTCTAACACTCTGGAGGCTAAGGCAGGAGGAGCCAAGTTTGAGGCCAGCCTGGGCTCATACTGAGACCCCACCTCAAAAAAAATTTAATTAATTAATTAAAATTAAAATATAGATCATGTACTCCAGAAGTGCTCTTTTCCAATGTTTGAAAAACGTCCTTGCTCTGGTATATTTAAACTATTTATTAATTTGGATAGGATACTAATAGAGAGTGAACGGGCTGAACAGGACAGGTGGTATTCAACTGGGTCAGTTCTTTAGTATCTCTTATAAAGAAATTCTATACTACAGGTATAGAAACTATGCCTGAGATGGTTAACACAGCCAGAAGTTTCCTTAAAACAAAGTTCATGCACCCTTCAAATAAGCCTAATTTCTAACTTCTTGTATTGAAATGTTGGGAGACTAGTAAAAGCTATGTTGTCCCTGCTTCCAGTAGATACTCCCTACTCAATCAACATTCTACGCATCATTCCAGCAATGAGGAAAGTGTCCAAACACATATATCAAGTGAACAATTCCTCCACTGCCTCTGCATGACATCAGAATAGTAATAAAAGTAAAATAAAGCTAGGGAGACAGAAGAAAGCATGCTCCCTAGTTCTCACCTTTTCAACTGTGAAAAAGCACAGATAGCTTTTTCCTCAATGAATATTAACAGTTCTAGTTTCACCCAAGTCTGACTCTGTCACTGCCAGACAGCTGTTTGAAAAGCCAAAGAGAACAAAATACTCATTCTACTGAAAGAAAGCAAATTACTGGAGCAAATTATTATAACAAAGACCTTAGGTTCCCTTTCATTGATAGGATATTACAAGCAACGTTAAACTGCTATCTGAAAAGCTTAAATATTACATACTGACAAAGTGAAGAATTTATACTATTTCTACATACTTTGCTTTTAAAAACTTTGTTAAACTATTTTATGAGATGGGATATTGCTGTCTTGCCCAGGTTGGTCTCAAACTCCTGGACTCAAGTGATTCTCCCATCTCAACCTCCCCAAAGTGGTGGAACTACAGGCTCTCACTACAACACTACAGTTAAGGACTTTAACTCACATACTGAATTAAGGACTATGATTATTCCTCATAATGACAACTAACCCCTGCCTGCATCTTCCACAAAAAGATTTAAGTACAAAAACATTAGAACTTGGAAATTTGGTGATGTAACAAAATTCAATTCTAGACTGGCAACCAATGAACAAACAAAAGTGTGCTTGATAATCATGGTTTTCCATTCAAAACACAAACCTCACAATAAAAAAGATACTATGGAAAGTCCTTAACTCTTCTGACCTTGGAAAATCAAAATGTGGTACAAATAAGCCCCAGATACTAGATCTTAATAGCCTAAACATATTTTCCAATAGCCAAAAGGATTAAGATGAAGTGACATGAAATGACAGAGAAATAACATTTATTGAATACCTATCAGTGCTAGATAGCCCTGCTTAATACTGGACATATGTCATTTAAAATTCAAAACAGGGCTGGTGGAGTGACTCAAAGTGGTAGAGTGCCTGCCTAGCAAGTGTGAAGCTCTGAGTTCAAGCCTCAGTAGTGCCAAAAATAAATAAAGAAAATTAAATGTAAAATAACCCTCTGGTGTAGGTTCTATAATGATCATTAGGAAAAATACTTGGGTATGGTCACATATCTAGAAAATGTCATGGCAACATTATAAACCCAGGTGAGTCTGATTCCAAAACCTAAAAACCAAACTACTCCATGGATTCCATATTGTGGAAATCAATGGAAAACAGTATTTCAGTCCTGGAATATAGCAATATTCAGCTTCCAACTTCCAAGATCAACTTCAAACATTGCATAAAATTGGTTATTTTCACACAAAAACAGTTTGCACTGGAAGAGTGGCTGGACAAGATGGTCTTTACAGTCCCTTCCAACTTGTGAATCTCCAAAATTAGTTCTAAGTGATCAGAATTATATATGCCAGGATCAACACCATTTGATCCCATAATTCCAGGTAAGATACTTCATAATCAGTCCAGATTATACTATTCAAACATAATTTTCTGGGACTTCTTTCCTCAATTGTCTGATTTTTTTTCCTTGCATTTAATTTATTCCTAATTTTCGTAACATGTTTTAACTGCCACTTCCACATAGAAAAAGCGAAAACCAAATCTGAAGTAGTTTCAAAGGTGAAAATCTGCTACAATGTGGCTACATCTTGTAACAAGGCTGAAAAACAATCCATTCTCATGTTTATACAGCAGGTGAACAAAGCATCTGGGTATTCTTGGTCAATAATAATGCAACTCATTGATGAACTCCAACCTGTGCAAAGTCCACATCACCCCCTGAAACTCAGGCTTCTGAGAAACTGGTCATCTCCCTCCACAAACTAGAAAGAGAACAGAAAAATCCAAACAGTACTATCAAGTTCATTCAACCTAGGCAAAAGGATTTACAGGGTACTTGGTTTACAACGAAGAGTATAAGTTAGGAAAGCAAAACACCCACTTGGTTAATCAAAACCAAGAAAAACCATTTTCCATTTCATACAAAACATTATTTGCACAAATATAACAAGATCTGCATACTTTATTAATAAGGATCTGCATTTCAGAGTTTTGCAGCTACTTAAAACAATGCGAAAGACAGTATCATGGGAAGCCATATGAGTCTCAGGAGTTTTCAAAAAACAAATGGTGAATATAGGTTGAGATTTACAAGGCATAAGAAATAAAAATAATAAACACTGGCTCGTGGTCATCTACAACCACCAAATCGTCTTCAGTGTTTTCCTAGGCCTCACGTGTAAATGAGTAATTGTTAACTCTCCATCCTTCACAGTGCTGTGTGAACGACCAAGCTCTCTGTCCACCCTCTGCGGTTATCTCAGTGCTCAGTTCATCCTATTTACCACAGGGTAGGGGGAGGGGAGGGCTAAAAGTTCTTTTACTTTACAGCTTCTATTTGTTTAGAAAGACTGAAATTAAGCCAAGTTATTTCACTGACCTAACCGCGGAAACAAACTATAAATGGACCTTCATTACTGACCCCCTGGGGAGGAGACGTGAGCAAGAAAAAGGCAGGTGGGTTTCCAGCCTTTCCATATGGGATAAACCATGGGGCTCAATTTCCAACCTGCAGGTTTCATTCCGTTCACAGGTTCCGGACTGCGCAGCTTGCACGTGGGCCGCGGCCCGATCGCTGCTGTCACCTCTCGCCGCCAGTTGGCGGGTGGGATCCAGGCCCGAGAACGGACCCTCAAAGAAGGGCTGGAGCCCGGGCCGCCATCGCCCTCGGCGAGGGAGAACGGGTGGACTGGCTACTATCTCCAGCCCACATGGCCGGCGAGCCGAGAGGACGACGGCACCGCCGTGGTCCCTGTGCTCGCGCCGGGACCCACGGCCCGCAGGCCCGGGCGGCTCCCCCAGGCCCAGAGTCCTCCCGTCGGCCCGCCTGCCTGCCTGCTCACGAGAGGCAATCCCGCCCGCTCCCGCGCTGCCCGGTGCCCTGGCCCACATCTACCTTGACGTCCTCGTCCTCGTCTTCGCCTTCCCAGCGGTCCCCGCCGGCTGTGCCGCCGCCCCCCACCTTCCGCACCGGGTCTTCCACGGAGAACGTGTCCGCGTCTACGGAAGAGAGCGAGCTGCGTTAGTGCCTGCCTCGGCTTGAGGCCGTCCAGGGCCTTGTCCCAGGAACTTCTGCTCACCCCAAGAGTCAGAGTCCCCCGCCGCTGCCGCCGCCGCCGCCGCCATCTCGAGCCGGGTGCGAGCGTGTGCGAGAACGAGCGCTGCGGAGTTGGGGCGGCGGAGGTGAGTCACTCGGCCTGTCTCGTTGGCCCGCGCGGGGCAGGCTGGGACAGTGGCTGACTGAGGCGCGCCGGAGCCGAGGCCCCGCCCCCGCAGGAGGCGCCCGCGACGCACGCGGCGGGAAGGGGGCGTGGACCGCGGCCGGCGGAGCGCGGGGAGGGGCGGGGAGGGGCGGGGCGTGCAGATCGGTCCCGCGACGCGAACAGTCCTGGAAGCTCGTGGGGCGGGGAGACGGCTCTCCCAGCCTTGGCCTCCGGAAGGAAAAGTAAGTGCGGGAAGGTTAGTAGGGCGGACACTTGCCGGGCGCTTGGCCCTCACATGTCCTCGCCGCTCCTCGCCTGCCAACCCCAATCTCGCCCTGCCCCGAGGCGCGCGCTCCCTCTGGTGACAGCCCAGAGTTGCTGGCGAATGCAGGGAAGCGCGTCCCATCCTCTCTACACCACCCACGCGGGTGGTGGCTTGACCTCAACAGCATCTTCCCTCTTGAGGGACATCGCCCTCCCCCGGAACGGGCGTGCGCGAGGCTAGGAGCGAGTGGGAAGGGCCGAGGGCCGCGTTCCTTGGCCGCCTTTTATCCAGGTGCGCGGAGCCAGCTCGGGGCCCGCTGTCATCAGTTGGCCGCAAAGAGATGGAAGACTAACCCCGTCCTCCGGGCTTTTCCTCTCCAGTGAGCCCTGCGAGGCCAGCGCATTGATTCTTAAGCTGAACAGCTTCGGAACTCCTCCGTCTCTGCTAGGCATAAAAGCTCTAGCCTGATCCTCAACCAAGTAGTATAAACAAATTTCGACAGTGTGATGACTGTAACAAAAAGAAGCATTATGAGGTTAAGCGTAAAAAAAAACAAAAAAGGCAACATTAACGACATTAACGACGGTGGAGGTTGCAGGAAAGGTTTCCTGAGGTAGTCTTTGGGGAAACTGGAGTTTTGAGAGACCACGTGAAATGTGCTCATGTGCATTTTCCATAGAAAGAACACTTGTAATCCCCCATCTGACTTGAGCAGCGCATTCCGAGTAAAACAGGTAAACTCATCGTGAAGGGCAGAAGAGGAACCAAACTTTTTGCCCCTTGGGCCACTGGGCTCCCCTTGTAGGGTTTTATGGGCTTTAGATATTTTGATTTTCTGTTTTGTTTTTCTTTATTTGAAAATATGTCTCTAGAACAAGGTAGATAAAGTGATAAGCCACTGTTCTTTTTAGTAGCAATCATTGTACCCTACTTCTTGTGTATTTTTACAGTCTACAAATAAACATTCTGTAAAGATGGTCTATACAAGAGGTATTCTACAGCCAAGTTAAAGTGTGAGAGGCAGTGATCTATTTATAAGGCATTCATTTAGGTGGATTGAAAGCAGGCTAGACAGAAGGCTGGAATGTCTGAGGAAACAGTCTATCATATTCACAACTCAGATGTATCTTCAACATTTGGCATAGTGCCTAATGCATAAATATTTTATGAACGAATTAGTATTTATTTTACATGCTAGAGATAAAAACTAGCACATCTGCATGCCACACAAGGGCCCTACCACTGAGGTACACCTGCAGCAGAATGAATTAACGGATAAAAATGCAAGCCTAAATTAAGGCAATGGCAATGGAGAGAAAGGAACCAATCAGACAAATGTTTAAAGGTCAGAGTCAGTAGAACTTAGTGACTGTAATAGTTAACTTTATCAACTTGGCTAGGCCACAGTACCCATGTTACCCAGTTTTGTGTCAAACACCAATCTAGTTGCTGCCAATGTATTTGTTAGGTGTAATATATATCTAAACATTAGACTGAGTACAATAGGTTACTCTCCATAATGCATATGGGTCCATACAGTCAGTCCAAATTAAGACTCTCAGGAAGGAAGAATTCTGCCTCCAAACCACAGCATCAGATCTTTGGGTCTCCAATCTGCATGCCTTCCCTACAGATTTGGGACTTGGCAGCACCCAAACTATGTAAGCCAGTTCCTTAAAATAAATCTTTCTATGTATATACATCCTATTGATCTTTTTCTCTGGAGAAACCTCACTCCTATAAGTGACTGAATATGGAGGAGGAGGAGGAAAGAGAAGGAGGGAGAAGGTAAAGATAGTGACCTTTGGAGGCTGAGTGGTGGTGACACTCATCTAAGTTGCTCAAGTAAAAACCTGACAGATACGCTTTAATTTCTTCTCCCCTCTTACCCATTAAATTCCATTAATCATCGGCTTCTGTGGATCTGTTTCCAGTATTAATTTTGGAGCCGTTTATCTCCATCTGTTATTACTACCCTAATCCAAGATATCTCTTACATTGTTCTATAGCTTCATAATAGGTCGTCTTCTTCCACTCTTTCTCCTCCAGAAGCAGTTTACTATACACTAAGCACCTTGCTTACTTAAAAATGTAATTCAGGCTGGGCACAGTATCTCAAATCTGTAATCCCAGCTATTCGTGAGATGGAGATAGGGAGGATGGTAGTTCCAGGTCAGCCTGGGCAAAAAGTTAGCAAGACCCCAATTCAACAAATAAATCGGGCATGGTGTTACACATTTGTAATCTCAGCTACTCTGGAGGCACAGGTAGGATCACAGTCTTAAGGTTGGCCTGGGGAAAATAAGGCAAAAAGGGCCAGGGGTGTGGCTGAAGAAGTAGAGGCCCCTATGTTCAAACTCCAGTACTGTCATATAAAAAATCAGGTCAGGTGTGGTGGTGTGTGTCTATAATTGCAGCACTGCAGGTTGAGGCAGTATCATAAGTTTGAGGCCAGCCTGGGTTACAGAGCAAGACCATGTCTCAAAAAAACAAAAATATAGAATAAAAGTAAAAATCTACTGTGTGGAAGTCAGAAGACCTGGTTCTAGTTACTCAGATGATCAGATGTGACTGAGCTGGACACTTCTGGTGTATAGGAGACAGCTAACAATGTTTTCTTCCTTTTCTGGAAATTGCCAGTTACAAGATTAGATGGACTTCCTAAAGCTGGGTCTGCTGACTTACCAAAGCTGATCTAGAGGAATTAGAACCAGATTAACTGTGAAGCTAATGAACTTTTTAGCTTTAGAGCTTCTCGGTATGGGCCCGTATCATTTTCCAAGAAAGCCTTCCAAGCTGTATGTTCTTCAAGGCCTAACAAAATGGACCTGCCCCTAGGTGAGATAGATGTAGCCCATTGGAACCATCAAATTTGTGGTCACTAATCTCCAATGCTGGCCTTCCAGTGTATAGTATTCAAGCTCTTATGTAGTCTCCTCCCCTTGAATCTGGACTACCTCTGTAATTCATTTTTGTTTTGTTTGGGGGTGGGGTGTGTGTGCTGGAGTTTGAACTTGGGGCATTTTGCTCACTAGGCAGGTGCTCTATGGCTTGAGTTGCACCCACAGGTGTGATTCATTTTTGAACAGTAGAATAGTACAGAAGTTACTCCTACATCTAGGCTTAATACCTTAACATCTTAATACCTTAAGCCATACTACCATGCTATTAAGAAGTGAAAGTTAACTACATAGAGAGGCTGTATAGGGAGAAGTGCTCAGCCAGCCCCTGACTATTCCATCTGCTCCTGCTGAGATGCCACACATGGAGTGAAGAAGCCATCTCAAATATTCATCCTAAGCAAAGTGTTAGATGAGTCCATCCCCAATCACTGTTTGAATTCAAGCACAGATGAACACAAGAGTTTAGCCCAGCCAACCATGTCAATCCACAGATCTGTAAGAGTGACGTTATTTTAAACATCTAGCCATTTGAATGATTCTCCCAGAATGTCAAAATTTGGAACTTAAGCCTGGTGACCAATGACACCATCCTGAAGATGCCATGAGGTACCCGTGCCTTTTCAGTGAATTACATTTTTTTTTTAATAGTACTGAGGTTTGAATTCAGGGCCTACACCTTGAGCCACTCCACCAGCTCTTTTTTTTGTGATGGCTTTTTTTTTCAGTGCACTGAGTGTGGTTCTACTCTTATCAATCCGATCGTGATTTAGATTTTTTTTTTTTTTTTGGTACTGGGGTTCAAAAAATAAAAAACCTGAGTTTTAAAAACAAAAGGAGTCTGGGAGTTGAAGGGAGTTGTATATGCATATATACAGCATTGATAAAAGATTTAGATGCATTGAGAATTCATCCACAGTATTGTGCTGTCTAGAACTGTGTAGTAAAGATTTCATTTACTCCTTAAGACTAAACTGTTACTCATTTCAGCCTCCATGGGAGCCTGGTAATCGCAAGTAACCATGCAGTCATCCCTTCTTATCTATGGAGCGTTGGGTTGGTTCCAGGAAACACATCTCTTCGCCCCCTACCCCCCAGGAGTACTGAAATCTGCAGATGCTGAAGCCCCTTATTTTACTTATTTACTTTTTGGGGTAGTACTGGGGTACTACCAGACTTGCTTGTCAGGTACTCTACCACTTGAGCCTCACCTCTTGCCAAAAATCCAACTTTTTTTAGCCGGATGCTGGTGGTTCATATGTATAATCCTAGCTACCCAGGAGGCAGAGATCAGGAGGGTCAAAGTTCAAAGCCAGTCTGGGCAAGTAATTCACAAGACCTTATCTCAAAAAAAAAAACAAAAACAACCCATCACAAAAAAGGGGTAGTGGAGGCCTGAGTTCAAGCCTGCAAAAAATAAGTAAAATTAAAAAAAAATTTTAATGTTTAAATAATGATTTTTAATTATATTATTGTAGTACTGGGGGTATATTGTGACGAAAACAACCAACTTTTTTTTGGTGGTTCTGGAGTTTGAACTCAGGGCCTGTGCTTATTAGGCACTCTAACACTTGAGTCACACCCCAGCCCTCAAGTCCCTTGTATAAAATGGCATAGTATTTACATATAACCTACACAAAACCTTCTATATGCTTTAAATCATCTCTGGATTCCTTAGAATAACCAAGACAATGTAAATGCTATTTTGGTAGTTATGTTGTTTAATGTCTAAGGACAAGAGAAAAGACATTTTTTAAAAATATTTTCAATTCATAATTGAATCCATGGATATAGAACCCACACTATATTTCACCGCCCCTTCCCCCTTTTTGTAGTAGTAGTGGGGTTTGAGCTCAGGGCCTTAAACTTACTAGGCAG